TCTACTGTTGTAACTCCAATACCTATAACCAGGCTTGTGATATAGCAGCTCTTTAATAAATATATGTAGGATGGATGCATATATATGTGTATGGATATCTGTACATAATCTCAGCTTGGGAACCATCTCCACATGAAGTTCCCAGAGATTTAGATATTCCTTGATACTCCTCCCCCTGCTCAGCCTATATCTCCTTTTATCACACAATACTTGTCAATAAATTGTTCTGACCTGAACAATACAGTAAAGTCAAAGGGTCAGACTATTTCATCCTGATATATATAAAAGAATTATTTTGTGTTTGATAGATGACAATGTCACTCGGTAAACAAATGATTGATTATATCCTTATTTTAAAGTGGAGTAAATGGGGGTTCATAAGGTTAAATAACTTCCAAAGACACACTAGCTATACTGCAGTTAAAGTACAAAGCAAAACAAATGCAAGCCCATTTCTTTAATTTTCCTTATCACATTACTGCATCTCTGTATGATGTTCTATACTTCCACATTTTCTATTTACCCCATACTGTATCCATAATAGAGTTCCAGTTCAAATCTCGTCTAATTCACTGAAGTTTTCCTAATGTGACTATGTGACTAATTCCTCTATGTGACTCTTACTCACATTAATTTCTTCCTTTATTTCCGCCAAAGCCTCCTGAGATAGCTCTCAGGATAAATAAGGGTGGTTTCGAGAGAGTGTATGTATCCTTGAAGAATATCTTATTAATGCCCCAACCACATTCTATAAGCCATGCTCAGGGTTTTGTTGAAAGTCCTGTTTATTTTGCAGATAATATACCAACACTGCAATCCAACCTCAAATTAATATCTCATACTCTATATGCATTTCCTAATGATTTGTGTGGCTGGTAATAGGTATACTTGTTAGTGAGGTTTGGTGAACTGAGCTCACATGGGGGAACTTGAAGAATGAAAATCATCAAGAGTTTTTTGAACAGTCTCTACTCTGAAATTAGTAATATTCAGGACACCTAAAGATTCTCCCACATCTTTCCAGCTTTTGCTTATGTTGACAGAAGGGGCTTTAACCTTTCCCAAATGTGACCCCTCTAAGGTTTCTACAGTAGAAGTAAAGGTTTATTTCCTGTTAACTATTTCTACCTTTATTACCATCCAAAAAGAGACTTCACACAGACCCAAATTTATCTTTTTAAATACAGGGGCATATCACGATCACGATCACGACCACCCTGTTGTTCGTCGATTGCCTCGAGCAGGTGCCAGTAACGTCTTCTTCGTCTTAGCCCTGAGATTTTTTTTTTTAAGTGCCATATTCAAGGCTTTTTCAGGGTTAGGAGAATGAGACCCATCATTGTTACTGGTATTTGGCATATTGGGTATATCACGGGGAGTTTGCCAGACTCTGCCGTGTGGGCATGTTACAATTGGTAGCCTGCCAGTTTGACCAAATTAGGAATGAGATGATAAGATGTCGCGCGGCCGCGAATGCTCTGTCTTGTTCTCTCCCAGGAGCTGAGTGTGATGATCTCTGGATCCTGGCCGTTGTTGGAGTTACACGGCAGTTGGTGGGTGTAACTGTCTAGTTACTGGCAGGTCCAGTCCCAAACTGTACAGGCTTGGAGATCTCAGCCCCGGGTCCCACACACCTGGGTTCCTCTGTCAGTTCTTTTATGCGTGAGGCTCATCCAAGTGTGTGGAGAGTGGTCCCAGCATGGCCTTGGCTGGGCCTCGGTGGTCTTCAGCTGTTGGGCCCTGGTGGAGACAGTCAGGCATAGGGTAGGAGACTCTGCCTTGTTCTCTCCCAGGAGCTGAGTGTGATGATCTCTGGATCCTGGCCGTTGTTGGAGTTACACGGCAGTTGGTGGGTGTAACTGTCTAGTTACTGGCAGGTCCAGTCCCAAACTGTGCAGGCTTGGAGATCTCAGCCCCGGGTCCCACACACCCACAGGGGCATATACCAACATTAAAAACAATTGTCAATGATCTTTGAAAAGTAATGCCAACAGTTACTTAAAATCCAGAATAATGTGCATATCACTTGTCTACTTCCTCATCTCTAAGCCAATGCCATCAGAACCTGCAAAATTTCACAATAAATTCTCTACTTAAAATCTTCAATAGACGCACAAGCATCTTATTGAGTACCAGTGAGTAGGCTTAGATCTTAATTGAAGGGCTAAAGTGTCCATATAAAATGTTGTATTATCTAAAATGTAGGAAGCAGTAGAAGGTTAGAAGGTCAGTCATGGTAGTAAGACTATGGAGAGATGATTCTAGGAACAGAGCCTGTGCTTCCATGCTTGAGGTCTGGGCAAAGCAGGGGAGAATAGAGCACAGATCTGGGAGAAACACCAGAGAATCCCAGGATTGGCTCCAACCAGCCCTTGTAAAACAAAAGACTATTTGTGTTCAAATCTCACTTTCATCTTTCATCAGCTGCTAATGTTAAGTTCCTAAATATGTTTTGCTTTTTCTATTTTAAAAAAAATGGAGGTCACCCGGGTTGGTCCCTGGACCCCACATGGTTGCCCAAGCCCACCCACCAGGACTGATCCCTGAGTCAGAGCCAAGAGTAAGCCCTGAGCACTGCTCACTGGGTATGGCCCAAAAAACAACATAAAAAATGAGATAGGGGGAGTCGGTACACTGGTAACGGGTGTGGTGTTGGGATTATATGCACGAGGAATCATTATTAACAGTATTGTAAACGATGTAATCTCAATCAATAATCACAATCACTATCATCCTGTTGTTCGCCGATTGCCTCGAGCAGGCACCAGTAATGTCTCCTTCGTCCTAGCCCTGAGATTTTAAAAAGTGCCATATTCAAGGCTCTTTCAGGGTTAGGTGAATGAGACCCATCATTGTTACTGGTATTTGGCATACTGGGTACGCCATGACACGGGGAGTTTGCTAGACTCTGCCGTGTGGACAGGTTACATTCGGTAGCCTGCCAGGTTGTCCAAAGCAAGAATGAGATAGTAATGAGATAATAAGATGTCTCCGGGAACTGGGTTTTATAGTCTCTGGGTCTTGGCTGTTGATGGGATTACATGGCGCCAGGCGGGGGTTGGGGGGTGAGGGGGGCAGTTGGTGGGTGTGACCCCTGCTTACTGGAAGATGGAGAATCTGGGTGAATGGCTCGGATCGGGGCTGAGCATCCTCCACCCAGATCCTCCATCTTCCAGTAGGCAGGGGTCACATCCACCAACTGCCACCCCCCGCCCCGTAATCCCATCAACGGCCTAGACCCAGAGACTATAAAACCCAGCTCCCGGAGGAGAACAGCGCAGAGTCTCCTGCACGCGTGCCTGGCTGTCCTCGCCAGGGCCCTTGGAGGGGGGGTGGGTTGAGTTTCCCTCCCCACCGCGAACAGAGCCAGAACCAGCCACAACCATGCTGAGAGCACTCTCCACACGCATGAAGGTATTAGCAGAGGAACAAAGGCATGCGGGTCCCAGGGCCGAGATCTCCAAGTCTACTCGATCAATCAATAGATCAATCAATAATAAGCTCATGATCACAATCATCCTGTTGTTCGTTGATTGCCTCAAGCAGGCACCAGTAACGTCTCCTTTTTCCTAGCCCTGAGATTTTAAAAGAGCCATTTCAATGCTCTTTCAGGGTTAGGAGAATGAGACCCATAATTGTTACTGGTATTTGGCATATTAAGTACGACACAGGAAATTTGTCAGACTCTGCCCTGCGGGCAGGATACTTTTGGTAGCCTGCCAGGTTCTACAATGGAAAAATGAAATAATAAGATGTTGCGCGGCCGCGCTTCCGGGAGCTGGGTTTTATAGTCTCTTTATCTTGTCTGTTGATGGGACCAACCTGGCGCTGGCGGCAGCTGGTGGGTGTGACGCCTACCTACTGGAAGATAGGGGGGGTTTGGGTGGAGAAGGCCCAGCCCCAACCGAGCAGGCTTGGAGATCTCAGCCCTGGGACCCCTATGCCTGGTTCCTCTGCCAGTTCTTTCATGCCTGAGGCCTGTCCTGACGTGTGGCGAATGGTCCCAATATAAATAAGATAAAATTTTAAAAAGGGGTAAGTGTTCCCAAGCAATGCTTTGGTACTCGAGAGTCTCACCAGCATTCACCAGTAGGCTGACGATTCAGTACAAGGACTCAAGATCATGATTCTGCTTTGGCACTGCAATGTGGGGGATACCTAGACAACCAGACACTGGGGACCTCCAGGGTCACATTCATCCGCGCTCAGGTAACATGAGGGGCCCTAACCATTGCACCATCTCCTCATTCCGGTTTTTCCAATTCAGTTTCCATTCCATTCGGTTTTTCCAATTTATTTTTTTTAAATAAGATCCTATCACTTCCTAAGTTTGCGGTCAACAGAAAATCGCACTGAAAGTGATGAAGTCTGCCACTTGAGTGCTTACCACCCACTAGGCATTAAGCGGGCGAAGGTGGGGGTGGGGGGTGAGGGGCATTGTACAATGCGTGTCATCTGACTGTCAGAAAACGCTGAGCACATTTCAACGTGGCCAACCACTGAAGTTTCCAGAACATTGCGGAGGTCCAGGAGAACCGCGTAGGCTGGACATTTGGGAGAGCTGTAAGGGAGTTTAGTCCAGTCCGCCCACACACAACTGCCACTCTCTTCAGACACCGACGAGAGGCCGTGAAAGCGACACCCGGAGACGCCGTAACCTAGAGGGGTTCGCTTCCCCTCCCTCGGTGCTAGCACGGACCCGGCAGGCGACGAGCTCAGGCTCGCCAGTCCGGGCTGCAGTATCTGCAGTTTCCCAGTCAGGAGTCCGGGATGAAAAGGGGACGAGCTCGAAAGCGCTTCTGCAGCCTTGTTTTCTCGACCCCGCGCTGGGTGCTGTGCGCTCGGACCCGCGGCCGGGCGCGCCCCTGGAGGGAGCGGGGTGGAGCGGGTCTCCGGGGAGACGCGGGGCGGAGCGCGCCGCCGCGGGCCCCGGGCGAGGGGGAGCCTGTTTCCAGCCGGACCCGTCCCCGAGCGGCGCTCCCGAGCCGCGCCGCGCCTGCGCACTAGGGCCGTGGTCGTGCCGGCCCGCGGACGCTCGTTCGCTGCCTGCGCGGCGTCCGCCCGGGCCTTTGGAGTGTCGCCGCCGCCTGGCCGGCTCCAGGTGCGTGAGGAGGAGTTCAGGAACCCGGGTGTGCGGTAGAATGCCCTCCCCGCGCGCCCCCCCGGAAGGCTCTGACCTGCCCGCCGTCTGCTCCCCCTCTGACCCCCGCTCCAAGGGCTCCAAGGTGCCCGGGGGATCCGGAGGAGAGGGCGCCGCGTCCTCCCTCCTGCCCGCGGCTCGGGGGACGGGAGTCTCTGAGGATGACAGCGCCAGGGGAAGCCGCTCGGCTCCACCCCGGGTGGCTCCCCGTCGCGTGTTTCTCGGGCTCGCAAGTCCGCCTCCTGCCCCGACCGTTGTCACCCGTGCCCCACCCCCCTCAGCTTGGTCTCGGGTGGAACTCCCGCGGTCCGTCGAGGCGGTGGCGGGTTAGTCGGAACCGGGTTCGCGGTGGGAGCGCCCCGCGAGGAACGAGGAGTGGGGCCGAAACGGCGGTCCGGGGGAGCCGGGCCGAAACGGCTCGTTGGAGCGCAGAAGTCCCGAGCTCAGCGGCCAGAGAGGCTCATTTCCCTCGCCACCGCCGCCACCGCTGACAGGGGCAGAGTTTATCCCTCGCTGCTGCTTTGCTTCGTGTTAACGGAACCGGTTCGACTGGGGGGGGGGGGGGGTGATAAAAAACAAAACACGTTTTCAGCTGGAAGGAATGTTGGAATCTCCCCACCCCTTTCAGTTTTTACAGTCTTCCAACAGAATATTGTCGTTGTCAGGATAAATTCCTGCTGGAACCACTGAGTTTTAGCTCTTCCCCCACTCCCCCCAGTTGAACAGGAAAAACCACCTAGGTTGGACTGGGTTTTTGTTGTTGTTGTTGTTTTTTATTTTCACTATAAGATTTTTTTTTTAAAAAGTGATCAAAAAAGACTCTGTTGAAGTCAGGACTCTTATGAAATTAATATGCACCCTCCGTAAGTCCAGGGGGCCCTGAACTTACAGCTTGGGGATCCCTGAGCTGTCACTTATAAATAGGAGATGAGATCACTACTTGCCATCCTTGCGTCTAGCACTATGGGCTCTTAATGCTTCCCACATGGCGTGGAGGCAGGTGACAATCATTTTCAGCCTTCGTGCTTAATGGTAGGGAATCATCCATAGACTCATTCTGGCACTGGAATTGGAGATCTCAGTTCCCATTATAATCAGAAAAAGTAGTGTGCACTGCTAGTGTGTGAGTGTGTGATTCCCCCTCCCGCCCCCTTTCTATAGAAATGTTTACAGGAAAGGAAGATAGACAAAGGGAATTACAGACTTTGACTCTATACCCAGCCATTGGCAGCCAGCATGGAGAAGCACAAGACGACCTAGCTGCCCTGAGCTGGGGAAAGTTACTCTCCCTACACTACATCTATGCCATTTGGAGAGGGAACCATAGCCATTTTGTGGGAGGCATTTGCATTTGCAGTCAAAGTTTCACCCTTTCCCCTTCCTTAGCCAAGCTCACACTATACTGCATTTCTCACACAGGTACCCAGTATCATTCCGGTCTCCTCCACCAAAAAGGCCATAGTTAGGAGTGGGGAGTGTACATGGGGGAGTTGCTTTTTTTTCATTTTGACCTTTCCCTCCTTCTCCTGGCCTACAGAAGCCGAAGTTAAGAAACTTCTCTGCAGTGAGATGATTGAATGCTATGTAGCCTTCTGTTCCTCACCCACCTCGAATGGTTTCATTTAATGGACCACCAGGGAGGCAGTACTGCATTTATCTTTTCAGTGTTGCAGTCTTGAAGTAAGTGAATAAAGGCTTGATTATTAACTTCAGTTTGGCTCTTTGTCATAATGAACCACCTAATTGAGTACTCACCTGGAATCATAATTCCAGGTTCTTCGCAGTTCATTGAAATTACAACTTAATTCTAATAATTGTGGATGTGGGTATTTAAAGATTTGGAAGTTGATCACCTTCAAGTTTTTAAAATACGTATCAATAACACCAATTGTTGTTTATGAGGATCTAAGTTTTAGCGTGTCCTTTTTAAGTTATAGAGATTTGTAGTCAGATTATTTTGCATAGGTTTGTGTGATATATTCCATTTTTGCCCCTAAGTAGTTTTTTTGTAATAAATATCTTGGATTATATGGATCTATTGAATGAAATAAAAAATATCCCTTTCCATAGTAATCCAGTCTCATCAGATGAACCTGGTCTTAAAAATTACTTGACTGTTTTGAGTACAGTGATTTGTTGTCAGTTTTTCTAGTATTATGTGAAGGGGTATGTGAGGTACAGATTTCATAACTGATTTTTTTTCTTTTAGTGCTTCATATGAAAGCTTCACAAAATGTGACTCAGTTTACTATTTTCTGCCCTTTTTTTTATTAAACGCTGATTATGATCCATTAAGCTGATTTTGCAGGACATTAATAAGTAGTGATATAAGAGTTTGAAAGATACTGTGCGGTAGCTAGTTGAAAATACTTGGGCTGGAAAGAGAGAGCTTAAAGGACTGTAGGACTGAGTGCATACTCTGCATGTAGAATACCAGATCAATTCACAGCACTACATGGTCTGATCACTGTCAGAGTGACCCCTGAGCACTGCCAGGTATTGCCCCAAACCCAGAAATAAATAAGGAGAAAAATTTGGTCATTATAATTTGCGGAGAGGGTAATTCAGAAGACTGTGAGTTTTAGTGTGTTTGTAACTTTGTGTTTTTTAGAATAGGGATTCTATTTATAAACCCTTTCTTCACAAGAAATTTTACATGGCACCAAGGGTATAAGTATACAAAATAAATACAAATATCAAACATTTGCTGATTTTTAAAAAGTCATTTATTTTAAAACAAAATTTTAAGGTTGTTTGCAGCTCCACATTCATATAACCCCGACTCACAGTTGGAAGAAACTAGTATCTAGAAGATACTAATTAGCAAATAGTTTGCATATTGGATTCTTAACACATCAATTGAAAAAAGAATACCAATGAACTTTTTAAATTTCAACTAGAAGACATAACATTAGAATGGGGGACCTAGAACAAATGGTTTCTCTTTCAGCACTGTAGATCAAACCTAGGTCCTCACAAGTAGGAGGTATGCAGTGTACTGCTGAGCCATACTACTAACCCCAGATATTTTTGTTTATTTGGGTCAGACTTCCTTATTTAAGGAAACTGAGTGAAATAAAGTATGAGAGGAAAAATAGCTTATCTGATAAAAGTTAGGGTTTAAGTTGGTTACAAAAGTGCCTGATAAACTTTTACATGTGTCCTATTTTTTTAAAAATACTTTATATTCTATTTTAACTGAAACTAAAATACTTCATTATATTTCCTGAAAAGTGAACCATACTCAACTTTAAATTATTTTAAAATTATTTGTACTTTTAGAAATTCCACAGCAAATTTTAAAAGGATAACTAAAAAGAACTGTGAGTTTACTTATTGTGTCTGAACAGGTATAAATAATAAAATTGATATTAAATAGATAAGAATAAAATTTTGAGAGGCCAGAGAGATAGTACATGCAGCTCTCCCTTACATATAGCTGACCTCTTCAATCTCCAGCACCACCTATGGTCCCCTGAGCACCACTGGATATGCCCCCCGCCAAAAAGAAAAAAGTTTTAAATTTTGATTTAAGTTAAGTAGTGCATTTGCTTATCATCTCAGTTTTCCAACATGTTCAGATGCGTGATCTACACTGAATCTCACAAAAGCTTGATATAGGTAGGCCAGGAAGCATATTACCTTTTTAAGAGATGAAGAACCTATACTTCCTTCTGCTACCAAGATCATATGTGGCAAATTCAGGTCTGGAGCTTAGATTTTATGGTTCTCTTGGTTGTACATGTTCTTATTAATCTAAAAAAGATGTAATTGTCGACTGTCTCGACTGTCCTCCCATTCATCGATTTTCTCAAGTGGGCCCAGTAATGTCTTCATTGTGAGACTTTGTTGTTACTGTGTTTGGCATATTGAATACGTCATGGGTAGCTTGCCAGACTTTGCCGTGCGGGCGAGATATTCTTGGTAGCTTGCCGGGCTCTCCGAGAGGAGCGGAGGAATCGAACTCGGGTCGGCCATGTTGGCTGCGTGCAAGGCAAATGTCCTACCCGCTGTGCTATCACTCCATATATTACTGATATAGATAAGAAATCTAATTTTGATAACCAAGACATTCTATTCTCATATCTATCCATGTTATGCTAAAATATGTCTCATTTGTAATAATGTTTTTATTTCTTATACTAGTTTCCTTTCTTAAGGGTAACTTTAAAAATGACAGCAACTAAATATTCACAAATCTACTTAATGAGTAAATAGCAAAATTGGGATTAAAAATTCTAATGTTAAGAATTTCAAGGATTTTAATATAGTATTTAAATTAATCAGAACTGGAACCAGAGTGAAAGCCAAAGTGGTAGGGCGTTTACCTTGCATGCAGCTGACCCAGGATCAATACCGGACATTACATATGGTCTCCTTAGCACTGCCAGGACTAATTCTTGAGTGCAGAGCCAGGAGTAACCCCTGAGCATCACTGGGTGTGTCCCAAAAAGCCAAAAATAAATAAAAGGAAGAGCTGTATTGCATTTTAAAACATTTCATTTGAAAAATGAAGCATTTATTTATACGATTTCTAAAGTAGTAATCTAAAATGATTATTAACTTACTCCTCTGTGGTGCTTAGGCTCTTGGGGGCATTCCCAACAAATTTGGGGGTCAGGTTTTGTTGGGGATCAAACAGCTTTGTGTATACCATACATACGCATCAGCTCTTTAAACTTCTTAAATTTTTAGCACAGGAAAATATAGATTCTTCTTAATCCTTAATCTCTTTTGTCAAAGGATACTTTAAATTTTACTTGTTTCCTTGTAAATAGATGATTTTAAATTAGCACTTTTTTTTAAAAATTTTTAGGTATCTGTGGAATCTGAAAATACTATGGAGCCCATCAGAGTGTGTCACTGAAGAATAAAATGGCTGAAAAATTTAAAGTGCTAAAGATTCAACAGTGTGTTGTAGCCAACAAACTACCTAAGAATAGACCATATATTTGCAATATTTGCCTCAAGCACTTTGAAACACCATCAAAACTAGCGAGACACTATCTTATTCATACTGGTCAAAAACCATTTGAATGTGATGTGTGTCATAAAACTTTTAGACAGTTAGTCCACCTGGAGAGACATCAGTTAACTCATAATCTGCCTTTTAAATGTAGCATCTGTCAGCGCTACTTTAAAAATATGAAGACATTCATCAAACACCAACAACTTCATAAAGAAACCTACCAGAATGATGTTAAACAGGTCAAAAGATTGTTGGAGGACAAACAAGATAAAACAATGTATGGAGTGTACCACACTTTGACCACAGAGGAGAGACGGACAGTGCATCCACGCTCTAAGTCTGAACCTACATACAACCCTGCAAATAAAAGAAAGAATATTCATGCATGTAAAATCTGTGGCAAGATGTTTCCGTCACAATCAAAACTTGATAGGCATGCACTCATTCATACTGGTCAGAGACCTTTTAAATGTGTCCTGTGCAGCAAATCTTTCCGACAGTCAACTCATTTAAAAATTCACCAACTCACACACTCAGAAGAAAGACCTTTTCAATGTTGTTTTTGTCAAAAAGGATTTAAGATTCAAAGCAAACTTGTGAAGCATAAACAAATCCATACTAGGAATAAGACTTTTCAGACCCTTTCATTAAAAGGAAAGAGTACAGAGTCATGCCCCTTGCCTAGTAAATTAAATGCAAAGCAAGATGGTTTTGAAAATGGTAATGTAGGTGAATCTGAGAAGAATAGTCAACTTGGTATCCACTCTATTTATATCGTCCCTTTTCAATGTCCAGAATGTGAAGAATGTTTTGAATCACAACAGATTCTCAGTGGACACAAGTGTTTTCCTGTCAAAGGTGGCAAAACTCCAAGCAGGCTCAAAAGAAACTACAGCTATAAAACTACTGTTAAAAAAATCTTGACCAAGCTTAAACGTGCTGGGGGTAAAAAATTAGATGACTTTCAATCTGAGAATAAAGTATTTAAAAATAGTTTCTTGAAAAAATATGATCTTGTTTCGGGTGAGCAAAACCCTGAACATTCCCAGAAAGTGCTTATGGGTTCTCTTTTCAATCATGGAACCTATAAGACTGTTGGTAGTAAAAAGAAGAAAGCATTGACTTTGCCATTATCTTGGCAGAAGCACTTCCAAAGCCAAAATTTGGGGAAAAATTTGAAAAGTATCCTTACAGCAGAAAACATGTTGATTCTGGATAACCCAGTGAATAATAAAGATGTGCCTATGTATGACCCATCAGGTGAGAAATTCTCTGATAATTATGAAGTGCTTCAGTGTGGTTTTTCAGTTATAAGCGAAAACATGCATACTGGACATAAGATATGTCCTTGTGACAAATGCGAAAAAGTATTTCCTTCCATATCCAAACTACAAAGACATTATTTAATTCATACTGGACAGAGGCCTTTTGGCTGTAATGTTTGTGGGAAGTCTTTTAGACAGTCAGCTCATTTAAAAAGACATACATTAACTCATACTGAAAAGATTCCTTATAGAAGATCTCTTCGCCAAGTAGAATTGGAACACTTGGACAAACTTTTCAGTTATCCAAGTGATAGTGTTAACTGTAATGCTTCCCAGCAGTGTCAAACTCCTAGTTTTCAAAACCATGAGATCTCAGATTCAGATCAAATACCAGAAATAAAAGTTAAGTCAGAGTCGGAGGATTTCATTCTTGGTACCCCCTACCGGAAAAGGCAGCCCTATCTCTCTAATGAGCTTCTAGACTCACAACAGAACCAACATAGTCATTGCTGTAATTATTCAGAGTCTCCAGAGAGGAATGATGGCCTTCTTTACCAATGCAGTGTTTGTTCTAAGAGTTTTAGGTCTCCATCTAAATTGGAAAGACATTATCTAATTCATGCAGGTCAGAAGCCCTTTGAATGTTCAGTTTGTGGCAAAGCATTCAGACAAGCTCCTCACTGGAAGAGACATCAACTTACTCACTTTAAAGACCGACCATTCGATAAGTAGTTGTCTTAAATTCTCTTATGTAACTGATTGAGCCTTTAACACATTTCTGATTTCTCTGGTGATCTTGTTCTTAGGGCTTGATACACACACACACACACACACACACACACACACACACACACACACACACTTTTTATCAGAAGGCCTACATTAGGTTGAATGATTTCTTAGGTACTTGCTTTTCAAGCATAGTAAAGTAAAACACATAGAAAACTAAATAGTTCATGAACAGCCAAATTCAATATTTAAAAGGAAGAATGTGATGATGACAAACTAAGCGTGTATTTAAGTTTGATAAATACTTTTTATTTATAGTGTTACCTCTCAAAGATGTGCCAATAATGAGTCACATAGGTTTTAGGAATTACTACTTTAACACCTTGATTTCAATACTTAGGTAAAAATGGTGGGTTTTGGCTATAGCAAATAGCCCCACAATATTTCATTATAAAACAGCAGCATATTTTAGTCCATGTATGACTCAAATTCCAGTGCAATCTTTTTCTTATAGTTTTAAAATTATATTAATGAGAAAGTGAAAATGTATTGATCTTTTCCAAATTATAGTTGGGACTCCTGGTTTTACCTCCCTTTCCAACAGATAACTCAAAATGCTTTTTTACCCATCTTGCTTTTGTCTTTCACCAAACAATTTACAAGAGAGAGGGTAGGATATATCTCTATATACTTGCCATATTTACTTACCAGGTATAATGTCCAAGTGCCATATATTTTTGATTTGTATACAGTATTTTGACAGGAAGTACTCTGCTTATTAATGATTGGCAGACTCAGCTATAAACCCTGCATAGCCACAAGAGTTTTGCATTTGTGTTAGTAAAACTTTGTTACAATGCCTCTTTAATTGGATGGTTGTTTTTTGAGTTTACTTGTTAAGTTTGACCAAATGGTAATGACTGTGTGATTTTAGTTTTTGTTACTCATATGATTTGTGCAAGATTAATGCTAAAGAAAATTATTTGAATCCTTAGTAAATTGTTTTAATAAGATAATTTTTAATACTCAGTTCAGAATGTCATTTTTTAAACAGTACTGTCATAATTTGGCAGAGAGGAATATTTCACTTTTAAAAGATTTATAAGGAGAAAGTGTCCTTTATATTTACCATTTTTCTATCAAATCTCTTGGAATGGCATAGACTAGCAACAAAATATTACCAAAATAAAAGAAAAACAGGTGGGTATTTATCCTAGCATGATAAAATACAGTGACAAGCTCTCTATTGGAAATAAATGGCTACATGAACAGTTATAACTTGTACCTTGGACTAAGATCTGTCTTTGGAGGCAGAAAGAGGGATATATTAAGGGTGGTCTGCTGATGTTACAGGTGAATTTTGAGAAACCATTTAAGGAGATGAATACTATTAACATAAAAACCCAAAGATGTGCAAATGTGCAGAATAAGATGTTTTACAAATACTCTCTTTAGGTTTTCTTGATATTCTCAAATGCAAGCAAGTAGATGGTTTGTATAAATTGCTTTACACAAAACCGTTCAAGAATACATCCATTATATGAAAGCAAGAAATAATTAGCTCATATTTTCCAAGAATAAATATTCAAGTGTTTTTTTCTTTTGAAATGCTTGAATTTATATATTTAGAAATTTTCCTAAAATGTTTATGTAATTTTATTTGAAGTAAAATGTCTTGTATACTTATTTCCCACACTACTAGGGAGAGTCCTAATAGTAGGGTACTTGTATGATTATTACACTCTCTCCCCAAGTGGTATTACTATACATTTTATGCTTTTTTTGTCCATCTTTTTTAAAACTGCTTCATATTGAAAGTTGGAATACTGTAAAAATTTGTTTAAAATGTACTGCAGTGCTATTTCAAGTACCCTGTAAGAAAAAGACCTTATTACCTTTGAAAACTTCTTGTAGAAATTTTCATAGGAATGAAAATAAACTATATGTGCATGCTAAGAAGATTAAACTTTGATATTATATAATGATTTTGCTGCGTGCTTTAATGGTATTGTTGAATCAGTGACAGGTTTTCTGGAAAAGAAATAAACCTTGTAAATTTCAAGAGATTAGAAGAAATATTTTTAGGAATTCTAGGTTGTAGCATGGTTATTTACTACAGTAACTTGATTGGCTGAATTACTGGGAATATTTCTTGTTCTATAATAGGGCCTACAATTTTAGTACAAAAATGTGTGTGTGTTCAAGAAAAATAGATGGTGGTTATAATTTTTAAAAACTTTAAATTTCAGAATAAAGTTTCAAGTTAAAAAGTTTGGACTTTTTTTTTCTTTCTTTTTTTTTAAGGGGAAAAAAATCCTGGAACAAGGTACTGAGAGTGAAATACCTTCTTGAGCCTACCTCATTTCATCCTGCTTTGAACTGCTCACATAAATATTCCATTCTTCCTTATTTTTATCTCTTTTATAGTACTTATTACCTACAAAACATGTTAGCTTCATGGCCTGTTGTATTATATGTTACTCATCTATTTATCCTCTTTGGCCTTTCTCTCCAGATTAATGCTAAATAATTAGGAGCCCAGGAATGTGATTCAGTAGTAGAGCACCTGCCTTGCATACATGAGGTTGTGAGTTCTATTTTAGGCACTACTCATGCTAAGTGATCCCTACTTACCACTTCTTGGAAGCTACTCTGTTAATTGTCACTGTAGTGAGTGTCCTTAGTTGTGAACTACACCATTTTTCCCTCATAATGTACCAGTCACATGGTCTGGGTGAAACCCTAAATTGCAGCTCCAGCAGACAGTCATGAGAATACAGCCCATCAGAATACTCTAATCTCCCCTCATGGCTGCTCAGAAATGAGTAACCCAGATCTAGCCCAGCCAGTGTTTAGCATTACCTTGGCCAGAGTAACTGGCTTAGGAGTATTTCACACTATTGACCTTACTGCCTTCTGAAAATTTTTTCTCAATCTGGTTGGTTCCTTTGCTTTCTTTAATTATTGGAAAAATTTGAAAACATGTACAATAAAGAAAAACCATTGAAAGATATAATTATAGAATATCCAAACCATCAACCAAAACTTTGGCTAAGAGAAAAAAGGTGGTGAAATAGTACATATTGTATGGCAACTAAATATATTTTAAACAGATGTTTCCACATGTTTAGATCACTTAAAAGCTGGAGGCTATTGATATAATAGCCTCTTGCTTTAAAAAAAAAAAGACAATTTATAAAGGCATTTAATATGTAAATTGGCGAATTGCTCATCACCTAAATCTCCTTCAGTTACCTGAAACTATATAATGGAAACATGTTTCCTTTGAAAACCTACTTGGGGCTCACTCTAGAGTAGGATATATCACTTACTCCAGGATAGTTAAAGATGTGAAGCAGGTGCTTTGCATGCATGTAATCGTGGATTCAATCCCTGCATATCCCTGGTAACCCCTGAGCATATTTGAGTGTGGCCCTGGTGACCCGCAACACCAGATCTGAGCACTCCATTGGGTCTGCATAGGCAAGTCATCACGAGCAGTGACCTCCAAGTGTCCTAATACCATTGGAGAGTACTGTAGCACTAACACTCCTCCCGTTCATCGATTTGCTCAAGTGGGCACCAGTAATGTCTCACAGCAAATTGTGAGCCTTGTTACTGTTTTTGGCATATCGAATACGTCATGGGTAGCTTGCCAGGCTTTGCCGTGTGGGCGAGATACTCTTGGTAGCTTGCCGGGCTCTTCAAGAGGGGACCATTGGAGAGACCCTGTAAAAATAAATAAAACCTGCTCTATCCTTCTTTGTTGTGCTTTATGATTCCAGTATATTTTCAGTGGTTTAGGATGAGGACCCAGAAAAATGATGCGGTGGCTTAGGATGCCTGTCTCAAAAGCATATGGTCACAATTCAAATTCCCAGAGTCATTGTATGCCACTTGGTGAGATCTTGGCAGTTCTGCTGACTGAGCCACCAGGGAGTTCTACCAGCTTTTCATGGCAGCACAAGCACTTTCTGGCTACACTGCAGCCACTACAAAGGAGTGTGACTACCTGATAAGTTCCACAACTAAAAGATGCATGAGCATCACAGCCAGGAAGTGGGAATCCTGGCAGTTATGATCTACTCAAGCAAACATTGAAACCACAATGTGAGAGCCACAACTAGAGTGCATGCCCACTGGTAAACAGGCATACAAGCACCACAACTAAAAGGGTACAATCCTGACAAATACCACAGTCGAGTGTGCAAGCAATATACTCTGAAATATGACCTCTGTGAGCATCACAACTAAAATGTTAAAGTTACCATGTCTAAACATATTCTTAAATTCTGGTCAGAGCAGCAACATCAACAATAAAGGGAAGGGAAGGAGACAGATGGAAATTTGTTCTAAATTCACTTCGGATTTTTTTTTCAACTCTTTCTTTTCAAGATCGTCCATGGTATTTCCTCTTCACTTTTACTACTAAAAACCAGATTCTGGGCATTTTACTTTGTCTCAGATTTGTAGTAGCCTCCCAGCTGATATTCTCATCTTCATATTACCCAGACCATTTTATTACCATTCCTGAAATAAGCATTTTTGAAAGTTTATTTCATCATGGGAATCCTGATGGACTGCAATAAGAAATACATTTTCCTTCCCTAGCTTTTAAAACATTTTTAAAGATGGTTTATGAAAGTTTATTAAAATTCAAATTCAGTTTACTTTTATTTACTTTTTTTTAAATCCTGAGAATCCATGCAGATACTTTTCAAATGGCCCATGGCATGACTGCTAATATGTCCTTGACATTGCTCCATAGTAACATAACAGAACTTCTACCTCTTTGAAGATAAAGTTTTGTAACTTGACCCTATTTATAATTTCCCTTGTTTTTGTCCTATAGTTAATGGAGGCTTCCTCCACATCAGTGCTTATGCTGACCCAGAGATTTCTGTTGGTCTGGGGTGGTGCCATAGAATTGGATCTAGGGCCTGGAACATGCAATGCTTGAACTCCAAACTTTCAGCTCTCTCTCAGAATCCCTTGCAAACTAATTAAGTAATCTATTCTGTAACACTGTAGCACTGTCCTCCCAGTGTTCATGGATTTGCTCCAACAGGCACCAGTAACATCTCACAACAAATTGTGAGACTTGTTGATACTGTTTTTGGCATAAGGAATATGTCAGCAGGTAACTAGCCAGGCTTTGCCATGCGCCCAAGATACTCTCGGTAGCTTGGCAGGCTCTCTGAGAGGGGTGGAGGAATTGAACCCAGGTTGGCCGCGTTCAAGGTAAACGCCCTACCTGTTGTACTATTGCTCCAGCCCCTATTGAGGGAGATAGTGGATATATCATGAATTGGTGCAAACCCAGTGGACAGTGTTGATTCAAGTTCACTGTTACATCCTGCTCTGGGCACAGAAATGTAATGCACTTGGTGAGGCCTGGCTTCAGTCAACCCCCTAACACTTTCACAATAAAACTAGCCTCACTGTGGAGGCTGGATATTGGGCAGTGATGGGGCTCATGGCAACTTTGTTCAATTTCACTGTATGAATTATTATTTTCTTTTGTTTTTGTTTTGGGCCACACCCAGCTGTGCTGAGAACTTACTTCTGGCTCTGTGTTCCAAGGATCACTCTTGGCAGGGATCAAGGAACCATATGATGTGCTGGAGAATCAATCAAACCAGGTAAGTGCCTTAACCTCCATATTATCTCTCTGGTCCCCCTCACTGTGTGAATCTAAAATTGCTCCAGGGCCAGAGAGATAGCTCAAAGGACCGGATCACATGCTTTAGCCTGAATTCAAACCTTGGCACCACATGGTTGTCCCCGACCCACAGGCATTGAGCACCTCTGCATTAAATTCTCTAAAAACAAAAAAATCCTATTAACCCTTCTTTTTTTTTACTTTCACTTTTCCATTGGAACTAAAGCAGCATAGAACATGTTTACACTAAATCATTAGTTTTCTTTCCATTTATTTATTTATTTATTTATTTATTTATTTTTGGGTCACACCTGACAATGCTCAGGGGTTACTCCTGGCTCTGCACTCAGGAATCACTCCTGGTGGTGCTTGGGGGACCATATGGGATGCTGGGAATCGAACCCTGGTTGGCTGTGTGCAAGGCAAACACCCTGCCTGCTGTACAATCACTCCAGCCCCTGAGGCATTAGTTTTCAAGTAAAAAATTTTTGGTGCAATAAAGATCTAACATTTATTTTCAAGGTACAAGATCAATTTTATAAATATGTTGTCTTATTGCTCACTTCTAATGCTTCATAACTTAACCACATTTTATGTCTTTTTTTATGTCCTCTGACTATCCTAGAAATACTTTGCAGTTTGGGCTTGCCAGAATGTTATCTACCTGGAAGACTTATCATGGAAGCAGTTCAGAAAATATTATACCTATTCTTTTATTCACTTCCTTTATAAATAAATGCCAATTAGACTATTCTGTATTTAACATAAATTGCCTTTGAAATTATCACTTCACTTAATCACTTAACTTCCCGTTAGTCCTTGATTTGCTCGAGCGGACGCCAGTAACGTCTCCATTCATCCCTGTCGCGTGCCAGTGTAGCCCAATGGCATCTGTTCTCTCTGGGAACATGAAGAGCCTCAAACCGATCGTTCATGATCTTGATGAAGAAGTCTGACCATCTGGTAGTTGGGCGGCCACGCGGTCTTTTGACATCCCGTGGAATCCAGTCGGTAACAGCTCTAGTCCAGCGGTCGTCTTTAAATCTCATTACGTGATCAGCCCATCTGATTTTTGACACCTTGGCAAATGAGACAGCGTCCCTGATTTTTGATCATCGACGGAGGTCGGAACTCCGGATTCTTTCTCTCATTTGAATGAAACGTGATATTCCAAGCATAGCTCTTTCAATTCTTCTTTGGGAGACCTGAATTTGAAATTACCAAATTTGAAATTATCAGCATGCAAAATTTTCATCTCTGACTCTATGAACAAACTTTACACAATATTTCAGTGGAAAGAAGAACTCCACATTGAAGCCCGATATCTGCAGATTCTAAGTGAATTTTCCCTCTGTTACAATCTTTATCTTCAAACAGATTAAGGGTTTTAGAATTTCAGATATGGTTAGAATAAATAAAATGTAAAATAAGTCATCACTCCCCTTCTCCATCCTGCCACCTTCCTCTACTGTGGAGGCAACAGTACTACAGGTTTCTAGTGTGTGCTCATCTCAGTAAAGTTTAATGGAGATACATATTTAATGTATGGATGGATTTTGGGAATGGTCAAGGCATTCAAGTTCAGTAATAAAACAAACAATCCAATTGAAAAAAATGGGTGATTAATGAAATATTTTTTCAAAGAATATATATTCTTTCATAGACACAGGGAAACAATACATTATTTGCTATTACAGAAATACAAATTAAGTCCACTGCAGGACTGTAAAATTGGTTAAAATTAAAGTGATGCTAAAAATGAACTGGCGCTCTCACCAGCCACTACAGGATGAACGTAAAATGATACAGCTACTTAAGACAATTGTCATTTTCTTTAAAAGTTAGCTATACATCTACCACAGAATCAAGGCATTCCACTCCTGTGTATTTACCTAATTAAAAGGGAAATGTGCATGTTTCCTGTCTGACTTATGCATAAATATTCACAGCAGTTTTGTTTGCAATAGTCAAATAAGTGAAAGGATCCACATGCTCATTCACAAAAAGCGCAACAAATGGGTATATCAGCGAAACAAACATTAAGAAATAAAATGGAATGAGCTACTGATTTGATTTACTGAAGCATACATAACATGGGTTAATATTAAGACTGTATTGAGTGAAAAAAAAGAGAAAAGGTACATAGTGTATTATTCTATGTATTATTAAATTGCATTATTAAACACAATCCTATTTTTTCAAGCAAATCAATCTATTCACCTATAGCGGCTACACCAGAGATTTTCGACCTTTCTGCACTTGGCGCAACAGAGTCAATTAAGGGGCAGCTGCACGCACACCCTCCACCTGTTACCAGTGGCGTGTCTTCTCACTCTTGATCAACAGGGGGCGTATGCGGCGGAGGTTGAATCTCCTTGCCTCTCTAGCTCAGACCCAGCTCCAGCACGCACTTCCGGCCCTGTTCTTGTCAGTTTCCGTGGGAACGCTGTGGCTACTGTAGTTCCCGGCGGGATCCTGAGGGCTGAGTACTGACCTGGGCCGGCAGGGTTTTCAGTGGCGTAGTCAGCCACAGCCTTTCTTGGAGGAAGAGTATTAGATCCCGGAGTGCTCGGACAGTGCTTTCGTTTCCGTGAGAGCGGAGGGAGAGTGCTGCCATGGCGACTCCTGCTCAGCCCAAGAAAATCGTGGCGCCTACGGTGTCTCAGATCAACGCGGAGTTCGTGACCCAGGTGCGCCCGGGGGGGCTTTGGGATGGGCACAGCGAGACCTGGACGTGGTCTTTTTCTCGAAACTGGGAGCCCCGGCAGGTTTGCGTGTTCGGTTCTTAGGCACAGCCCTGTCGACTCCACTGGCGGCCACCGTGCTAGGGCCTGGGGGGACAGTCGTCCAAGATGCTGCTCCACGCTGAAGAGCACACGTTCCAAGGAACGAACACACACACACACGTACGTTCCAGGGAACGAACGCACACACACACAATGTGCGAGCTCTCGTTCCAGGGAACACACATTCCAGGGAACGAACACACACACACACACACACACACACACACACACACACACACACACACACACACGCATACACGCATACAATGTGCGACCTTTGCTGTAGTTCACTCCATCTCAGCGATGGATTTTGTTTCAGAGAAGGAACCGCTCCACCCGACCTGAGACCGGCAAGAACATTGCATAGCAGAAGTGATGCCGAACTGACTGTTAAAGAATAAATCACCTTTCTCTGGTCTGTAGCGCAACCTTAGTTTTGAACAATTTTGGAGAAGAATCCAAAAACCTTGCTCCAAATAGACGGATCCTCAGAAAACTGTGTTTCTGAGAGCATTCGTATGGAACCTGTACACTCAATGTATTTGGTTGCCTATGAACAAGGGAACATTCCCGTACCCACTAACATTATGCGTTGTTTTAACTATTACTTTGGGCATGGCCTGGGAATTAAAGTAATTTAATGCAGAAAGTGACTTTGTCACTGCTTCTGTTTTTGTCTCAGCATATTTGTGAGGCAGATGACTTGGAGCCTTCCCTTTACTTGGACCACGTATTCAATTTTTTTAAGTATCTTTTAAATTTGCCTGCTTCTCTACACCCTTATATCTTAACCCAAGTCACCACCATTTTTCTGCCTGGACTTAAACATCTTCTCATGTGTCTGGTCCTTGCTCTTGGACTCCAAACCCTCTTTCTTAATGCTGTCAGAGCTATTTTACATAAACACTTACCTGATTAGACCTTAAATTGTTTAGTGTTCTGTGAGATAAGGGACCAGGCAGCGTCAAATGATGAAAAACTCTTGGCCTTTGAGTATAAAACATTGCCAAGAAATAGGGGGGTGTGGGAGGTTTGTGGGTAGGGAAAAGGAAGAGGTAAACTAAGAGTGACTTAGGACAGTGGTGGGAACTTTATGTCCCATTTGGGCACTTGTACCAAAGTGTCCAAGACCATTTTGGTTGTTTGTTTGTTTGTTTGTTTTGGGGATCATACCTGAGTGTTCTCAGGGCTTACTCCTGGTTCTGTGCTCAGACATCACTCCTGGTGGGCTTGGGGCACCTTATGGGATGCAGGGATCCAACCTAATTTTGTATATTCAGTAATTTTGTACATAAGTTCCAAAAACTTAACACTGTTGAAACCATGTTACCTAAACTACAAAAACCACAAAACAAAACTTTAGAGTTCTAATTGCCCCTCAGATAATGACCAAACTTTTTCGGAGTATCGTTTGATTTGCCTTGTGTTAGATTTGTCCTCTCTCTTTCTCTCCCTTTCTAATTCTCTGCTCCAGCCATAGTGGACTGCATTGATTTAATGTCCTAGCTGCGCTTCACCGTTTGCCCCCCCCTTTCCTTTATATGGTTAATTGCTTATCCATTTACATTTACATTATTTTAGAGACACCTTCCTGACAACTTCAACTAGATCGCTGTTTTCCCTTGGAGTTTTTTGTTTGTTTTTTTGAGGGGGGTCAGACCTACATGTGCTCAGGGCTTACTCCTGGTTCTGTGCTCAGACCTCAGTCCTGGTGGGCTTCGGGGACCATATCAGATGTCAGGGATCCGACCTAAGTCAGCCACATGCAGGGCAAGGCCCTACATGCTATACTATCACTCCAGCTTCCATTTTCCTTTTTTTTTTTTTTTTTGAGTAAACACCATTTATTAGTTTCCTTTTCACCTGAAACATACTTTAGAAGGAAGAGTCAGGAACATGAAGTAGTGCTGTGACAAGGACTGGATAGACTGAAAAAACAATAGAAACAGACCTCTCTGAGGTGGCTTTTGAGCGAAGACCTAGTGCAAAAGGAAAAAGAAGCGAGGGTTGGGAAGAACACAGAAAAAGCTCAGGAGATAATAGTGCAAGTATCCTATGATATGAATATAAAGAAGCAAGGGTAGTTGGAACTTAATTGGTAGGCATGGAAATGTTTCAGATAAGGACAGAGAATAATCTGAAGTTTGACTTCCATTTTAAATATAGTAGATATGGAGGGATGCTGGAGATAGTACAGTTGGTAGGGCTCTTTGCATGTGGCTGACCTGGGTTCTATTTCCAGAACCCCAGGTGATCCTTTGCCTCAGCCTTGACAGGAGTGATCCCTGAGTGAGTGAAGAGCCAGGAGCAATCCCTGAGCACTGCCAGTTGTGGCCCCAAACAAACAAACAAAAAAACCCAGTAGATTTTAACTGTCATTTGGTGAGTAAGAATTGAGAAAGAACACTCAAGTTTTATAGGTTTGTATGATTTGGATAAGTGAAAGTAAAAAGTAAAGGCCCTCCTGTTGTTCATCGATTTGCTCGAGCGGGCCCAGTAATGTCTCCATTGGAGACTTTGTTGTTACTGTGTCTGGCATATCGAATATGTCACGGGGAGCACGGCAAAGCCTGGCAAGCTCGATTTGGATAAGTATGTGTGGAATTTGTGGATCCAATGTGTAGTAATTGGAAAATTGAGTAGGGAAGAGAGAGGAAAAGTAACTAATGAGCTTACCACTTCGGCCTGATAAGAAAGGATGGTGGCCTTTATATTCATAACTGAAGGAGATGAAATAGTATAAAACTTGATGTGGAAGGGTGGACAAAGAGACAAAACTAGATCATAGTGTGTACAGCTGGGTGAACGATAAACTCATTTACAAAGATAGGAGGGCTGGAGTGATAGAACAGCGGATAGGGCATTTGTCTTGCAAGCAGTCAACATGGCCAACCCGAGTTCAATTCCTTTGCCCCTCTTGGAGAGCCCAGCAAGCTATGAGAGTATGTTGCCCAAACAGCAAAGCCTGGCAAGCTCCCTGTGACGTATTCAATATGCCAAACACAGTAACAACATGTCTCACAAGGTTACTTGGCCCGCTCGAGCAAATCAAGGAACAACGGGAGGACAGTGACAGTGAACAAGATAGGAAAACCTAGTAAGGACAAGATTTTGTGGAAAATACCTGAAGTTTTTGATCATGTTAAATGTGAGATGTTTAGTTGACATTCAGTTGAAAATGTTGAAAAGGCTATTGAATTAAATTTTTTTTTCCTCTTTGTGATGATCAGGGTCACACACTCATTTGCGATTTTTGCTGAGAGTAATGCTCTGATTGCAGTACTTGCTGGAGTTTGCTCAGTTTATTGTGGCACCAGGGGGTCACAATAGCTGTGCCATCTGATTGTATGTGAGGCAGTGCAAGGAATGGAATTGAGTGACATTATACCTGGGTGGTAGGCACTGTACCTAGCCCACATTATTTGATGAGCATTTAAATAATTAAACAATAAATGAGTGAATTATGGATAAGCATACTAAGATGCAGTGGGAGAATGAAGATTCTCAGTCTCAAGTCTTGGTGATAAGGATCAGATTTTATTCATGTTTGTAGCCTTCAAGAGACTGCAAACATGAATAAAATCTGATCCTTATTTTCTGGGAGTTGAAGTCTGTGGGAGGAGACTTTCAAAAATACATCACAGTATGATGTAATAGTGCCAGAATGTGAAAGAAGTACTTTGATAACCAAGCTTAAAATGCATTTTTGCTGTTGTATTTGTTTTGGGACTACATCCAATGGTGCTCAGGTCTTACTCCTAGCTCTGTACTCAGGAATGACTCCTGGTGGACTCAGGGGACCATATGGGTTGCCAGGGATTGAACCCAGATCAACTGGGTGCAAGGCAAGAAACCTACCTGCTGTTCTATCACTCTGGACACTTAAAATACTTATATATGTGCTGCCAAGTTTTCTACACCAACATTAGAAAAGTGTTCTTCAGGTTGGAGCGATGGTACATTTGCCTTGGACGTGGCTGACCCGGGTTCGATTCCCAGCATCCCATATGGTCCCTCAGCCACTGCCAGGAGTAATTCCTGAGTGTGAGGCCAGGAGTAACATCTGAGCATTGTCGGGTGTGACCCAAAAAGTAAAAATAAATAAATAAGTAATAATAATAATAATAAAGCATTCTTCAGTCTCTGATGTGGTGGCTCAGAGTGAATGGCGGAACACAGGAGAAAAAGAAGGAATATGCAACTCACTCACTGTTATCAGTAGAGCCTGTTCTGCTCCAGAGATGAATATAAAATAATTAAGCTAAAATAAATGATTATACTTGCCTAAGGAAACAATTTCCAGAAAGACTTAATTTATTTATTATTGAATCACTGTGAGATAGTTACAAAACTTTCATGTTGAATTTCAGTCATACAGTGATCAAAAACCCATCCCTCTACCAGTGCACATTTTCCATCACCAGTGTCTCAAGTATAACACCCCCCTCTCCAACCCTCGCCCTGCCTCTGTGGCAGACAATTTCCCCCATACTCTCTCTCTACTTTTGGGACAGTATGGTTGCAATATAGATACTGAGAGACAATCATATTTGGTCCTTTATTTTCAGCACACATCTCCCATCCCGAATGATTCCTCCAACCATCATTGACTTAGTCATTCCTTCTCTATTCCAGCTGCCTTCTCCCCCAATTCATGAAACAAGCTTCCAGCTGTGGAGCAATATTCTTGACGCTTGGGTCTACTGTCCTTGGGTGTCAGTCTCATATTATGTATTTTATATTCCACAAATGTGTGTGGTCCTTCTATGTCTGTCCCTCTCCAGAAAGACTTATCTCATTGAGAAAGTGCCATGTGAGTGGCCAGAAAGGTAGTACAGCAGGTAGGGCAGTTGCACACAGCTGACTCCGGGTTCAATCCTCCAGGACACTCCAGGAGGGATCCCTGAGCTCAGAGCCAAGAGTAAGACAGACAGACAGTCTTTGTATGCGATGTCTTCTACTTTCTGACTCTTGCATCACACTTGGTGGTACTTAGAAATTACTCCTGGCTTTGTACTCAAGGATCATTCCTGGCAGGACTCAGGAGACCATAAGGAGTGCCAGGTCAGCTGCATGCAAGGCAGGTACCTTATAAATTGTACTGTCTCTCTGGCTCCCTCTGACAGCATTTTCTACTTTTCAAGCATTTATTTCTTTAAGAGAAAAATGTTAGTCCGTTCCACTTTGGAATTACCCACATCCCACTTTGGGATGTGCAATTACTTACTTTTACTTCATGAGTCAATCTACTCTGGAGATGCCCACATCCTCTTTGAGCATGCTTTATTTTCTCTCGCTTATAATAAACTCTCTTTACTTCACTTAAAAGAAAAAGAAAAAAATATATCAATACTTGTTTTCTTTATATCCAACTATATGGAGACATTGCGTATGTGTGTTTAAAATTCACAATTTTCAGGTAAAAATCCTCTGAATCTTCTTTCTTTCCCTCTTTGTAATTCTCCATTGATAGACATTAGGTTTTTAGATTTTTCTCGTGTGTCTGACTGTGCTGCAATTTATGAACAATTTCTTGCTTTAAAAAAAATCGATGATATCAAAGATTTTTAGTCTGCTTTTTAGTCTTGGCTCAACTCTCAACTAATTGTAATTTTGACAGCTCATTTAATCTTTCTAAATCTCTGAATTTCCTTATTTGTATACTGAAGATAATTTGACTGGGATTATTTTTTAACTATTGGGGAGGGATCACACCAGCAGTGTTCCCTGACCATGTTTATGAACTGCTGCCTCCTGTTGATTCTGTAGGTATGGTTAGGAAAGTACGTTTCATTTTCTTAAATCTCAGTGGCAGGGTGCAGTGCAGGGCATTACTGGCTTGTACCTAGGTTTGGGGCCTAGGATGCTAACTGGTCCACATATACACATAGACTCTATAGAAGGTAGAAGTATTCCATGCCCAAGTGCCTGTAGTGCCTTTTGTAAACAGATTATCACTAAATGATCTTTATTCTAGCTTTACAGTGCCATGGATCTAACTTTCTCTTTATACTCTTTGCTTTAACAGTTAGCATGTAAATACTGGGCTCCTCATATCAAGAAGAAATCACCTTTTGATATAAAGGTAAGTGTTTATTTTGTTTTGTAACAAACTTTTTGGATGAGAATGCTCTTTCCATCTCTTATGTAATAGTGGATTCAAGAGTTTATCATATTGTTTAAAATATTACAATTACAGTTTTTTAATTACCTAGCCAGTAAATTACTCAGAACAAAAAAAAAAAATTAGACAAAAAATAAAATTATCACACAGACATAATCTCTACTGTCATGTGTATATGGATTTTATCTAAGGGTTCTTAGATTGTTTTAAATTGATCATTATTGAAACTGGAGCAGTAGTACAGCATCTCCAGGTATGGCTCCAAAACTAGACACCAAAACCAAAACAAAAAAACCCAAATTTTATAATTATTATAAATATTTCTTTGAATATATACAAGTTTTTATATACTCTTTGACAGTTCATTTAGGATAGAGTCTTGTTTTTTTATGCTGACAAGCATGAGATACTCTAATAATGGTTAAAAAAAAGTGTGAGTTGTTCAGAGTTGGGGTTTATATGACTTAGGATCAGTATGGGAAAGAATGCCCAATGTCCCATATCTGGTCTCTGGTATCTCACTAGATGTAGCCTATTGGTCCCCGGTGTTGCTGGGATGTTCTGGAAACAAAAACAGTACCTCCTACATATTATTTCAATAGCAGTAACATTTACTAACTTTCTGAAACTTGCTTATTTTATATAATCTCAGTAATTGAAATCTGTAAGCTTAGGGTCTGAAAAAATTGTTGTTTGAGATATTAAACATTTTATATTTTTAATAACAGGTCATTGAAGAAATATATGAGAAGGAGATTGTCAAATCAAGGTAAGGAGTTTAATTTTCATACATTGGGGTTAAGTGAAACCAAATTGGAGCACACGTGAACTTCTACTTGTGATCATCACAATCACAATCACAAATCATCCTGTTAATCATCGATTGCCTCGAGCAGGCCCCAGTAATGTCTCCTTCATCCTAGCCCTGAGATTATATTCAAGGCTCTTTAGGAGAATGAGACCCATCATTGTTACTGGTATTTGGCATATTGGAATGCCTCGGGGAGTTTGCCAGACTCTGCTGTGTGGGCAGGCCAGTTTGTCCAAAGTAGGAATGAGATAATAAGATGTCATAATAGGATGTCGCACAGCCGCATCCGCATCCATGGCCGCGCGGTTCCAGGAGCTGGTTTTTATAGTCTCTGAATCTTGGCCGTTGATGGGATTACATGGCGCCAGGGGGCCAGTTGGTGGATGTGACCCCTGCCTACTGGAATTTGGAGGATCTGGGTGGAGGATGCTCGGCCCAAATCCGAGTAGGCTTGGAGATCTCAGCCCCGGAACCCGCGTGACTTTGTCCCTCTATCAGTACCTTCATGTGTGCGGAGAGTGGTCTCAGCCTGGTGGTGGCTGGTCCTGGAGGTCTTTAGCTGCCGGAGCCCTGGTCGGGGCGGGGAGGGAAGCTCAACCCGCTCCCCTCCAAGGGGCCCTGGCGGCGAGGACAGTCAGGTGCGGGGGCAGGAGACTGTTGTGATCATAACTCTGGACTTTTGGTCTTTAGGGAGATGATGACTAGAAAGAACTTTTAAAATCTTACAACTGAACATCATATATTACCTCTTTGCCTTCTGGGTTTTCTCTCAGATTATAGGTATTAAATTCCATACAACTATTTTACCCTTTTTTTTTTTTTCTTTTTGGGTCACACCCAGCGATGCACAGGGGTTACTCCTGGCTCTGCACTCAGGAATTACCCCTGGCGGTGCTCAGGGGACCATATGGGATGCTGGGAATCTAACCCGGGTCGGCCGCATGCAAGGCAAACGCCCTACCTGCTGTGCTATTACTCCAGCCCCACCTTTTTTTTTTTCAAATAGAGATGGGGTTTGGGGGCTCCCAATCAGCAGCCCCGGAGGGTCAGTCTCTGCAGTTCTTGGCCTTGCTGTGCGGGTTCGTTGCCAGTGCTCTGGCTTGACAGTGCAGTGCTACTCATGCCCACTGGTGATTAGTAACACTGAAACTGCCCTGGCAGCATTTGGGAACTGTCATTGCCATAGTCCGTCTGCCGGGGTTCCTGTGCAGTGCTGCGAATACAACCTGGAGTCTCCACATGTTGCTTATGCACTCCAGGCTCATGAGTCTTTCCCCAGAGTCCTTGTTTAGGTTTAAGAAAGTAAACATGGAGATTTTATGTTAATCCCCTTAAATCTTAACAGATGTTTCTGCTTTATCATTTCATTGAAAAGAGGCATAGCAATTCTGAGCCCAGAGAAATAGCTCAGGGGTGGAGAGCAGGATTTCTTAAACTTTTTTCACTTGCAACACCTTTTTATAAATATATATATATATATATATATATATATATATATATATTCAATTAGTGAATCACCGTGAGGTACTTTTACATACTTAGAAACTTTTGTGTTTGTGTTTCAGTCATATGATGATTGGGTACCCATCCTTCCACCAGTGTGCATTCTCCACCACCAATGATCCCAGTATCCCTCCCACCCCCTCACCCCCATCCCGTCCCCACCCCGCCTCTTTGGCAGGACATTCCCTTTTCTTCTCTCTCTCCTTTTGGGTGTTGTGGTTTGCAATAGAGGTATTAAGTGCCACATGTTCGGTCTATAGTCTATTTTTTTTTTAACGTAACCTCAGGTATACAGGTACATAAAATAGGTAAGCAATATTTACTGATGATAAATCATTAAAAATAATTTTAAAAAAATTAAAAAAAATTTTGTGATGCTCCACATACTGTAGCCCTGTCCTCCTGTTGTTCATCAATTTGCTCAAGCAGGCACCCGTAACATCTCCATTGCGAGTGTGGCTGTTACTGTTTTTGGCATATCGAATACGCCACGGGGAGCTTGTCAGCCTCTGCTGTGCAGGCGGGCTACTCTCACTCCGTAGCTTGCCGGGCTCTCGGAGAGAGACAGAGGAATCAAACCTGGGTCGGCCTCATGCAAGGCAAACACCCTACCTGCTGTGCTATCTGTATATATCCCGACCCTTAACCCTTGTTTCTTTCTTTATGTATCAATCTGTTCTATTCCTACTCTTCCCTACTTTTTTTTTTTTTGGAAGTGTGCATATATACTTTCTGCATCTTGCCTTCTTAAATTTAAGCAGTGTTTTTTTAGGCACAGGTTTGTATCTCTTCCTGTAGACATGTTTTCCAGTGAGTAATTTAGGATAGTTGATTAAGTGTGCTAATATAAAGTAGAAACATTTATGTTATGAATGTTTGAATGTTGCAAACTTTATAACATCTATTATTTATTGAATATTATCAAGCAAATCCTTGACAGTGTCAAAATAGAAACAAAGTGTTTTGTTTCAATAAGGATTCCTGAACTGTAGAAGTAGGCAGGTCTAGAAACCCTATCTCCCTGGGAAGCTTTTGGGAAATGAATCAGCCAGTTCTTAATATTCTTATGATATAAATGATCACTTAAAAGTTATTAAAATTAGGTAGCTCTTTAAATGTATTGCCTAGTTTTCCATGTAATATGTTGCTTATCACTCAATTGAGTTGTATTTGTTTTCCTTATCAAATTTTGATTAGATTATCTTCCAGTAGCTCATTTCCTCACAACAACCCCCTAGGTCACCATTGCGGTTTTCATTTTATTAATGAAGAAATGAAAGTACAATCTCTCTTAACCAACACTCCAATATTCTGCTGAAAACAAAGGCTGACTTGGCAATTAACTTTTGCCAAAAAAGTTGTTCTCATTAAAATTGTTTAACTGGACATGGAGAGTATCATGCTAAGTGAAATGAGTCAGAAAGAGAGGACAGGCATAGAATGACTGCACTGATTTGTGGAATATAAAGTAGCATAATATGAGACTAACAACCTTAGGATAGTAGAGATAAAGGCCAGGAAGATCACTCCATGGTTTGGAAGTTGGCCCCACGTGTCTAGGGGAAAGAGTTGGGATGGAGAAGGGACCACTAAGTAAATGATAATTGGGAGGGGATGAGAGATATGTGCTGAAAGTAGACCAAGGACCAAACATGATGGCCTCTTGGTATCTGTATTGCAAATCATAGCGTCCCAAACTAGAGAGAGAGAGTAAGAAGGATTGTACCTGCCACAGAAGCAGGGAGTGGGATGGGGTGGGGGTAGCAGGAGGCATACTGGGAACAATGGTGGCGAAAAATGTGCACTGGTAGAGGAATGGGTGCTCGATCATTGTATGACTGAAACATAATCATGGAAGTTTGTAATTGTATCCCACAGTGATCCAATAAAGTTTATTTTTAAAAAATTGTTTAACCACCCCTGTACATGAAATGTAATACTGAAAAAGGCATAAAACAAATGTATTGCCTTCTGGATTATTATATTCATTACTCCCACCCAGGTCACACAGTCAACCTTTCCAACAGTTTTTCCTGTATAGTGTGCTTTCACACAATCAGAGCTGGAGAGAAAGCAGGGGCACTTACTGAAGTAAAGGAATTCTCCTTTGTGTACTCTTACCTGTGAGTCCATTAACAAAACAGTTCATGGGCCCCATATGCTGTCCATAAATTCTCTAGCTGTTTTTGATTTAGTGACATACATGTTAAACATATTATCAGGCACAAAACTTGAGAAATAACCATTCCCAAATTTTTCAAGTTATTTGTATTTGTTACTCTTAGAACTTTTTTTTTTATTTGTGTGTGTGGAGTGGAGGTAGTGTGTAAATTATACAAGGGGATACCCCACCAGGGTACTGAACTCTGATTCCTACATGCAAAGCTTGCACTTCTTGCCCTTGAGCTGTTTCCCGGCCCAACTTTTCATTCTTATCATTAGAATTCTTATGGCATGGTGCCTAGTTCCCTAAAATGGATTTTATTTTATTTTTTGCTTTTTGGGTCACACCCGCAGATGTACAGGGGTTACTCCTGGCTTTGCACTCAGGAATTACTCCTGGCGATGCTCAGGGGATCATACGGGATGTTGGGAATCGAACCTGAGTCAGCTGCATACAAGGCAAGCACCCTACCCACTGTACTATTGCTTCAGCCCTAAGGATTTTATGTTTTATTCATGCCTTCAGTTGTATACTCTGTCTGGATCTACTGGCAGAAATATAAAGCTCCAGGTTTAATGACTACCACCAAGATTGCTAAAAGCCAAAACATGTTTTGCTTTTATTTTTGTCTGATGAGACTTCTTCACTTCCCAAGTCATTAGAAGAAAAAAGCTGGCCACTCTTCTCTTTTATACATAAGGAAACTGGGTCTATATTATATGGGTCTATATGGGTCTATATACCATAGACCATGTTTCTATATTATACTTAACATAAAAATGGAGTTAAACAATTTTAACAAAAGCAAAAATTGTGGCAAAAGTTCATTGCTGCCTAAGTCAGCCTTTATCTTCAGCATAATACTGAAGAGTGCTGGTTAAAGGAGATTGTACCTTTATTTCTTGATCCGTAAAGTGAGGATAGTAGCAGTGACCCTATGATCCTCTGGGCTTGTGGTAAGGAATTTAAAAAGATGTGGCCAATTTAACACAGCAAGCCATACTAGAACACAGATTTGTATTATGAGTCAGGATTTTCTTTCATCGTATTGTCCTATCAGTGGCTGGAGAAATTAGTAAGGATATATATATATATATATATATGGATTCAGGAGTGAATTCTATTGCCTGAAGTGCAGCTCAACTAAACATCTTTAGCTGGACATCAAGAAAGTGTCTTATGAGGTACTTTTTCCTCATGTAGCTGGCAGTGCCTTGACAGTATTCTTCTGGTATAATGTGGTATAGTAAAGGCCGTCATTTTATTTGCATTAAAGTTATGTGTCATTGCTTATTTGTGAAGCTATTTCAGAGATCAGAAATATTTCTCCCCTATACTATCTCTTGGGCCCTGTTGGTCAGAGTTTAAGAAATTGAGAAAGGACTGGAGAGAGAATACAGCTGGTAGAGTGCTTACTGTGCACAGGGTCGACCCAGGTTTCATCCTTTGACTGCCACATATAGTTCCTCAAACCCCTCCAGGAGAACTCCCTGAGCAGAGAACAAGGAATATTCCCTGAGCATTATTGGGTGTGACCCAATAGCTCCCTTCCCCCCATACCCCTGAAGAAAAGGAAGACATTTAAGACAGGGCATTGATTGGCAATTTTATGAACCAATATAATGAATATTGACAAATATCCATATGTTGATTAAAGTTATTTGTCTTATTTCATATGCATTTCATTATGTTATAGGGCTGGAGCGATAGCACAGCAGGTAGGGCGTTCGCCTTACAAGCGGCCAACATGGCCGACCCGAGTTCGATTCCTCCGCCCCTCTCGGAGAGCCCGGCAAGCTACCGAGAGTATTCGATATGTCAGACACAGTAACAACAAAGTCTCCAATGGAGACGTTACTGGGCCCGCTCGAGCAAATCGACGATCAACGGGAGGGCCTTTACCTTTTACCTTTACCTTATAGTGTGATTATATTCTTGGTGTAGGATAAGAATTCACCTAAGAAGCTCTTCTTAGTTTTTAAAAATAAAATAACCTGCTATGAAGCAAAATATATAATGAAATCTAAAACAAAATTAACATTTTGCAATGCATATTAAGATTAATATTAATGATTAATATTTCAATATTAAAGTAGGATTTCAAAGTGCATCTGGATTAGTAACAAATATTTTATATTTCCTGAACATTTTTATTTATTTATTTATTTTTATGCTTGTAGGTTTGCCATCAGAAAAATCATGCTCTTGGAATTTAGGTGAGTTGAAAGACTTCAGTTCAATGAAGTAAAAGTTAATGATGTGATAGAACTTTTAACTGAATTCTCTGTCATTTCTGTGAAGTTAAAGAAATCAGAACTTTCAAAATTCATGTTTAGTGATTAACTGATTTTGGGAAAAATGCGTTATATCTTTTATTTTTAGAGATGATATTCTGTTGTCAGTTTAACTTGTATTTTTAAGTTCCTTTGTGAGTTAGTACTGAACAATTTCCAGCTCTCCCTTGGTGCCTAGAGTCATCAGTGGGAATGGGAGTGCATTCTGTTGTCTCTTTTTTCCTACCAGGCTAACTTGTTATAATTGAGGCAGCTCTTTTCTGATCTAGCCACTAATTTATGTCATGGGTAGCTTGCCAGGCTTTGCCATGCGGGCGAGATACTCTTGGTAGCTTGCCAGGCTCTCGGAGAGGGGCAGGGGAATCAAACTCTGGTCAGCCGTGTTGGCCGTGTGCAAGGCAAACACCCTAGGGGCTGGAGCGATAGCACAGCAGGTAGGGCATTTGCCTTGCATGAGGTGGATCAGGCTGACCCAAGTTCGATTCCTCCGCCCCTCTCTGAGAGTATATCGCCCGCGTGGCAAAGCCTGCCAAGCTACCCGTGAGGTATTTGATATGCCAAACACAGTAACAAGTAACAAGTATCACAATGGAGACGTTACTGGGCCGCTTGAGCAAATCGATGAACAATGGGATGACAGTGCTACAGTGCTACAGTGCCACTAATATATCTTATTATTATTAATGTGGAACAAGTTGAGATTCAAGTGGTTATGTAATTTCAGTTATTCATGATAGCACAATAACACAGTTATTAGCAGAGCTGTGATGTCAGTGTTTGATCTCAAACCTCATGACATTTCTGTTTTTCCATGTTACCTAGATGTCTAGTCTGTATCAGAGATCAGACTCTATGCATTAGTAGTTATTTAATACTTCCTATAGTGATTTGATCTTCATCTAAAACAGCATAAGTAAGCAATATTAGCATGCTTGTAGAGGAAAGTTGGAATTTATAGTTACAAAGGAACTTATAACTCAAGTGCCTTCTATTCCTCAGAACTCTGTTACAGTTAAATACTTTATTCTAGTTACTTTCCTCAGTAACCCTTATAAGATCTTTCTTCTTAATTTATAAAGGAGTTCACTGAGGCTAAAAATCAGAACATCTGACTCTTAGATTAGTGTGACCTTTCCATGTTATTATGACATCTTTCCAGATGACAAAAATCAGAAGGATACTCATAAAATTAGAATAGATCTAACCATAATTCTGTTGTCCTGGCAAATATAAGAAACCAAGAGAGCTACTGTGACAAAGCAGCAGAGCAGATTAAAAGGCACCAGTGACTGTGAAAGATTTTTAATAACATAAAACAGAGGACCAAGTATAATACAGCTCAGAAAAAATAACACACAAAAAAAATTTCTTAAAAACCCGATAAAATGGATTATTATATTTTCAGCAACTCTTATGTAAATTTTGTGTGAGACTATACTATTCTTTGTGTTAAGCACCAAATAAAACTAAAGTCTATGATCTATCACAGTGAGAGGTGGTAGCACTGTATCACTGTCCTCCCGTTGTTCATCGATTTGCTTGAGCGAGCACCAGTAATGTCTTCATTGTGAGACTTGTTACTGTTTTGGCGTATTGAATACGCCACGGGGAGCTTGCCAGGCTCTGCCATGTGGGCAGGATACTCTCAGTAGCTTGCTGGGTTTTCCAAGAGGGACAGAGGAATCAAACCCAGGTCGGCTGTGTGCAAGGCTAACACCCTACCCACAGTGCTATTGCTCCAACCCGAGAGATAGTAACTAATGAAATATTCTGTGACTTGTATCTCTTCGCAGCCAGTACCTTGAAAATTATCTCTGGATGAATTATTCTCCAGAAGTGTCCAGCAAGGCCTACTTAATGTCAATCTGCTGTATGGTGAATGAGAAATTCAGAGAAAATGTCCCAGCCTGGGAGGTAACAGATTTCAGTTTAGATTTTAGACTATACTCATTTAAGTCATTATGAAGTAACAGAACTTTTTTTACTGAGAATCACTTGCTTTTAGAACAAAAATTTACCAAATAATAAAGTAAATGTTGAGGGAAAAGGGGATATGTGAAAAATACTTGTTTTCCTCAAACTAATTTTCTGTGACCTGAAAAATTAAGAATGTGTAGTTCATTTTCTGCTTTGTGCTTAAAACAAAGAGTAGCATAAAACTTTAATATTAGATAAAGTTAAACTTACATTAATTAGTATAAATAGATAATGTTCAAATGAAATTGTTTTTCAGTGTCATTTCTCAACATGGGGATATACTTGAAACTATATATGAATAAAGCAGTGTTTTCTAAGAAGCCATATTTATCAATTTACTTTTCTCTTTATTTCTGATTTTGGGATTTGTTTTAGCTTTCCAAAATTTTTAGTAGACTGGTATTTTCTCTTTGTGCTATTTTATGTGATTTCCCCAAAGTGGGTAATCCTATCCCGTTTATCTGGGGATAGTGAAACTGTCCAGGGTACTGGTATAGTTTCAGATACAATTGGGGTATTTTTGTATGCTTGCTTAAAGAAGACAGATTTCGGGGGTGGACTGAATGACTTTTCTTTTTCTGAAAAAAGAGTACTTCACCAATTAAATTTGGAAACTTTTTTTTTTTTGCTTTCTGATAATACTTTTATTGATTTGTACGTAAAATACTATTTTTGAATCCCAGGAATATCACTAGATAATTTTATATGATAATTTTTTAAAAAATTTTTAATAGTGAGACATCATGGGGTACAGTTACAGACTTACACATTTTTGTGCTTGTAAATTTGGAAACATTTTGTACTATTGTAATAGCCAGTTGGTCAATAGACTTCCAAAAATCTACAGAATTTTTTGGCCAACATTAAATGTTCAGTTCATCAAAAAATTTTCTTTCGTTCTAGTTGCACTTTTATCAAAAGAAGAAAAATCCTGAATACTTGTGATCTTCTTTCAGGGAATGATCTGCAAAGTGAGGTGTTAAACTTTTCAACACAAAACTTTGGACTCTTTTCAACTATTAAGTGACAATTACTATCTTAAAGCAAATTAGAGTCCAGTGTAAACTTGGGCCTTGTGTCTTATTGAGAGATTTTAATCTTTCTTGAAGTTGCTTCAAGCTTCCCATAGAAGGGGAATGGTAAACATTTTTGTGAGTCAGGATGAGCTGATCAGTTTTTATGTTTGAAAAATTATGTTAGTAATCAGGGCTTGAAATAGAGAAATGACTGTGTAGGTTAAGAGAAATGGACAAATGCAGACTTAGGAAGTGGAGTTTTGATTGGATTTGATCACTGAAAGCAGAGGTAGGGGTAGGAAAGGGTGTTATTTTCAATAACCCTCTGTACCTGAACACTGTAAATGATAGTACCACTTGCCAAGATCGAATAAAGAGTTGAAAATTATTTGAGATTATATAGAATCATTTAAGTTTTAAACATACTGAGTTTAAATTGTCTTTAGGAAATATTAACTAGGACTCTAAATAGGTAGGGAAATCTGGACTGAAAGTGTATAACTGAAATTATTAGTATATGGTAGTAAAGGGGAAGACTTGAACACCAGAATGCTGTGGTGTAAGTTATTAAAGAATGCACTGAAAAGGAATTTATGGTTAGAATCCATGGACTTGACAGTGTTGATAATAGCTTCAGGAGTGGAAGTCCTATGCTTCAGGCGGATACCGTTTTTGAGAAGTGAATGACAGCATAAGCACTTGTCTATAAGAGAAATTTGATAGTAACAAGATGATGAGGTGGATTAAAGGGATTGAATATATTTTTTACATTTATTTAAGCCTTATTTGTTCAAAAAATAGAACTATATATGAAACAGGAAAAACTATTCTTGGGATTGAGATGGTAATATCAATATTTGCTAAAGGCTTCTTTTGTGTCAAAGGAATCAAAGTACTTCAGATTCTTAATAAGAAAACAGTCTAGTCTAAATATGGGCATACTCCACAAAAGGAAACAATAAAGGAATTACTTGTTTGCTGAAGGTTTCTGTAACTCTCATAGTCCCACCAGAAACCTATAGTTGACACCCACCTTTAATTATAAATAATCTTGTATAACTAAATGATTTTGTTAATGAACTCCTAAAGTCTGTCAGTATTTAAGGGAGAGGAAGAGAGAAACAAGGCAGAATAAATGAATGATAATTAAAAAAATAAAAGAATTTTAATTCTTCTCTTTTCAGACTTTTAAGAAGAAGCCAGATCACTTCCCATTCTTTTTTAAGTGCATCTTGAAAGCGGCATTAGCTGAAACTGATGGTGAATTTTCACTCCATGAACAGACAGTCCTATTGCTTTTTCTTGATCATTGCTTCAATAGTTTGGTAATTTTACTTTTTCTTTTGGGGGAATTTTCACATTTTCTTGATGACCTTTGTAGCCAACTTTTAATTCATAGTAGTGGGGGGGGGGGGAATAAAACTACAAGCTTAAGTTCAGCTACTACTCCATAAAATATTTTAATAAAACCTATCCACTTTTTTAAATATGTCAACAGGTCTGTAGGGGAATTGTGTTTTGAGCTGATTATGTAACTGTGAAAGAATGTTTAAAAAAATTTTTTTTTAATTTTTATGAGTGAAACACGATGAGGTACAGTTGTAGACTTACAAATTTTTGTGCTTGGGTTTCAATTATACAATGATCAAGTACCGATCCCTCCACCAGTGCCCATTCTCCACCACCATGATCCCAGTATCCCTCCCATTCCCCCCTCTCCCCCCATCCCACCCCACCTCTGTGGCAGGGCTTTGCCTTTTGTTCTCTCTCCCCTTTTGGGTGCTGTGGTTTGCAAAAGAGGCATTGAGTGACAGTCATGTTTGGTCTATAGGCTACTTTCAGCATTCATCTCCTATCCTGGGAGTATCCTCCCAGCACCCTTTACTTGGTGCTCTCTTCTCTATCTGAGCTGACTTTTCCCCTAGCATGTGCAGCTGGCCTCCAAGCCATGGAGTGAACCTCCTGGTACTTATCTCAGCTATTCTTGGGTGTTAGTCTCCTATTTTGTTACTTTATATTCCCCAGATGAATGCAGTCTTTCTATGACTGTCCCTCTCTTTCTGATTCATTTCACTTAGCATGATACTTTCCATGTAGTACCACTTGTATATGCATTTCATGACTTCATCTTTTCTAACAGCTCCATAGTACTCCATTGTGTAGATGTACCAAAGTTTCTTTGACCAGTCATTTGTTCTCCGGCACTCGGGTTTTTTCCAGATTTTGGCTATTGTGAACAGTGCAGCAATGAACACAGAAGTGCAGATATCATTTCGACTGTACTTTTTTGTCTCTCCGGATATATTCCTAGGAGTGGTATTGCTGGGTCAAATGGGAGCTCAATTTCTAATTTTTTGAGAATCGTCCATACTGTTTTCCAAAAGGGCTGAACCAGTCGGCATTCCCACCAGCAGTGAAAGAGGGTCCCTTTCTCGCCACATCCACGCCAACACCAGTTGCTTTTGTTCTTTTGGATGTGTGCCAGTCTCTGTGGTATGAGATGATATCTCATTGTTGTTTTGATCTGCATCTCTGATGATTAATGATGTAGAGCATTTTCTCATGTGCCTTTTTGCCATTCAGATTTCCTTTTTGAGAAAGTTTCTGTTCATTTCATCGCCCTATTTTTTAAAGGGGTTGGATGTTTTCTTCTTGTGGAGTTCAACCAGTACTTTGTATATAATTGATATCAACCCCTTGTCAGATGTGTATTTGGTGAATATCCTTTCCCATTCTGTAGACTGTCTTTGTATTTTGGTCACTGTTTCATTTGAGGTGCAAAAGCTTCTTAGTTTAAGATAGTCCCATTTGTCTATCTCTGTTTTCACTTGCTTGGCCAGTGGCGTGTCATCTTTAAAGATACCATTCGCTTCAGTGTTGTGGAGGGTTTTGCCAACTTTGTCTTCAATGTACCTTTTGGATTCCGGTTTGATGTTGAGGTCTTTAATCCATTTTGATCTTACTTTTGTACATGGTGTTAGGCAGAGATCTGAGCCCATTTTTTTGCTTGTAGCTCTCCAGCTTTGCCAGCACAATTTGTTAAAGAGGCTTTCCTTGCTCCACTTCACATTTCTTGCTCCCTTGGCAATACTCCCCAAAGCACTGTACAAATTCAATGTGATCCCTATAATAATACCCAGGACATTCTTCAAAGAAATGGAGCAAACACTTCTGAAATTCATATGGAACAATAAGCCCCCACGAATAGCTAAAGCAATTCTTGGGAAAAAGAAAATGGGAGGAATCAACCTCCCTAACTTCAGACTCTATTACAAAGCAATAATAATTAAAAAATTAATTATTTTAATTATTACCACAAGAGTAATAATTTAAAAATTCCAGCATGGTACTGGAACAAAGGCAGAGCTGCATACCAATGGAACAGGGTTAAATATACTGACATTTTCCACCAAACATAATTTTTTTTAATGTATAAAATGTTTTATATCATTGGCTTACAAAGTTTAGCTTCATGTCTAGCCTCAATATGTGTTTTGTTTTGTTTTGTTTTGTTGGTCACACCCAGCGATACTCGGGTTACTCCTTGCTTTGCACTCAGGAATTACTCCTGGCGGTGCTTGGGGGATCATATGGGATGCCAGGGATCAAACCCAGGTCGGCTGCATGCAAGGCAAACACCCTACCCACTGTGCTATCACTCCGCCACCCTCAATATGTGTTAATACTTCACCACACTGACCACACCAGAGTTTTAGGATCATTCCACTATCAAGTTGCCCTCCTATGTCTTTTCCCTCAAAAACCCCCCTTCCGCTTCTCTGGTACTCCCCACCCCCCTCCATATTTATCATAGTCTGAATTAGTTTTATTACATTTTGTTAGTTTTTTGCTCTAATATGTTTGATCAGAGCGAATTATATATATTAGATGAATGGAGACGTTACTGGTGCCTGCTTGAGCAAATCGATGAAGAATGGGACGACAGTGCAGTGCTGCTACAGTGCAGTGCAGTATATATGATATATTTTCATTCTTCATAAGATTATCTTAGCATTTATTCTGGTTATTTGAAGGCATATACATATTTATGTCAAGGTAAAGTTTCTGAATTGATAGTGTACTTAGACTTACACAGGAGAATGCGTTAAAGTTCTTTCTTATCCTGAGAACTGAATGTTGGTGGGTGGTCCTTAGCTGTTTTTATGTACTGTCTCAAATGGATCCCATAAAGGTATAATAGATTTATAGGACTTCCAGTGGATGAGACTGTTACCTCTTTAATGTATATTACGTTAGAGTAACTATAAGGAGATATCATTCCTTATTAGGAATTCAGTTAAAGCAAGATTTAATTAGTATTAGTAGTTTGGTGTTAGATTTAGCTTATTTAAGGTTTGCTTATTATTTAAATGATTAATATGTAATTTGATACATTATTTTCAGCATAGTAATTTTAGACACTTGACTGAGTTAGCTAAATCTGAGTCATTAGCACTAAGGGTAGTAGAAGTGTGGGTTCCTAAAATCCTCTGGACATGGCATTTCCATCAACCAATTAGTTCATAGCCCGACTTATGTGTGTTTCTATTTAAAAATTCCTTTGTAATAAATATCATTAATGTTAACTCAGTGGCCTTCAGCATTACTTGTTTCATTATGTCTGAATAAAAATATGAATTGAGTAACCATGTATTTCCTGAGCCCAAGACATTTTAATTTTAGCCTTCTTGTGCCTACAGCACTAGGCCACTCTTTGGTAGCAATCTTGGAAACCATTCTAAACTGTAAAATCACCAACAAAAAAACCCACAAAAATACAAAACAAAGCAACAACAACAAAAAAGGTACGAATGAATGATGGATGATAAAAAAGGGCACTTGTTTGCCTAGTAAAGCTAAAGTAAGAAAGGCAAATCACTTTGTTCAGTTTCTGCTAGAAATGTGTGTGTTGAGCAAATTAGTGTTTTGTACTTTGTGTTATCTGTGAATAGCAGTAGTGTTGCGTGTCTTGCATGTGGAGACCCCAAGTTAGATCACTGGCACCTCCCGCTCTCCTCCCCAGCACCAGCAGGTATTTCCTTAGTAGCACCAGCACTGTTAGGCATGAGCTCCAAATCTTTATCAGGCTCACAGAGCTGGACTGACGGTTGTCAGGAGCGACCCTCAAGCCCCCAAGCATGTTGGAGAGGTCCGCGCCTCCTTCCTATCCATGACAAACTTTATTCTTAGAGAGGGGAGATGTAGTTCATTGGTAAGGCACATGACTTGCATGTTTGAAACCCTGGATTTAGTCCCTGAAACCCCTGAACAAATACTGAATCCTCATATGAAATGGCTGAATTATTTTTCTTTTGGATTTTGGGGCCACACTGGTAGTGTTCAGTTGTAGTCGCTTTCAGTGTTGCCTGAGAACTATGGGATCCTGGGTGTCAAACCCTGACCTCTTCTTTTTTTTTTTTTTTTTTTTTTTTTGCTTTTTGGGTCACACTCGGCGATGCACAGGGTTGCTCCTGGTTCATGCACTCAGGTATTACTCCTGGCGGTGCTCCGGGGACCATATGGGATGCTGGAAATTGAACCCTGGTTGACCTCATGCAAGGCAAATGCCCTACCCACTGTGCTATCACTCCAACCCCAAACCCTGATCTCCTGTGTGTAAAGCATAGCCCCTTTAGCCATCTCCCCAACGCAAAGTATGGAATTTTTTAATATTAAAGTAGTATTCATTGGATGTTGGAAGCAGGTCAAGAGACACACTGCATCTATATTGCGAACCATTAATGCCTAAAATGAGAAAGAGAGAAGAGAGGTACCTGCCATAGAGTCAGGCTGGGGTAGGAGGTAGCTTAGTGGTGGGAGGGAAACGGGACACTGGTGCTGGGAAATTCACTGGTGGAGGGATGGGTGTTGGAACATTGTATGACTGAGATGCAATCATGAACAATTTTGTAATGCTCTATCTCATCATGATTCAATAAAAAAAGAGAAAGTATTCATTGAAAGACAGTGACATGTACCTCCACAAACCTCCAGCCCCCTGAACTTAGAAACATGTATTGCTTCCTATCTAAAGATTCAGGCTTAAACTGTTGGTATGTTTCATGTGGAGGTGTGAAGCTGTATTCCCCAAATCTTAATAGTTTATATAAACCAGTGGTAAGGCAGTCAAATTTGATTAATAATGATTCTGGTATGCTTTAAAACCTGTTTTCTTCATGCCTTAACCAGGAAGTGGACCTGATACGGAGTCAAGTGCAGCAGCTCATCTCCCTTCCAATGTGGATGGGCTTACAGTCGGCAAGTATCTTTCAGAAACTCTTATGTTATAATCTGAACATGCAATTTTAGATGGTGCAGCTTTAATATGCATATAAATGTGGTAGCTAAAAATTTCCCTTCCTGCTTATAAAATTTAGCTGTTACTATGCAAAAAAGATGTAATTTTATTTTTAGCTCTAATTTTTTTGGTACAAGCTAAAGTGTGTTTCACCTACTTTCAGTACTAAGTTGAAATAATGTAATATGTGAGTCCATAGAAAAGAGAATTTAATTTGGCAAAGCATCATCCTTCTGTATGCTTCTGGTGTGTATGTTGCTATGCTGGGTTTCAAACCCAAACCCTCATACATGCAGACTTGCTCTACCTCTGAGCTACATAGCAGCCCTACTTTTGGGTATAATTAAATGTAGGCTTGGATCTTTAATTTCCCCTTAATTAGAATATACAAAGCCGTAATTGAAGTTCTAGATCATGTTCATTATAAATAACTTCATTTATTTTATCCAATCTTTATTGGATAACATTAGCAATTTTCTGGTATCAAAGCCAAATTAATAGATTGTAGAGTTAACACTTTAAAATTTCATTTAAATTTTATTTAAAGTTAATACTTCAAAATTTCATTTGCTTTTTCAGAATTCAATTTCCTGCAGGTGATAGTTTATGTGATACCAGATATACAAGTTCATTGGTTGATGGGAATGAAAGCAGACAGATAAAAAATTTCTACTAATTTAAAAAATAAAGTGTCCTACAAGAAGAGGAGGATATAGTGATTTTGATACTATCTTGTTTGGTTGTATTGACTGATCATTGTTTCATTCAAACATTAGTCAATATGCTTTTAAGCTTATTTGCTTATGTTTTCAATATTAAATCCTTAATTTTAGAAATAAAGAAATTTAACTGATTACTGAGCTGAAAGTCTTTTCGAGAAAATGCAGTTTATAATTTTTTTCTGTTAAGAGTTAGAATTATACAGCTTCAAAAAATACAATTTTCAGTTTCTTTGCTTTTAAGTTTTGTCATGTTATTTTCAGTTTTTTCCCATTGCTCCCCAAGTATGCATGTGTTTGAAAACTTAATGATATTAATCTAATCTTTATCCTTGTAAGTTCTGAAGTTACTGATGTTGTAATGCTATATCATTCTTGCAGGCACGATTGGACTTAGAATTAAAAAAGACACCTAAACTAAGAAAATTCTGGAATTTAATTAAAAAGAATGATGAAAAAATGGATCCAGAAGCACGGGAACAGTATGTTGACAAAGTTTCATTCTGTATTGGTTTATTAGTGTGTGTTATGAGTCTTAGGTGATATTGACAGTGTTGTTGCTTCCTTTTTTATTTTGGTTATACTCACATAGATGCTTAGGGCTTACTCCTGGCTCTGCGCTCAGGGATCACTTCTGTTGGACTATATTTGATGTCAGGGATTGACCCTGGATTGGCTGCATGTAAAGCAAGCACCCTACCCACTATACTATTGCTGTGGTCCATGGTTATTGCTTCCTTTGTATATTACTGAAGAAAAAATATGGTTAAGAGGTACTTTTACTTAGTCTCTCATGAAGTATTTTTTCACAGAGGTAAAAAAGAAACTGTAACTCTTATATTTTTCTTTCTACCCAACTGGTAAGTATGGAACTCTTTTCTCTCTGCCTAATGTTCATAGTCTGTCAGAGATGGTTCTCTGTATTCTTTAGTTTTAAGCCATCAATTAATTTATTTTTCTTGCATTCTCACTCTTAATGACTTTTATGTACTCCAACCTTAATTCATTTATTCAACAAATATTGAGTGCCTATTATTTTCCTAGGCACCATTCTAGGTTTTGAGGGTATAACAGAGAAAAAAGGACATTAATATCTGGCCTTGATGAAACTTTATTCTAGTTGAAAAGACCAGAAATAAACCTGAGTTACATAGTTTATTACATAGTACTAAAGGGAAAAGTAATTTGATTATAAAAAGTGAGAGAGATTCTTTTAGTCATTAAATTCAAGTCTAAATTTTCAAGATGCAAATTTTGTAACAGAAAATAGATACTTTTTCCTTCATTTTTGATGAACCCTGCCCTTGTCCTTGTACCTTTTGTTTTTTTTCTGGGATTTTGAGTTACACCTGGCAGTTTGGGCCCATTTCCTGCTCTATGCTTTGTGCTCACCTCTGGTACTGGAGAATTATTTTTTTAATTTTGGAGACCACACAACAGTTAATAGTTTGTTAATTGTGGTCAGATCTAATAGTTTATTGGGGGTACGGTGGGAAGAGGATGGGGGAGAAATTTTTTTTTTTTATTAAATCTGGGGCCATGCACATGTAAGCTACATCCCCTCAGCTCTTCAGCACATTTTTGTCATAAGCTTTTTAACTAGAGTTTTTGAGACTATGTCAATTTTTTTTCAAGTTTCATGTTTTTATCAGCAAATTTTTATTGGCTTAATTTGGTCACAGTTTCTTTGGATTATTTTTAATAGTGAAATTTATTATCAACAGGATAGAAATTTATTGTAGCAAGTCTTGTACAGAATGAAGTGTCATTTGTAGGAGACAGTAATAGATATACATAGTCTAAAAAGTTTGTTTTCTTTTTTTCCTCTTAGTGACCTAAATGCTCTTGCCTTAATTACTTCACACCTGCTTCATCAGTAAACCTTTCTCTTTATCTATCTTTATTGCTCTTTTCCATTCATTTCTTTTTCTCTGCTTACATAAATGTGTTCAGGACTCATTTTCCTTGAGATTTATAATGTTACTCCTTTTATTTTTAATTTACCCTCCTATACGCACAATATACTATACAGTAGTCTGTGTGTATATTCAAATATATTCTTCAAACCATGTTACCCCTACTTCAGTCTGGTTCCAGCTTTCCCATTTCCATTTGAAATTGTTCTTTCTGACTTCTTTGGTCACTGCTAATACCTGCTAGCATCTGATATTCTGGGGTTTTTGTATATTTACTTTGTGTCATTTCCTTTAAATCATCACTTGATTCTGTTGATCCTACTCTGCTTCTTATCCATCCCATCTCCTTTATCTTCTACAACTTTTCTAGTTTTTCTTCTCTATCTTTTCTGGCTCTACCTATTTCTACTTTCAAGTATTAAGATACTTGAAGGTTATTTTTTCTTTTACTATATTTTAATTTGCAGCTCCTTTCTCTACAGATTTATGAAAAGTTAAGATCTGGAAAGAATAAGTGGCTTTCCTCCAAAAGATACACATCTGCAATGTGACAGAGCTAGAACTTAAACTTAATTCCTTTATCAACATTTTTTTTTCTTTTTTGGGTCACACCCGGCAATGCATGGGGCTTACTCCTGGCTTTGCACTCAGGAATTACTCCTGGCTGTGCTCAGGGGATCATATAGGATGCTGGGAATCGAACCGGGGTCAGCCGTGTGCAAGGCAAATGCCCTCCCTGCTGTGCTATCGCTCCAGCACCTTCAAGATTTTTTTTGATCTTTGCACTGTCACGCACTGTTCTCCTGTTGTTTATCGATTTGCTCAAGCGGACCCAGTAATGTCTCCATCTTTTTGAGACTTGTTGTTACTGTGTTTGGCATATTGAATATGTCGCGGGTAGCTTGCCAGGCTTTGCCGCATGGGTGAGACACTCTCAATAGCTTGCCGGGCTCTCCGAGAGGGGCAGAGGAATCGAACCCAGCCTGGCCAGGCTGGCTGTGCGCAAAGCAAATGCCTGCCACTGTGCTATCGCTCCAGCCCCTTGATGTTTGCAAGAAATTAAAATTTGATGTTCTCTATGACAGAATACTCCCAAATATTTTTTTTTATTAATTGAGTGATATAATTGGATTTACATTTTGGAAAGATCTTTTTTGGAAACAACAGATTTTAAGTGGAATACACGAGATAGTAATAGAAGGTGATTTTAAAACTTGGGCAAGAGATACTAAGAGCAAAGCGTAAGCTAATGATGATTGTAGAAATAAAGAGATGGTGAAATGTAATAAATTTAGGAGCTGTTTATTGGATGTGAGTTGACAAGAAATTTATTTACAGAGTAGGCATTGGGTGGATATTTATCAAGATGAGGGCTATATTCCTTCAAGTGGTGGCAGGGGAGAGGGCAGTTAGACTAGAGAAGGGACCACTATGACACTGATCATTAGAAATGATTACTGTGAATAAGAACTGCATGTGAAGGAGCAAACCTGATAATCTTTCAGTACCTGTATTGCAAACCATAATGCTTGAAGCAAAGGGAGAGAGAGAGAGAGAAAGAAGAAAAGTGCCTGCCATAGAGGCAAGCTTTGTATGTGTTTGGGTGGGGTGGTGGTGGCAGGGGACCGAGAAATGTACACTGGTGAAGGACCAGGTGTTGGAACATTATATGACTGAAATCAAATCATAAACAACTTTGTAACTGTATTTCATGGTGATTCAATTTAGAAAAAAAGGATGGGGGTTATAAGAGGGAAAGTTAGATTCATAGTAAAGTGGGTGAATTTAATTTTGCTGTGCTAAGTGAAGAGATCTCCAGCAGAAAATTGAGCTGGAATAGTCTCCATATAGTATGGTCCAAAGACCAAAATAATAATAATTAGAAGAAGAAGAAGAAGAAGAATTTGATGTCATCTCTCTGATTTTAAGGGCCTATCAAGAAAGAAGATTTCTTTCACGACTTATCCAGAAGTTTATCTCTGTGCTGAATTCAGTCCCACTGTCAGGTAAATATTTTCTTTTTTATTTGACTTATAGTTCAGAAGCCCTGAAGCTATTTATTAATTTTGAGTCTGAAAGGTTTCTTAGAATTATCTTAAACTGTTATAGACCAAACATGATTGTCACTCAGTGCTTCTTTTGCAAACCTCAGCAACCAAAAGAAGAGAGAGAACAAAAGGGAATGCCCTGCCACAGAGGTGGAACGAGATGGGGGTATGGGAGGGGTGGGAAGGATACTGGGATCATTGGGGGTGGAGAATGGGCACTGGTGGAGGGATGGGTACTCAATCATTGTATAACTGAAACCCAAGCACAAAAACTTGTAATGTCCACAACTATACCTCATGGTTTTCACTAATGAAAATAAAAAAAATATAAATTAAAAAAAGAATTATCTTAAACTGTAATAACAAAGTGTATATCTACCATTATTCAAATATCTTGCCAGTGTGAGTGTTGTGACTGCGTCAAAAAACTCACATTTAAATGAAATGTTCATTTAGTTAGCAAATACCTTTGGTAGTGTTAGAAGACCCAGCTCCTGGGAGATAGTGGTAAACAAGACTGTTACACACCCCTTGACATTTGCAGTGTGGGGCACAGGGTCTTCCTTCAGGTTACACAACTATTGCGGAAAGAAAGGAAGAGACTGATTTTTAAGTCATGAGAAACTAGAGGAAATAGATTTTCCTCCATGGTGGCTCCATGTATTCATGGGAAAAAAATGTAAGCATGTACTCTGTAGAAAAGCATATGCTGTATATACTTTGAAATGGACCATAATTAACCTATATATAGATATGTATATGTCATATACTTAAATACTAAAAGGTCCTAATTGCACTGGATTTGCAAGATCCTTATAAGCACTCGGTGAATGAAAATAAAATACTATTAACTTGACAAAGGCTAATATAATCTATGAAATCTGGTATTATTTAAGAACATGTTACTTCTTAACTGGAATATAATCTAGGAGCAGGTCAATAAATATATATACCATAGCTATATTTTCCAACTTCTGAAAAATATAAATATCATAGGTTGAAAAATATGAAAAAACAGATTATTTATAATCTTATAAAGTGTTGATCCTCCAAGTAATAAGTTGCAACTAAAAATCATACCTATAATTAATTGAGGCATAGAAATTAACTGTTTCTATTTAGGACACATTTCTCATATCAGAATAATTATGAAAAAGTTTTATCATATGTTTCTAACCTAAAATTTTAATAGTAGTACGTTTAAATCTTTCAGTTAATGTGGAGGGATGGGTATTTGATCATTGTATAACAAACCCAAGCACAAAAATTTGTAAGTCTACAACTGAACCTCGGTGTCTCACTAATAAAAAAAAAAAAATCAGTCAAGTAGCTTCAACGAGGAAAAAAGACTCAGGGCTTTTTGGGTAGGGATTAGGTGCAATGGCAATATGTGTGCTTAGAACTACAAATTTCTGTAATAACTACAGTCAGAAAAATTGAATATCTGACTTCAGAATGTTTATCTGTGTTCATTTAGAAAACTTGCAAAAGTAAGTCACAGGGGCCAGAGTAGACTAGGGGACTGGAGTACATGCACTGAACAGGGAATAGTAATCCCTGAGCATACCAGTATAACCCCCAAACCAAAAATAATACACACAGTCACACAAAAGCAAGGAGCAAAAACTTGCAATGTTTTTAAACACCCTTTACAATAGTCTTAGTATTTTCGTTTACGGATTATAACTTAACAAAATTTCCTAGATTGACATTACACTTTAATCAAAATGTTTTAACTCTCTAGCCAAGACGTCAACATGATGATGAAAAGTACCAGTTTGGAGAGAGTGTAAAGATACATGGATTGTGAGGGCCAGAGAGATAGTACAGTGGGTGAGGAGAATACTTCCGTTCCACGTGTCTGGCCCAGAATCTATCCCCAGTACTCATAGGTCCACTGAACCCTGCCAGGAGTGATCCCTGAGTGCAGAGATGGGAATCAGTTCTGAGCAACACTGGTGTGACCCCCAAACAAAATCAACCAAATATATAAAGCATATATAAACTATATGTTTATGGATTGTGTAATTAGGAAGCCAAAGAAATTTGAAAAATATGGCTTATATATTTTATAGGGTCATTCAAAGGAACACTTACTTGTTATGAAGGAAATATGCGTAGCATTATCACAGATGCGGGACTGCTGTTAGGAAAAAGAAGCCAAAACACAACCCACTAAAACAAATAATGAGGATATATTGATATTTGAAATTGGCATGAGGGGGTTTCAGCTCTGACAGTAGGCCCTAGAAAGCTGTCTCATCATAGAAGCTTGTAGTCTTGTGTAACTGAATGTGAGGATCAAGAAAAATTTGGCAACAATAAAAGGTTTTTGAAGGCACAAAGACCAAAACTTAATTCAAAACTAGTCATATGGCACCAGAGTGATAGTACAGTGACTAGGGCATTTTCCTTGCATGCAGCCAACCCAGATTCAATCCCCAGCATCCCATATGGTCCCCCAGCACCGCCAGGAGTAATTCCTGAGTACAGAGCCTGGAGTAACCCCTGAGCACTGCCAGGTATGAACCAAAAAGCCAAAAAAAAGAAAAATCCCAAAAGACAAAAAACAAATATAAAACCTAGTCATGTAGCCAATCCTAGTATTTCTGGCTACATTCACCCATGTTGCATTTTTCAGGTAAATAAGGGTCACAAGTAGACAAAGTTTATAAAGCTCTGATTTTAAGTAGAGTGTTTTGTTCTAATTATAAATATGTTTTTCTTGCTGGTGATTTTCTCAAACTATATGTGCTTGGGTTTCAATTATACAATGATCAAATACCCATTCCTCCACCAGTGCCCATTTTCCACCACCACGGGTCCCAGTATCCCTCCCACTGCCCATCCCCTCCATCCCAACTTGCCTCTGTGGCAGGGCATTCCCTTTTGTTCTCTCTCTCCTTTTGGGTGCTGTGGTTTGTAAAAGAGGCAATGGGTGACAATCATGTTTGGTCTATAGTCTACTTTCAGCATGCATCTCCCATTCTGGGAGGATCCTCCCAACACCCTTTATTTGGTTCTCCCTTCTCTATCTGAGCTGCCCTTTCCCGTAGCATGTGCGGCTGGCCTCCAAGCCATGGAGCAGAATTCCTGTTACTAATCTCGGCTATTCTTGGGTGTTAGTCTCCTAATTAAATATATATTTTTAAATGGTGCTGTGGATAGCATGAAGTAAGATAGTGGTTTAAACATTGCTGGGCTGGGGAGATGGCTCAAAAGACAGAAGCATATGTTTTGCATGTGGAGGGCTAGGTTTCATCCCTGGCACCTCAGTCCCTTGAGCAATGCCTTGAGTGATCTCTGAGTACCCCTGGGTGTGACCCAGACATAACATATTTGTATTGTATTGCTCTGTGTTACTGACATATCAAAATACAACATTTATGGTCGGAGGAATATCATAAAAATGATTCTTCATTGATTGGTAGATCTGCTTCCCACCCTTTTTTGTTTTTTCCTTTTCATTATTACAGTGATGGGTGGGAGCTGTCAGCACACACTTGGGGTTTTGCTGCCTGCTGAGTCACCATCTGGGCCAGCTTTCATGCCCTTAGCCATGGTCTTCACTGGATGACACATACTTCTAGTTCTGGTGCTCACACACATTCTTGCTTTCAGAGCTTGCTGTGGGTCTCATGGTGCTCACACCTGTGCTTACTGGGTGGGGTTGGGGATGGGGGATCCACACTCCTGGCCACTTGCTTGACCTGGCTGTGCTGCTTAGGAGATCACATAGTGTCGCAGCGCCAGGGCCCCCCAAATAGTAGAGCTGCTGAGGATACACTTTGTGCTTGTGGATGGCCCTAGGGACCAAACTTGCAAAGGCAAGTCCTCATATTTGCTAGTCTCTGAGCCGTGCTCCACGCCCTTCCCACTCATTTTCCATCCTGGTCTGTAAAGATATAAACCCATGTGTCTAGATAGGGAAATTTGGGGTGTTTAGTATGAAGCAAGAATGGATCGAAAATTGCCTTCCCAGCTTTTATGTTTCCAAGTAATTTTCAAAATCTAATTGTTTGATAAAGATTTTTCTAGAGGAACACGTTTAAAAGACCTTTGCAGATCCGATTTTTAAAATGCATTTTTAAAAGTGTTTTAGAAGTCAAGTTAGGTGTTTCATTTTCCCATATTTATAGAGCCTAAATATAAAGTCTGCTTTTTTTTTTTCTCTCAAATGTAAGACATTCTGATTTTGAATCAGTTCAGTCCTGATGAGTAATAAAAAAACTCAACAACTGCTAAAGTTAATATATAGTACACAAACTGACCCAAGTGAAAAAGTTTTATTGTGTTTTTTTCTCTTTTATCTAGAGTCTGTCACTATGGACAAGGTTCATTACTGTGAAAGATTCATTGAACTCATGATTGATCTAGAGGTAAGAAATGTGCTGGTCATTTAGGGGACTAAAGTGAAGCATATGATTCATGTGTTATGGAATACTTCAGTTGTGGTGGTATTCTGGGTTGCACTTGTTGAAGTGCTAGTGATTATCCTTTTGCTGCGGAGAGATCATGCTTGATATTGTGGAGTGGGATGGGTATCAAAGACCAGGGCCTCAGGCATGCAAGGCCTGTGCTCTACCACTAAGTCACATCTTTTTTTTTTTTTTTAATGTAGCAGTATTGCTCTTCATTTAGCCAATGATTAAGCTGATTGAATTGGGGATGAGCTCCACGTTACTTTAAAAAAAAAAATTTGTAATTGGATATCCATGAGATAGACCATTACAAAGCTGTTCATAATTGGGTTTCAGTCATACAATGATCCAACACCCATCCCTCCACCAGTGTATATTTCCCCCCACCAATGTCCCCTGTTTCCCCACCACCATCTCCCAACAACCAATCCATCACCCCCTACCCTCAGCCTTCCTCTTTCTCCTTTTCCTTTTATGCATTAGAAGTGCCAAGAGGTCTTGGTGTTTGTTCAGGGCATTCAGTATTTTTATTGAGACAGTAAGGCTGGAGTAGCTTTTCAATTGGGTGGCAGCTTTGAGGTGTGGATGTGACTGCTGAGGCTTCTGCCGGAAGTACAGGGAGGTGGGGAGAGGTAGCCCATTCCAGCCCTAAGAAAGCCTGCAGGTTTCAGTCACAAAACCTGCATACCAAAGTTTTCAGCTGACTATATCTTGGTGATATAATCATCCTGAGATGGTGGAGTTGAGTCAAGGATATGGCAGCAATTTTGGATTGTGGAAGCAAGTAGCTGCTGGGGGCTCTACTAGGGCAGGCACAGGCCAACCGGCCTCCCTCCAATTTACCCCAGTCTGTTCAGCCATGCTCAGGTCCGAGATTAACTGTGGCTTTTGATCTCTTTTGAGATTTATCTATGGGTCTCTGAAATAAGGCCAATAAATGAGCTTATATAGCTGAGCAGGAGGGAGTTTGTGGGTGTGGCTTCCATATACCTAACTTTTGGCTCTTTATTTTCTTGGTAAACTTGGTCCCAAGTTGTTGGGGTCTGGCCAAAGGCACAGCAGCAATTTTGGGGTGTCAGGAAGCCTGAAGGCATCATCAGGCTTCTGATGCCCTCGCCCCGCAGGTATAGGTTGACCTGTTGGTGTCACCATACTCCCTTAGTCACATCCTTGAGTCCTTAAATATCTGGTGCCTAAAATTGGCCTTAGTTTGTGCGTAGTTCGAGATGTCCCATAGAAAAGGATGTTAAAAGCAATTGGTCCCTGAAGGTTTTAGATAAATTTTCCCATTCCACATGGTCTACTAAGAGTACAAAAACACTTGGTAACGTTTTTAAATATGTGTCTAGCAATGGCAGTTTGATTTCTGTTGTTTTGATTCCCCCAGATAGAGTTGTTTGTTTTCAACAAGCAGTGCTTCACATATTTAAAGCACGTATTCTACCCGTGAGCAATGTCCTCAGACCTTCGTAGTTTTAGGGGTGGGGCTGGGAGAGGGGAGGGGGCAGTGGATGAGGGGAATGAGGCTATACTCAGCAATTCTCAGAACTTACTCCTCACTCTGTGATCAGGAATCACTCCTGGCGGTGTGCAGGGACCCATACATGGTGCTGGGGAATGAACCCAGTTGTCATGTAAGGCAAGTGTCTTACCTGCTGTACTCTTTCAGTAACCCACACCCACTGCCTCATAGTGTGCAATATTTTCTTGGGTTAGTGGGCAAAATTTTAATCATCCCACTTGTTTAAATGTTTCTAAAATTACTGATCGAAAAAAATTGATGTAGCTGCTGTAGCCTACTTTAAAAATTAAGATTCTGAAGATCTCAGTACTATTACTAGATAAAGTATTTTGATGGTAAGTTCAGGTGCAGAGTCAAAGGGCAGAGGTGATGTAGTTTATACTATATTTCTTTCCTTAGGAAATTAAAAATAATAATCTTGTTCTTATCTAGAGAGATAGGGTTTGTTTTTCTTGACATGAGAATTATTGTATTAAACTAAGTCATTTATGAGATCGTCATTCAAATTCTGACTTTGCCAGTAACTATTCTAATTTATAAGAATCTTGGTCACCTCATCAGTAAAATTAAGAAGGACATTAGTTCGGTGGTTTGCAAATTGTCACAGTTTTTCAGCATTGCTTTCCAATCTTGGAGGGAAGAGAAAGTAGTAAAGTTAATTCCACTTTGGGTCCCTTGTCCACTTTTCTCTTAAAGCAATCCCATTTGGAAAACCTATGTGCAGTACATGTTGGGATTTCATATAGAATCTTAGTTGAAAGCTTCTAGAACATGAAAGTTGTCTTCCAGTGCTGGGTTTTATAGAAACATTGCCACTGAGTTTATTTATTTATAACATGGACCAGATCCTTTGCTTTGTACACAATGACTTTAGGGAGCCAGGAATTACTTTGTGTATGATTAACACTTCTGAATCAAATACTTGCAGACTTAGTCTCTAGCTTAGAGAATATGTGCAAACTTATTGCTGGGGTGGTTATTTTTTTTTTAGGCCCTACTCCCCACAAGACGCTGGTTTAATACCATCCTCGATGACTCCCACCTTTTGGTTCACTGTTACCTTTCCAATCTCGTTCATAGGGAAGAGGATGGCCATCTTTTCTCTCAGGTGAGCATTGATATATTTGAATATATTTTGTGTATTCATTTCTAATCTTTCCTTTTCTTGGCTGGGCAGTGGCAAAGGAAGTGCCAGAACGTGGCACAAAGTAATTTTTACTAAATGTTGAATTAAATAATGTAATTTTTACTAAATGTTGAATTAAATAATGTAGATTTTTAATTAGTTTTTCTAAAGTTAAATCAGTATACAAATTGAGTGGATACATGGTTAGCTAGCCTCTAGTCATTATGTAGTATCACTGTCACTGTCACTGTCCTCCCGTTGTTCATCGATTTGCTTGAGCGGACCCAGTAATGTCTCCATTGGAGACTTTGTTGTTACTGTGTTTGGCATATCGAATACATCATGGGTAGCTTGCCAGGCTTTGCCGTGCGGGCAAGATACTCTCGGTAGCTTGCTGGGCTCTCCGAGTGGGGCGGAGGAATTGAACTTGGGTCGGCCATGTTGGATGCGTGCAAGGCAAATGCTCTACCCACTGTGTTATTGTTCCAGCCCATTATATAGTATAATGTTAATTATATGTTATTCTGATATTGAACTTAGTTATGACTTGGTCCTACCTGTCTATATATTTTGAGCTTGTGTTGGTAATGATTGGAATATAATAGATTATGAGTATTTTAGGCAAACTATCCTTAACCATCCTCTGCTAGCTTTATAGGGCTGGAGTGATAGCACAGCGGGTAGGGCGTTCGCCTTACAAGCGGCCAACATGGCCGACCCGAGTTCGATTCCTCCGCCCCTCTCGGAGAGCCCGGCAAGCTACCGAGAGTATTCGATATGCCAGACACAGTAACAACAAAGTCTCCAATGGAGACGTTACTGGGCCCGCTTGAGCAAATCGACGATCAACGGGAGGACCTTTACCTTTACCTTTACCTTTATCCTTAATATCAGAACTCTCCTCAATATTATAAGCAGACAGTTGGTAGTACGTAAGTAATAAAAATATGTGTATGTGTGTATGTATGTATATTTGTGTGTGTGTGTTTGTGTATGTGTGCACGCACACATACACAGAGTCTGCTGCCTTGAGTAGAAAAGAAAATAAAACGTCATTTGCTGGGGATGGAGCAATAACACAGTGGATGGGGCGTTTGCCTTGCATGCAGCCAACCTGGGTTCTATTCCCAGCATCCCATATGGTTCCCTGAGCACCACCAGGAATAATTCCTGAGTGCAGAGCCAGTAGTAACCCCTGTGCATTGCCGGGTGTGACCCAAAAAAGAAAAAAAATAAAAATAAAACGTCATTTGCTGCATTGGTTGTGAAGAGAGTAAGTATAGTAGTTTTGTTTTGTTTTTTAAGACTTAATTTAGTTTATTTATTTATTTATGTAGGAGTACTGCTATTCAGCCACTGATTAGGCTGAATGAATTGTGAATGAACGCCACCTTACTTTTTTTCCCCATTTTTTATAATTTTATTTATTGAATCATCATGAGAGCAGCTACAAAACTTTTGGGTTTAAGTCTCAGTCATACAATGAAACATCCGTACCTTCACCAGTGCCCATTCTTCACCACCAAAAACCCCAGGATACTCCTATCCCACACCTTTCCCTACCTGTGGGGTAGATAATTTCCAAATTACTCTCTCTCTACTTTGATTGCATTCAATATTTTGACATCAGATCCACCATTATTATTTGGGGTTTTACCCCAACACTCAGATCTGCTGAAAAGGCAACAGTAGACAATTTGTTTTCTATTGTTGGTTATGAATAACATATGATGTCGTGTGGCTGCAGTAGTGGCCGCACGATTTTGAAATTTCAAAATTTTAGCAATTAAATCTAGAGGGATTTCTTGCCAAAACCTGCTGGGTTCCGAGATTTGTTCCTGAGTCTCTGGGATCATGGCCATTAAGCAGCTTGATCAGGAGCAGGTGGAAGGACAACACCCTTTCCTCCTTGGGTGACCCGGTGACAATAACCTACTGCGGGGTCTGGATGCATATCTTCCAAAAGCCACTGGGTTTTGAGATTTGTTTCTGAGTCTCTGGGATCATGGCTGTTAAGCAGCTTGATCAGAAGCCAGAGAGGCCGTTCATGGACGGTGACTCAGGGTCTTGTTGGACAGGGACGAAAGGCCAGGCTCCACCCCCATCCCATGAGGCCCCGCGTATTCCTCACTGCGGGCCAAACCTGACTGTCCAGTGGCCTCTGGAGGATGGTGACCACTGGGCCGCTAGGGGGAACAGGCCAAGGCATGAAACCTATTCCCACCTGGGGTGACCCAGCGCCTGTAACCCATAGCAGGGACTGGAAGCAATTCTCCCAAAAGCCATTGGGTTTTGAGATTTGTTTCTGAGCCTCTGGGATCATGGCCATTAAGCAGTTTGATCAGGAACCAGAGAGGCCATGCCTCCAATTATATAGCTGAGCTGAAGGTGGTTTGTGGGTGTGTCTCCCACATACCTAAACTTTTGGCTGTTTACTTTTTTGGTAAACTTTGCCCCATGTTTTTGGGGTCTGGCCAAAGGCACAGCAGCAATTTTGGGGTATCTGGAAGTCTGAAGGCACCATCAGGCTGCTGATGCACTCGCCTCACAGATTGACCTGCTGGCAGCACCATACGCTTAGAAGTATAGTGTTTTGTTTCCTGTAATATCATCTAGAAAAAAAAATGTCTTCCAACACTTGCCTTCCAGTGAGATCACAGAGATGCAGTTTTTAAATATTTATAGATTTTTGAAGTATATTTTAATCTCTGTGTAAGTATTCATTTTTTTCTCATGACCTCACTAAACTTCCTTCCAGTGATTTGCCTCACACATTAAAAAATACTAAAATCCTTTCTGATGTGCCATAGGTTTGATTTTGAGTGATGTGCCAGAGATTTGATTTTGTTGAGAGTGCTGCCACAAGGGAACCATACCTTCATTAGCAGCAGGAACTAAGCCACAGAAAGCACTTGTGACCATGAAACTGCTGGGGGGAATAAGTAAACAGCTTAGCTTTCCCCAGACTGCTGTGTTTCTCTAATAGGAGCCACATGTTGAGAAGAGCATCTCCACTAGGAATTCTGAAACCCCTGCTCAGAAACTTCTATATAAGCAATTTAAGTAAAAGACCTCAGGAGTCCTCTGGTGGAATACTTTTAAGAATTTGTAGTTACACAGCTGAATCTGTTTTCTTCTTCATTAAACTTTGTGTTTGCTTTGATTAGACCCTTCATATCTCTTAAGTTCTCTGTAAATGTAGGTCATGTATATGAAATACATTTAATTATTTTTGAGGCACACACTTAATTTTCACATAAACTAAGTTCTGTTGGGAAATGCTTATTGGGTGTTTTCATTTCAAAAATTTTTAGCACCTTAAGAGGATATGTGGACTCATTAATTTTATTGGTGTGTGTTCATGTTTTTTTTTTTTAAATCTTATACATCTGTTAATTGAAATATATTCTTTCAGCTTTTGGACATGCTTAAATTCTATACTGGTTTTGAGATTAATGACCAGACTGGAAATGCTCTGACAGAGAATGAGATGACCACAATTCACTATGATAGAATTACTTCTTTACAGGTAATTGAAATGTGGAAAACTGGGTCCTGACTAGGGAGCTGGATAGATCATAGAGCCCTTCTCTCGTATGTTTGAGGCTGGGATTCAATTCCTGGCACCACAAAGTAAGGAAGGAAGAGAGAGAGAAGGGGGAGAGAGAGAGAAAGAAGGAAGAAAGTGAGGAGAGAAGGAGGAATGGAGGGAGGAAGGGGAAGGACGAAAGAAGTGAAGAGAGGGAGACTAAACATAAGTTTAGGTCCTATTATTGTTTCGGTTTTGTAGACTGTACAGAAAAAGTTAAGGATTTAATGGTGTTTTTATCTTGAACTTTGAAATTTTTGATAAAATTTAAATTCTGATAAATTAATAAGTTAGCTTTCTTTCATCGTTCTTAACCTAATCAACTACTGTATGCTACTCAGAAATATAGTTACTACATTTACATACCAGTTTATGAAAATTTAACATTTTGACTTGACAGAGTATGTGCATACATTTTGTATGCTTTTAAAGTAAAAATCGAGCTTAAATTTGCAAAAGAAAATATCTTTGTTTTCTGCTACTAATCACATCATTCCCTTGAGCTCTATTTAACCTGGTGTAGAAAGTAGCTTTTACGTTTTAATTTAAATTCTTTTCTTTTTTTATTCTCCAGTTTTGTCTTGAGGCCACACCCAGTAGTGCACAGGCCTCCCCCCTAATTCTTTCCTTCTGGCTCTATGCTGAGGGATCACTCCTGACAAGGGTTGGAGGGGAACATGTGGGATACCGGAGCTTGAACCTGGGTTGGTTGTGTGCAAGTCAAGCGCCCTACCCACTGTATTATCTCTCCAGCCCCAGCAATAGTGTTTTGGTCCTGCCTCTGCTCTCAGAGTGACAAGGCTTGTGTGTATGTGTCTATCCTCATGGCAGATACACTGCTTGACTGCTTCCCGGTGACAAGATCCCAGGCTTGGGGAAGGTGCTCAGGCTCTAATAGGGGCTGACTATTCCTCATTTACTTGAGCTCAGGCTTCTCTCAGGCTCTGTTTGCCATTGCCTTGAGTGATTCCCGTGGCCGGCTGATGTACAACCTTGGCTCCCTTCTCTGTCTTCCACTATGGGGCACACAAAAACTTCATCTTCTCTGTGCCACTGGACTTTATGGAAGACCAGGGGTATCTCATATGGCTTACTAAATTGCCATGATACCATTCTAGTTTTTGAAGGTTTGTTTTGAGTGGTTTTTTGGCTTGCTTGTTTTGGGGCCACACCAATGGTGCCCAGGGCCTACTTCTGGCTCTGGGTTCAGCGATCGGTCCTGACCAACTTGGGAAATAGTGTCCAGTGCTGGGGTTAAACCCAGCTCAGCTATATGCAAGGGAAGAGTGTTACCTTTTAGTTGTACTATCTCTCTGGCCTTCCTTTTGCACTTTTTGCCTCATGATAATTGGGCAAACTGTATAAGATCCTCTCTCTGTAGAGTTCTAAAATAAAGCTGGAAGAGCCACACGTTGCTGTGATCTCTGCCATGAAGCTTCTGTGTATGATAGGAATTTCCCTTGGGACTTTGTCCCCATCCCATCTTTTTTTTTTTTTTTTTGAGGGGTTGCCATAATCCTCATTAGTCCATTTTTTTTTACTAATAAAATGTTTTGTTTTCCTCCCCTTCCCTGACCACTCAGACATAACCTTATGCCCTTTTTTTTAATAAGATTTTTATTGAAATTTACTTAGAAAGATGTGAAAGAAGACAAAGAGAGGGAATGTATTCAAGATAGAACACAGGAAGCATAGAAACATAGACACAAACAAAGTGAGATTCGTCTGCAAAGGAGAACACAGGTTGTAGAGTGAGCCTATGCCAATTTTTATGTATAATGAAAACAAAACTTTAGAAATTTAAAAATTAAACATTTGCTTTTTTTTGGCCATTACTGCTAGAATAGCTGTAGGTCCTTTCCCGTCCCCATCTGCTACTGTACTGAATATTTCTGGCTGAATAAGGCGAGGTCACATTGAGAAGTAGTACATTGAGAAATGTAAGAAAAGTGCATTTATAGTTTTTAAAATACTGTTTTCACCTTATAGTAGATAGCTTGTAGTTGGTTGTACTTGTAGATATTACTGATTGTGGTTGTTTTATTTATTTAATTTGCTGTTCTTTTCTAGAGAGCTGCTTTTGCACATTTTCCTGAACTTTATGACTTTGCCCTCTCAAATGTGGCAGAAGTAGATACTCGGGAATCCTTGGTCAAGTTCTTTGGACCTCTTAGGTAAGACATCACACAGGCAAACTTACTTTGCTGCTTTTTTCCTGAATTTTTCCTCTGGACTAGAATATATATATATATTTTAATTTCGGTAATATTATTTGTTGAATCACCTTAATGACATCTGGACAAAGCTGTGTTTAGAATTTGGTTATCTTCCATACTAACTGACTGACACCCAAGGACAGTAGACACAAGGGCCAGGAATAATGCCCCATAGATGGATGCCTGTCTCATGAGCTGAGGGAGAAGGCAGCTGGAATAGAGAAGGTATCCCTAAGTCAATGATGGTTGGAGGGATCATTCGGGATGGGAGATACGTGCTGAAAGTAGATGAAGGATCAAACGTGATAACCTCTCAGTATCTGTATGCAAACTATAATGCCCAAAAGTAGAGAGAGAGTATCGGAGGCAGGGGGAGAGTTTGAAAGGGGGAGTATACTGGGGACATTGGTAGTGGAGAATGTGCACGGGTGGAGGGATGGGTGTTTGATCATTGTATGACTGAAACTCAAACACAGAAGCTTTGTTTTCTGTATCTCACAGTGATTCAATTAAAAAAAAAAAGAAATTTGGTTATCTTGGGGTCAGAGCGATAGTATAGCAGGTAGGGCGTTTGCCTTGCACTCAGCTGACCCGGGTTCAATCCCTGCAACACCTGGAAGCTCTTGGTGACTGATTCTGATTCTGTGCTTAGGAGTGACCTCTGGTGGTGCTGAGGCAGCCATATGTGGTGTAGAGGATTCGAGCTCAAGGCTAGTGCCTTACCTCATATTATCACTGGTCCTCATATATGACATTTTTGAATTATCTAAGTATTATCCATCTTTTTTGTGATTTTGGTAAATTCTGTATTTCTCATAATTTATGTTTTCCTAGATAGTAAATTTTTCTTCAATTAGAACATAAAGTTGGTGGAGCTGGAGAGACAGTGCAGCAGGTAGGGCATTTAACTGGCATGCAGCGGACCCGGGTTTAATCCTTGGTACCACCATGAGGTCCCCCATTCTCCACCAGGGGTGACCCCTGAATTCCCGAGCAAGGAGTAAGCCCTAAGCACCGCCAGGTGTGCTACCCAGCCTCGTGCCTAAAAAGAGAGAGAGACAGAGACAGAGAGAGAGAGAGAAAAGAAAACCCATAAAGCTGGTATCCCATTATTCAGTCACTTATAAGCATAATACAAATATATATGCAGTATATGTCATACTATTAGTATGCCTTTGAAAAAATTTCATATGTCTAGTATTCATGAAAAAATAATATTCTCTGGCACTTGCCTGCTAATATACTTTTTAAAAATAATAAAAATCATGATATAAATACTATAGTCTTCAAAACTTTCATGTAAATGTATAACCATTTTGAAGTACACAGTCGTTGATTACCACCTTGCTTAGATGATACAGTGGTTTAGTAACAGGATTTGAAGAGAGGTGGTACAATTCCTTAGCCCTTCTTCACCTTCTAACTTTACCTACTCTGCTTAGTCATGTCCTCGTTGTTCTGCATTCTTGGGGGAAATTACATCCAGTGCATGACTTCTTAAGCAAAGCGAGGTGGATCAATGAAAATGGCAAAAGAAAAGAGAAGAAAAATAAAATAAATGGATATGTTATCATAAGTTACTGAATGCCCTTTGAAGCTGGCTTTCAACACTAACCTACCTGTGTCGACATCAGGGATGCAAACTGTCCACGTGCACTACTGTGTGACACCTTAGCACTACTTGCTGCCACTGCCTTGATTCACGCTAGTCGTTCCCCAGCTACCCAGCCATTGCTTTGCTCTTTCACCGTAGAAACAAAAAGTCAACAGGTGTATGTGTGGCGTTGGCAGGGATGGGGGGCAGCAGAGGGGAAGGAATAGGGGGTGGGGCTTGGCAAAATAACATCATCCTAACAGTCATATTGCTTGAAAGCATCTAGGAGCCACGTGAGGTTTGTAGAACACATTTTGAGAACCATATACTAGGGGTTTAACTTTCGTTGCTGTCTTACTGTTTGCTTTGATAGAATTAGACCTAGCTAAAAACTCTTTGAGCCACTTACGGTGTTTCAAAAGTGAACGGAAGAACAAAATTCTGAGCTGCCTCCTCTTCATTTTGCAGTTCAAATACTCTCCACCAGGTGGCATCATACCTCTGCTTGTTACCCACGCTCCCTAAAAATGAAGATACGACTTTTGATAAGAAATTTCTCCTAGAATTGCTGGTAAATACCAATTGAATTGTCTGTGAATTTTGCATGCAGTTTCCTTCCCTCTTTTGAATAATTATGAAAGATATCGACATGTACAAATTAGTTTTCTGGACTAACGATTTATTAGATAGTTCCTACCTGTTTTAGAATTCTTTCATTTGATTTTGTCAGATTTTCCTCCCCCTCATTTCTTGGATTTCTTTTTCATTTCTTTTATCTCTCTCTCTCTCTCTGTCTCTCTCTCTAGGGTTGTTGTAAGACTGAGTAGTTTTTCCTGTTTCATACATTTCTTTTTACCTATACACATTTTTTACACATACACGGGTGTGTTTTGTACAGTTTAGGGATTTATAGTCCAAGCTGTTGCTTTTAATATATTTTGAAAAATACAGTCCTTTATTGTCGAATGGACGATAGTCTCTGCCTGTTTTGAGGGTAGTGCAGAAAGCTGTTTGTAGTGTTTTCAGCCTGGTGACAGGTGTTTAAGTGCCATTTGGAAGAAATCTTTGGGAAGAGTTTTTAATTAATTAAAGTTTGAAAAATATTTACAGTTGATATATTTACTTGTATGACCTTTATATACTTGCATCATCATCATCTTTGCCTTTCTTCTTACAAATCCGTTTTCCTTGTATCTGACTACATGTACTTTCTAAAAATTCCTTGTCCTATTTTCCATCAGTGTAAAAATATCTCATTAAGTCAGGTTTTGAGGATTAACAATAAATCCTTACTATAGAAAGAAATGAGTATTCCCTCCCTCTCCCCTCCACCCCCCACCCCTGGAATCTTTCTAATGGAAGTAGAATTATGTATAAAATTAATAGTGCCTATTGGATCTTATAGCTGAAATTTCACCCTTAAAACTGAAATAGCTATGCTTGATAAAACAATGTTAAAGATTTATATTGCCAGAGTCTTTCCATATTTTTCTTTCATAAAGTTGAAATACACATATTGTTTGGATAATATCACATACCTTCTTCCATAAAATAATGCTTTCTTTACAGAAAAGATTGTGGTGCATTTTTCAAATGTATCGCTCTTTTAACGTCTAATTAGGTAGGAAATTTATTTCTACTTTGAGACATTAACAGCAGAAGGGTATTAGTGTAGGTTATCAAATTCAATGCTTCTTTGACAAAGTAGGGAGTCCAGCAGATTAATAGCCTTTCCAGAGATTATTTAGCTAGTTTGTATCAGAATGGAAACTCTTTCTTTTTTCTGTTTTGTGGGGTTTTTTGGGGGGGCCACACACGTGGTACTAGGACTAACTCCTGGCTTCGTGCTCTCAGGGATCACTCTTGGCTGTGTTCTGGGGACCATGTGGTGTGCCAGGGATCAAGCCTTGTCAGCAGTATGCAACACAAGTGCCCTACTCACTGTACTATGTCTCCAGCTCCCAGAATGGAAACTGTACCCAGAATTAGGGCTTAACTGAAAAGGACACCAAGATCTGGAAGTCACTTGCCCTTCTTTTACATAGTTCCTAAGTTAAAAGTATTTGGAGTTGAACTCGGATCTCTCAGTTCCAAAATCCCTCATGTTTGATTCCTCTTTCAGTTCTGAGTTATAAAGAAAGTGGGGGGAAAAAGTTTTAATTGCTGCAGTAACTCAAAGATGAAACTTCACATTGTGTGCTTTGTAGGGACTTTCTTTATAAATTATATTGATGTAGAAAAATGTTCCTGACTTTGCCATGGACCTGGTTTTTTTTTTTTTTTAGGTATCCCGTCATGAACGACGAATTTCTCAAATTCAGCAGTTAAACCAGATGCCTTTATATCCAACTGAGAAAATCATATGGGATGAAAATATTGTCCCAACTGAGTACTATTCTGGAGAAGGTATAAGACATTTAGAATTCAGGACTAACATCTAACTTTCATTGTGTCACTCTAACAGCTTTGTTTGGTAGCATGTTTATTTTTCAAAGCCTTTTGAGAGTAGGGGGTGGGAAATATTTTTAATTCCTTAATTTATAATTTGTCATATACAGTTGAATCTATTTAATCTACATATTAAAATAATGTTCTAATTTATTAATTAAATTAATTCTTTTGTCTTAGAATTGAACACATAGCATTAAGGATTTTTATTAAGTTTAACCATGACTTTTTACCATGTATTTATCCATGTATAGATATATCTCCCTGTAAGACCTATGACCATAATGAAGTTGTGTTAAGGAGACCTAGTAATATGGAAATTATAGCTCTCATTATGTCACTATAACACTTTAGTAGTGCTTTATTTTTCAAAGCCTTTTGAGAGTAGGGGTGGGACATCTTCTTAATACTTTTATTTATTTGTTTTTGGATCACCACCAGGTGTGATCTTACTCTTGACTGAACTGAGGCATCACTCCTGGAGAGGTTTAGGGGACCATATGGGATGCTGGGGATCAAACCCTCATCAGCAGTATGCAAGCCAAGCTTCTTATCTGCAGTACTATCTCTCCAGCCCCCAAAATAGTTTGTCTTTTTAGTAAAATAAAGTTATGTTTATACTTATATAGTAATATAACATTATTCGTACCAAATAATGTTATGTTTACTACTATTTTGGGTACCTTTGGTACTATTTTCGGATTTTGACTCAGTTCAAAGTGTTTCTTAGTATAATTTTTCACTTTTTTTTCATTCCTATTATTTTCTAAATTTCCACTGAAGTGGAAAGGAGTTATTTAAAGAATTTAAGTCCTTGTACTTTTATAGAAGAGAAACATTTGAGAACAACATTTGGTTGTCAAATGGTGTCAGATGGACAACTGGTTCCGTCTTTTCTTTGTTCTTCGTTGACCTTGGATGGCACTTTGTCTGAGTCAGTATCTGCTGCTTTAAAATAGACAGAGGTCAAAGCTAATACTGCATAATTGAGTAGATTGCTTGTAGCTCCCCAGGAGAGACAATAAGTATGAACTTGGAATAGATACTTAATATATACATAGGAATTGTACAGAAAATTTTTTATAAAAGGTTTAATATTATCAATCATTTTCTTATAAAATATTCACGTACAGAGAACCATCTAAAATGAAGTAAATCTTATTATTATCTAGGGAACAACACCGGTCAGCTGTCCTAGCATCTTCTTGTGTGTCCTGCTAGTTCCTCCCTCACCCAGAAGTAACTATTCCTGGCCTTAATAGCACTTGCTAACTTGTACTTCTTCATAGTTAATCTCCCATATGTCTGCCCCTACAGATTGTAGTTTTGTACATTTTTGAAATATCTCTTATTCTAGAACTACTCTCTCTGTGTCTCCCTTCCTTTCTGATCTGTTCAAGAACTTTAATTGTTCATCTGTAGTTTCCCATCTGCATTTTTTTTAATGAAAAAATTGCACCCTGTACTGCTTAGTACTTCCTTCCGCTCAGGATCTCACTTAACAGAGTTCAGGGGACCAAATGGGGTACCATGGATCGAATCCAGTTGGTAATATGTAAGACAAGTGGCTCTACATTTCTCTCGGCTCTACATTTTTTTCTAATTGACAGCTCATGGTGTAACAAGGCTCTTGTGTGTCGCACCTCGGTGAGACAAAGTTCTTGGTGGTGCACCACCGTGTTTCCTAGCCTCTTTATGATTAAAAAAAAAATGAAGCATTGCTGCTTAACACCTAGATTTTTTCATTCAGCAAGGATTATAAAATGGTGCAATATTTTTTGGTCATTTTAAAAAATAAAAATAGGCTATTGAAAGATGCTTTTTCTTAGCATCTGGCCTGAAAGAAATTTCATTTGATTGAATCAGAGTTTACAAACAAGTGATGAGACATTTTTGCACATCAATGTTTCTTCTGTTAGGTCTGTTTTTACCTTGGTAAATATGAGATAAGATGAAAAAAATGACATTTTATTATAGATAGAACAGAGTGACTCCAGGAAAAGCATAATCAATGCCTTATTTATATTTATTTATTTATTTATTTATTGCTTTTTGGGTCACACCTGGCGAGCACAGAGGTTACTTCTGGCTTATGCACTCAGTAATCACTCCTGGCGGTGCTCAGGGGACCATATGGGATGCTGGGACTCGAACCCTGGTTGGCCACATGCAAGGCAAACTGCTACCCGCTGTGCCATCGCTCCAGCCCCTCAATGCCTTATTTTTAAAGTGTAATAAAAACATTAACTTTTGAAATAGCATAGTAATCGTTAAAAATTTATGCTGCAGGGGCTGGAATGATAGCACAGTGGGTAGGGTGTTTGCCTTGCATGAGGCCAACCTGAGTTCGATTCCCAGCATCCCATATGGTCCCCCGAACACTGCCGGGAATAATTCCTGAGTGCATGAGCCAGGAGTAACCCCTGTGCATCGCCAAGTGTGACCCAAAAGAAGGGGAAAAAAAACAAAACAAAAAGATTTATGCTGCAGTGTAATATGCCAAGTTAGTTTTCTTACTACATATTATCATGAGCTAGGTTTATGGTAACATTATTTATTACAGGATTTGTGACATATAAATTTGGTGGTATTTGTTTGTTTGAGCCTAGCAGTGCTCAGGAGCTACTCCTGAGTAGAGCTTGGGGGTCGTTCCTGGTAGACCGTGAGGGACCTGGCTATAGAGAGGATTGAGCCTGGGGCTCCCACATGCAGAGCATGTTCTCCAGCCTGGGAATTATGTCCCCTGCTCAAGACTTACTTTTAAATATCTTCAGATACATTTTAGAAGCACCGTTGATACATAAGTTATTGATATGCAAGTTATACATATTAACAGAACTCATCCTTCGTTCCCAACGCAATTGCCACTTGCTAAATTGGTTTCTATCTTTGTGAAAATAAAATTAAGACCTTATCAAATACTGTATGCTACAGTCAGGTCATTTAGTTAGAGTCATACCAAATTTATGGTGCAGATATTTATGGTGCAGTCATACCAAATTTATAAAGCAGATACCTGATTAAATATTCAAAATTGGACTTTTTTTTCCCCAGGTTGTCTTGCTCTTCCCAAGCTGAATTTGCAGTTTTTGACTCTTCATGATTATCTCCTAAGGAACTTCAATCTCTTCCGCTTAGAATCAACCTATGAAATTAGACAGGACATCGAGGACAGTGTCAGCAGAATGAAGCCGTGGTTAGTAAATTGGTTCCACTTATAATGAAGAGAAGCAAACTGTAGAGATCCACTTATGTCAGAAAACTCAGTTTATTGAGGAATGATATACTTCGGCACTAAGAACCCTTCTAGATATAGGCTATTGACTCTTTGAAAAAATATCTTTAATATGACTTAGTCTTATCAAAATGTATTAACATAAAAATAGGTTTCTGAGTAATTGGGATTGGAGCTGGGATATGGGGGATGAGACCACCATTGAGGGAGAAATGTGAAAGGAAGTGGGTTAGATATTAATGAGAGTAATAAGCTTCTGTTAGTTTACATCCTGACAGAAACTTATGGTAAAGAGGTATTTTACTGCCCAACTGCTCTTGAAGCTGTTGCCATTGGTCTTAATCAGCCTTTCCAAAGGACTTAGTCAAAGATGAGGGCTGTTGGCGAACATTGGGTAGACTGAGTAGAGCACTAGCCTTCAGTCTGTAGTTGCCTACAAGAGACTAAATTCTGAGCATTTATTTTTGGGGACAATTGAGTAATTTTTTTTATGAGGAAGTATTGAACTCTACTCCCTACCTGCTAATCATGTCTGGAATTCCTTTAACTAAGGATTTTTATTCTAGTTTCTGCATATTGGTATCTCCATGTTTTGAGATTTGTAAAGGTCAGTTTTGTCTTTTTGTTTTATTTTGGGGTCACACCTGGTGGTACTCAGGAGTTACTCCTGGCTCTGCACTCAGAGACTACCCCGGGCAGTAGTTGGGGGACCATATGAGATGCCAGGGATTGAACTCGGGCCAGCCATGTGCAAGGCAAGCTCCTTACCCACTATAGTATAGCTCTAACCCTTAGTTTTGCCTTTTAAACATGACTGACTGGGGGGCTGGAGAGATAATACAGCTGGTAGGGTGCTTGCCTTGCATGCACTGGACCCAGGTTCAATTCTCGACATCCCATATAGTTCCCCAAGCACCACCAGGAGTAATCCCTGAGTACAGAGCCAGGAGTAATGCCTGAACATTGCCGGGTGTGACCAAAAAACCAAAAATAAGTTAAAAATAAAAAATATGACTGATTGGGTAGAGACCCTTCATTTTAAGTATGAAAGTGATGAAAATATTATATACCAGAGGTGATTATAAATGAGTAAAGCTAGTTCCATAAAATGAATTATTGTCATTCCATGCATGCACATACAATTAGACAACATTTTTTAATAAATTCTTTTGAATAAGAACCAATTCAGGTATCCTCTAGGCTTCTCTCCTTGCTAATTACAGAGGGCAACATGGACACTGTGATTATGATCTATTTTTTTTTACTTCTATATTTTATTTCATAGTTCTATTTTTTAATTAATTATTATGTGAAAAGTTATTCTGGGTGAGACTATAGAACACAACATAAAGTATTTTTGACTTAATAATCAGTTGAGTCAGTAGGCAGGCTAGCACTGTGAGATTTGTATACCCACTGGCTGATCATCCCTGCCCACAGCTTTGCTGAAATTGTTGCCCATTGTTTGGACCCCGGGGGAGTGCTTGATTAAAAAGCTCCCTTAAAATTTCTGATTACCTTGTGTCTACAGGCACAAAATCTGGACCTAACTTTGCCCTTTTACAAACTGGGCATTTATTAAGTACCAGTTCATCCTAGAATTCTCTTATGTTTTGCTTAAGTGCCAAATAAAGCAAAAATGCTTAGAGATTTTATGGTCAACTAATAAAAAGATTATTTACTTGATATAATTACTTCTGGGGTCTGGAAGTTTTGATTTCTGGAACTATGTTATTCACACTTAAGATAATACATTTTTCTGAGATTTCATTCAGACTGCCCATCATTTAAACTGTTAAATATGACTAGATCTATATGTGGACTGGATTTCTTTCTATTCCATATTCTCTGATTAAAAAAAAAATTGTATATTGGGCCCAAAAACATAGCATAGCAGGTAAAGTGCTTGCTTTGCACATGGCTAACTGGGTTTCATTGCCCAGCATTGCATATGGTTCCCCAAGCTCTGCCAGGAATGATTCCTGAGCACAGAGACATGAGTAAGCCAGGTGTGCCCTCCTCCCCCAACCCCCCCCAAAAAATCGTTGTATATTTGTAATAAATTTTATGGTATGTGAACTATGCTATAGTAAAGTACAATTGAGAAAGTAATTACTTAAAAAAAAAAAACTTTTAAAAAGGATTTAGGCACAGGTAATGCTGTAATGCTTTTTGTTTTTGGTTTCGGGGCTCTACACAGCAGTGTTGGACGGCAACTCCAGTCGTGATAAATAACAATTGCTCCCGGCAGTGCCCAGGAGACCACATGGTGCTGGAAGTCTGAACTTGGGCTTCCTGTGAGCAAAATGCATGCTCCAGTCCTTTGAGCTATTTCCCAGGCCCCAAGCTAATACCTTTTAGAAATTGTCTCAGCACTAACAAAGTCATTGAAATCTAGAACATTAATTTTTTTATTTTAATTAGTTTTTCTCTGTGATGTTAATGAAGTCCTATGATTTTTTGTTATACCACAAAGCCTTTGGGGGGCTGGAGCGATAGCAAAGCGGTAGGGCCTTTGCCTTACAAGCGGCCAACATGGCCGACCCGAGTTCGATTCCTCCACCCCTCTCGGAGAGCCTGGCAAGCTACCGAGAGTATCTCGCCCGCACGGCAGAGCCTGGCAAGCTCCCCGCGACGTATTCGATATGCCAGACACAGTAACAACAAAGTCTCATGATGGAAACGTTACTGGTCCCACTCAAGCAAATCGATGAACAACGGGAGGACCGTGACCATGACCACAAAGCCTTTACATTGAATTGTTAAAATATATGTATATGTTTTATACTATCTCTCTGACTTAGACTATACATTTTTTTTTAAGAAGTTTTACTGGATCACTGTGAGATAGTTACAAACTTGCATGATTACATTTTAGTCAAACAGTGCTTGAGCGCCCATCCCCCCACCAGTACACATTTTCTGCCACCATTGTTCCCAGTGTCCCACCTGTCAGCCCCACCCCACTCCCTTCCTCTGTGGCAGGTACAATCGTACTTTCTCATTTTGGACATTATGATATGCAGTACAGATACTGAGAGTTCATTGTGTCTACTTTCAGCACACATCTCCCATCCCGGTCGATCCCTCCAATCATCATTTACTTAGTGGTCCCTTCTCCATTCCAGCTGCCTTTCCCTCCAGCATGTGAGGCCAGCTTCTAAACCATGGTGTGATCTTCCTGACACTTATCTCTACTGTCCTTAGGTGTTACACTGTACAGTTTTGTACCATCATCTATACTTACCTTTATATATGTATATATATACATGTAAAGGTGTTTTTGGCAATACTTTGCAATTTTGACACGTTGCTAAAGTTTTTAGAGTATAAAAGGTAAAGGTAAAGGCCCTCCCGTTGATCGTCGATTTGCTCGAGCGGGCCCAGTAACGTCTCCATTGGAGACTTTGTTGTTACTGTGTCTGGCATATCGAATACTCTCGGTAGCTTGCCGGGCTCTTCCCAAATATACTATTTAATGTTAAAAGCTAGAGCACTAGATGGACTGATATGAGACAAAACAATGGATATTTGGGTGTTAGTGGCTATAGTTATTACAACTAACTTGATTATTTCTCCCAGATCTCTGAGCAGCATCTTTTAAATAGTTTAAATATTATGTTTCCTAAAGGATGCATTTGCACAGTTATTTGTTTTTAAGTTTTTAAATTCTGACATGTTCTAAAACATTTTTAAAATAGCTTATAGAAATTCATGAAGTACATAAGGAAAAATAGTTGAGCCTGTTTCAATGCGAGGGGTAAGTTAAGAAAGTAAGATAAAACTAAATTTGCTATATTATTTTATTCATTGAAAGATGGATCAGCTAGTGTGCACATCATTTTAACCTTATTTTTCCCAGGGGTGTGGATAGTATTCTATTTTTCTTTTTGTTCAAGTTTAGAAATTAGAATTACTAATATAAGGGCTTAAATACTGACTGGACATGCGCTTTTATTTACTGGTCGAAATGTAGGGAAGAGTGAATTTTGTCTTAGTAACAATCCACTTCTTTGGTTTTCAGGCAGTCTGAGTATGGTGGTGTGGTGTTTGGTGGCTGGGCACGAATGGCCCAGCCCATTGTGGCCTTCACTGTAGTTGAAGTTGCCAAACCCAACATAGGTGAAAACTGGCCAACACGAGTGCGTGCGGACGTGACCATCAATCTGAATGTCAGAGATCACATCAAAGATGAGTGGGAAGGTAATTTTGTGTTTCACAAAGTGAAAATTCCTTTGCCTTTTGGTTTATTTTACCATAGCATACCCTTATGCTTATCTTACTTTATCTTACACTTTCCATAGTTAGAGAACAGTTTTACTAAAGATTATCTTTTTGAACATTCATTGACTTTGATCTTTGAAGTTTGATTTAGAAACTGACCATTGTCAGGGGCCAGACAAGTGCTACAGCGGGTAAGGCACAGCCTTGTATGCGTCCCCATCTGCATTCACTCCCACATATAACTTGCATGAGTGTATGTCAAGTGGGAGAAAATTAGAAAATTGGTAATTTTAAAAGATAAAAATAGCCAAAATTGAAGAGAACAAGGATTATCATTTTCACTGTAAGAATAAGACTAATAATTACGTGCATATGATTTGTGAGAAAGAGAGACACAAAATCAACTCAAAAGGAATTTTATGGCGGCCTAACTAATTGCCTCAGAAAGAAAGGATAATAGATCACCAAGGGGAGGAAGTCAGAATAAAATCAATGAAATCAGTTGTTCTAAAGATAAATAGTATTTGTAAAGAAATTAAATTATTTTCTCTGTCCCTTACTAGTAATATTTTAGGGGTGGGGGTTCTATGTTACAATCAATTTTATTTAGAAGCAGAATTTGTTCATAGCTACAAAGTTAAGACAAATAATTTAAACATTGACACCTGTGTTAGAAATGACACATGAACTCATTTTTAATTGGCAATTTTATATTTTTCTCCCAACTGTCACTGAAAGATTTAAGGAACAGTTGCCCATAAGTTTTGCATCCTTTTACCTTCTTGGCATTTCAGAAGGAAAAGGATAGTCCCTTAGCAGGTTTCATAAATTTAATGCTTTCCCTTAGCTTTTTACAACCACAGAAACTGTGTGATATATTATCAAACAATTCTCAAAGAATTCAGCGGCAAAACTGGCCAAATGTTTAACAGATGGCCATTGTAATGGATATAGTCTCTACCAGATTGTTTCTGTGATTCCTGTATTCTTCAAAAGAGTTTCAGTCTGGTATGTTCCACAAGTAGGATAGTGTTATTACTATCATTGCTTTCCTATTGCTGAATCTCAAGGAGGACATTAAGTTGCTGGAGAAGGTCTTTTATTTATCAAAAGGTATTAATTCAGATTTTTTTTTTACACAGTAGATAATTAACCCCTCTCGGAGAGCCCAGCAAACTACTGAGAGTATCTTGCCCACACGGCAAAGCCTGGCAAGCTACCCGTGACATATTCGATATGCCAAAAACAATAACAACAAGTCTCACAATTTGTTGTGAGACTTTACTGGTGTCCACTTGAGCATATCGATGAATAACTGGAGGACAGTTCTACAGAGCAGATAATTAACAGTCTACTCCTAGAAGTTATGCTACTAACAATAGCAAGTACCATTCCCTTTAAATAAATAGCAGTATAAAAACTGATCCTTTTTAATAGCTTGTAGATGACAGATTACCGAACAAGTTTATATGATAGTTTTAGAAGGGAAGGGGGTGAAATTTTAGTCAGTTTACTTATTTGTGAGGAGCAGTTTGATCCTGTGGTCTGGGGCTGCTCCTGGAGGAGTTTGGTGGAAGATGTAGTTTGGAAGACTGACTGGTTCCAGGGCTTAGATGAGGACCATGTGGTGCCAGGGACTCAACCCATAATGACTTAATGTAGGGCAAGCTGCTTAACACCTCTGCTATCTCTCACACAGTTTTACCCGACCCCCTTTTCTGTTTTGGGGGGAAGACCATCACATAACCTTTTATTTGTTGTCTTTCCTTTTATAAGCATAGATCTCTAGTAGAATAAAAAATAGAATGGGTCAGTTTCGATGGTCAGAATAGGAAATAGAAGGATATTGTGGAATCAGTGTTTTATATCATAGGACATGGTGGCAGAAAAGTGTTTTCCATGGGAGCAGATAAACTCAAACACTGTGTGGATCTGTGATGGAATAACCAAGTAAGAAATGATGCCAAAAGTGAGAGGAGTTCAACGAAGTATGAACTAATATTGTTCTGTCAAAAGGGAATAATTTTTTAAAAGTTATTTAAAATATCTATCTTTTGATTTTTTCATTTTCTTTTATTAAACCACAATGAGATGTACAGTTACATAGTCACTTATGATAGCATTTCAACACTGGTCCTTTCATTACTGTACATTTTCCACCACCAAGGTCCCCAGAAAGGGAAAAGTTTTTAAGAGTTAAGACTAAGGGCTGGAGCGATAGCACAGCTGGTAGGGCAGGTAGGCCTTGCACGCGGCCCTCCTGGGTTCCATTCCTCCATCCCTCTCAGAGAGCCCGGCAAGCTACTGAGAGTTTCCAGCCCGCATGGCAGATCCTGACAAGCTACCCGTGGCGTATTCGATATGCCAAAATCAGTAACAATAAGTCTCACTTCGTGTTCCTGGATCCAGCAGACAGGGACAAATGGAGACGTTACTGGTGCTTGCTCGAGCAAAATTGATGAACAACAGGATGACAGTGCAGTGCAGTGCTGCTGTAGGGCAATGGAAATAGCTTGTGTAATAGCATGTGTAATTCATTTCCAACACCACCAGCTGTAGCCTAAAGGCCCCCAAGCACCACCAGTGTGATACTAATGGCTCCTAATGCCACCTGGGCTTAGCAGTTTTGCATCATTCAGCCTTAGCATTGAATCATCAAGCCTGAGCAGGGAGTAACTATTCAGGCCCCCAAGAATACTGTTTGGGAAGACCCAGAATAAGTAAATTAAGTATAATGTCAAACGTTCTTTTTCTCGCTTCAAGGATTTTAATTAAGCTCAGTTCTTTAGCTTCCTCATCAACCCATTTGAAGGGAAGGAAATGGAATTAATAAAACTGGAATTCTGTATTCTGCTTAGGGTTGTCACAGCCAGGATGGAGTAGATACTAATGGTTGAAAGGCGAGAGGTAATTGAACTCATTGTAATAAATGTGTTTTTAAATAGATAAGATATCCCACTTAAAATGTTGTTCTTTCGTGGGGAATAAACAATCATTCCTCAATTTTGCCATAAAGTGACATTAATAGATACTAAACTACTTCTCAGGACCACTTAGTAGTCCTAAGATTTGGATATTTGATGATCAGAATTATACAGATCAGAAGATGTAGAACTTCTAGTCCTCCTTTTTGTTGTTGCCTAGTTGTGCTTTTGCTTCTTTACACAGTGTTTGTTGAGGAATAAAATTATTATTTCAACAAACTTGAATCCCACTTTATATTAACTCAAACCAATTTGGTCTCTACTATAAGCCATATACTCATTTTACTGGGTTGATAGTAACGGTGGCTAACAAAAATGCATAAGGAAAGAAGAAAAGATTAAGTGGTATGACATTTCATGCTGTGTGGTCTCATTTTGATGCCTTTGTCTGGTAGCCTCTTCTACTTTTCTTGGAAATTCAGTTAAGTTCATTATTTGATCAGATAACTAAGAGACTATGGATTTGGACAAATCTTTCATTTCTTATTCATGTATAAAATGTGTTTAAACAAAGTAACAAAAGTATCAAAATAGGAGACTAACACCCAAGAGTGGCCGTGATTAGTACCAGGAGGTTTACTCCATGGCTTGGAGGCCAGCCACACATGCTATGGGAAACGGGAACTCACATAGAGAAGGGAGCACCAAATAAAGGGTGTTGGGAGGATCCTCCCAGGATGGGAGAAGCATGCTGAAAGTAGACTATAGACCAAACATGATTGCCACTCAATGCCTCTTTTGCAAACCTCAGCACCCAAAAGGAGAGAGAGAATAAAAGGGAATGCCCTGCCACAGAGGCAGGGTGGGATAGGGGAATGGGGGAGGTGGGAGGGATACTGGGACCCATGGTGGTGGAAAATGGGCACTGGTGGAGGGATGGGTACTTAATCATTGTATAATTGAAACCCAAGCACAAAAATTTGTAAGTCTACAATTGTACCTCATGGTGTTTCACTAATAAAATTTTTTTTTAAAAATGTGTTTGATATTTTCTATCTGAAACTACAGTCATCTACAGATGATATCCATAACAATGTTTTTGATGAATTATTATTGAGTTAACTAATGAAATGCAATTAGGCTATTGTTGGGATGACACTAATAGTTTAAACTGATCATAAAAACTAGCTAAATGTGACAGAAGTAAAATATGTTATCCATATTTTTTGGTTACTTATAAGATTGATAAAAGCAAGAATGATCAGAAGTATCTTATTGTGGAGCATGTGTGGAGGACTTATCCAATAATGTATCCATGGCAGAAAGAATTCTAATTTTAATGCAAAGAGAAATTTTTACCCAAATTATTGCTGTCAAACATTAAGTATTGTAGAGTATAGGAAAACCCATTATTGCATTGCAATGCAGATATAGTCATTGATCACCTCTGATATTTTCAAAGATAATATATATATTTTTATATCTTTATTCTAAAGATAAAATGAGGATTTACCAACAATAGAATAAAAATAATAGCATCTGATTAAGTAAGAATGTCTTTATTTCACCAGGACTTCGTAAACACGATGTATGCTTTTTAATTACCGTGCGCCCCACAAAACCTTATGGCACCAAGTTTGACCGAAGGAGACCATTTATTGAGCAGGTTGGCCTGGTTTATGTCAGAGGCTGTGAAATCCAGGGCATGCTGGATGATAAAGGACGTGTCATTGAAGATGGTATGATAAATCATACATATTTTAAAGAGAATATGTCCATAGTGATAAATTTCTTTGCTTTTTTTTTTTTTTTTGAGGTAATTTAAAAAATTGCTTTACCTACTAAATCAACAAAGAGAACTGAATATAAAATTTGTTTAGGATATCTACCACCCAGTATTAGAAATAGATTGTATGGTTTCTGTGTTAGATACTGTATTTTTAATAAAATAACTTTAATTTTAGACTTTTCCCTGTAATACTTTATAATACTGTTTTAAAACCATTTAAAGGCAGTTATTCAATTCTTACGTATTTTACTTTTTTGTTTCCTCCTTAGTTTTACTGATTGGAATTTTTACAGCAATGGTTCTCAGTTGGGAAAAGCATTATCCTATGTTTTGAAATGTGTGGAAAAGGATAAAGTAATCTATATGCCAGGGAGATAAGCATTTAATTTTAAAGTAAACATTTTATTTAAGAAACTTTTTCAAAATGTTCAGGACCTGAACCCAGACCCAATCTTAGAGGAGAGTCAAGGACATTTAGAGTGTTTTTGGATCCAAACCAGTATCAACAAGATATGACCAATACTATACAAAGTGGAGCAGAAGATGTATATGAAACTTTCAATGTAATAATGAGGAGAAAACCAAAGGAAAATAATTTTAAGGTAAATTCTGGGTTGTGTAACCAAAATTACTGTTATAATTCAAATAACCTTCAAGTTGTAGATGTAAATTCAGATATACTGTGTAAGATAAAGGTATTAAGAAATAATGATTGGCTTTATTTTGATTCTAAACAGCTGTATGAAATTCCTAACATATTAAATCTAAAAGGTTAAGGACTTTGTCTTAATCTCTGCTTTTATTCCTACTTTTCCTGTCCCTCCCCTGTTCTCCAGGTAGCAACTAACTGAACATCAATTATACCCAGTACTTGGCAGGGGGAATGAAGGGGGTTGCGGGAGGGATACTGGGAACATTGATGGTGGAGAATGGGCACTAGAGATGCGATCATTGTATTACTGAAACATAATCACGAAAGTTTATAAATCTGTAACTGTATCTCATGGAGATTCATTAAAAATTTAAAAAAGAATTATACCCAATACTCTTGTTCAACATTCTGTTGCTGTTGTTAAAGTCACATTATGTTAGCATAGACCAAGAGACTCCTTCATAGTCGGTTCTCTGCTTACCTCTCCAATATAATTTTCTGAAATGTTTCCTTCCTTCATTTACACCATGCCAGTCATACTAACCTGTTTGCCCTTCTTTAATAATCCAAATCTTCTCACATATTGTTTCCTTGACTCCACAGTTTTCCCTCCATCCTTGCATGATTTGTTCTCTCATTTTAGTAGGGACAACACTGTTTAAATACCGTCTACTGAGAAAACCGCTTTCTGGCAGCCTTACTTAACGCAGTTACTGTCTTCTTCTCTTATCACTAATTCGATCACTTGTATTTTTTCCTGACAGCCTTCACTAGATCTGATGATTGCATATGTCTTATTTATCAGACTTCTCCATTAAAATGCGTATCTGTGACAGCAGGGTTTCTTTTTTGTCAGTCTCTGTTTCTCAGTAATGATTAGTTTGGGTCATGGAAATAAAAGTATTATACTAAGTTTTAATACAGATCTAATAGCGATGTATAAGACAGTTTATATGTGCCTTTAGGGAGTGTAGACTAGAGATAAGATATATTTGTTGAAATATAAAGAACTATCATGAAAGGTTAGAAGGTGCCAGAAGTTCTAAGAAGGATGCTAATAAAAAATGCCAGAAAGTGATGAAAAGAGGCATTTAGGGGTTTTTTCCCCATAGAGAGGGAGTTTATCTATGTTTGGAAAGAAAAAGTGCTCATTGAGTATCTTTACGGTTTTATCATTTACCCTGCACAGCATCATTTCATTTCTCTTTTCTCGTGGCCCTGTCCTAATATGAATACTTCATATGAAACTGTTTTATTCACCTCCTCTATCTCTACCCCTATCTTCGATATAGAATTTCATGTAATCACACTGTATTTCATATACTTACACAGATTCTTGTGCTCTCAAAGTTCTTATATAAGTCTTTTACTTTGATCTAAGTTGAAATGCCACTTTCCTCTGTGTGGCCTTTCCAGAATCAAAAATCTCTCCAACATTTGTCTCTCCCACCTCCATTTATTGAACTGTATCTTCATTCTATTTTGTAATATTCTTTACCGTTTGCCACATTCTCCTGCACTGTATTGGTAAGAACATATTTGATCTCTGCAATAAAATTTTTATTTTTTTCAGAGCAGCGCCCTCATCTTATCATTATGTAAGCATTCTCATTTTTCTGTCCTTCTGTCCATTTACCTAGCCCATATTCAAATTCTTCTAGACCTCTGCTATCATGGAAATGTTAACCTTATGGAGATTAGCCAAGTAATAAACAAGTAGCCAAGTACCTAAATAAGAATATTTAGATAGTTATAAGAGCAAGAAAGTAAAGATAATGTGATTATACTGTCTCGTTATTTCGTTATCCTGTTTCAACTGTACAGCATTTTTTTAAACTTTATTGAATCACCTTGAGATAGACCATTACAAAACTGTTCATGATTGAATTTCAGTCATACAGTATTCCAATACCCATCCCTCCACCAGTGTACATTTTCTAGCATCTCAACTTTATAGCATTTATGATTGAAAGAAATGGCTAATTTAATTATTCTTTGAAATTAATAGCCTAGCCTGATTTCCATATGCAGGACTAATCACTTTGTTAAAATAATTAATGGGAAATCTAAGAAATTACCTTGGTTTTTCATTATTACTTTTGGCAATATATATATATTAACTGCTATAATTACTTTTTATTGTAGTCTTGCTTCTTTCATTTTGAAGTGTTCTCTGACATTTCATTTAGTTAGAAATTTTGGTTCTCAATTTGGTTTAACTAATTACCATTAATTTAGTATTAATTAACATTAACTGTTTAATATTTCTAAGTTGTGATTTGATTTATAGTTCTGGCACATATTAATGTTCTTTTTTGTCAGTAGTGATGGTAGGTTTGAGGAACTACGGAATATAAAGAAAAAAAACTCAAGGAGTTTCTGAAAGGATGCATTTTCGTTTAAGAGTTTGTTCTGTATTGTTTTCTTGCTGTTTTGATTGAGTTTTCCTCCAATTCATCAGGGCTCAAGTGGTAAACTCATTTATGACATTCTGTCTAAATGAACTTCTAATGGATAAACTGTTCTTGCTAAATTTGGTCTTTTGTTAAACTCAGTGTATGGTATCAGTTGAAAATGTAGCTGTTGCTTCAGTCTAGCCAAGCACCTGTCAGCAGAAAATAGCTTCTTGCCGTGAAACACTCAGGAATTCTGGATTAGTGAGGCCAGCTCTGCATTCCACTGGAGTGCAAATGTTTGAGATGTCTTCTTGACACAATCCTTTTCTGTCCTTTTATGACAGGCTGTGTTGGAAACCATTCGGAACTTGATGAATACTGATTGTGTGGTACCTGACTGGCTGCATGACATCATTTTAGGTTATGGGGATCCAAGTAGTGCACATTACTCCAAAATGCCCAATCAGATTGCCACCCTTGATTTCAACGATACTTTTCTCTCCATTGAACATTTAAAAGCCAGCTTTCCCGGTCACAATGTTAAAGTAACTGTGGATGACCCTGCTCTACAGATACCCCCTTTCAGGTAAAATCAGAGTTGGATAGATTCCTTCCAAGCTTTCTGTAGTCACAAATCCAAATTAAGCACTCAGAACTATAAAGCAAGTTTGAATATTATATCTAGATTTTATTTGTAATTTTTTTTCTTTAAAAGCACTAAGATCAATTCAATTTTTGAACTCTATCTAAATCTTAGTATTGAAGTTAGGTTTTTTTTGGTGGGGGGATGTGGGTAGACACACTCTGTGATACTAAGGGGTTACTCCCGGCTCTGTGCTTAGGAATCACTTCTAGCAGTACTTGGAGAATCACATGGGATGCCGGAGATTGAACCTGATGTACTATCTCTCCAATCACATATTGAAGTTGCTTTTCTTGTTGTCTGAAAGGTGCCATATGAATCTATAGCATTGACTAAAGAAGAGTGTCTTTGCAGGGTTTTTTGCAATTATTTCCATATTCTGACATTTTTCCTAATTAATGTACATAGGAATAGAGGATATTGACTTTTTTGTCCCTAGGAAAGCATACTGGGTTTCTTTTAACCTAAGTTTAGCAAATTTGAAATAATCACAAGATGGTTATATTTATTATTAAGTGTGCTTTTATTTTAAAAGTTTCTAATTTGAGAAAAAAATAGAACTGAGATCTTGAAGCATGCAATTGCTGTTCCCTAAATTCTATTATAGGGATTAGTGGTCAGGCCCACAGTATATCGATAGATGGTAGCAAAGGGCTTGTCTTCTTAGTTGGAAGTTAGAATTCCCAAATCTAATGTAAACTTCTAAATGTAAATATTTAGCTATTAAATATAATTTCACTTGTTCTGGTGCTGGAGCAATAGCACAGCGGCCGACCCAGGTTCGATTCCCAACATCCCATATGGTCCCCTGAGCCCTGCCAGGAGTGATTCCTGAGTGCATGAACCAGGAGTAACCCCTGTGCATCGCTGGGTGTGACCCAAAAAGCAAAAAAATAAGTAAATAAATAAAATTAAAAGATTAAATATAATTCCATTTTTCAAGACATCTATCCTTTATAACACCCAAGCCTAGTCTTCCTCCAGACCTTCCTAATAAATGTCCATGTAACCCAGCTTGGAGTCTCCTTTAACTCCTACTGTGTCCTATGAATTCAGCTAGGAGGATCCTTTTGCTGTTGTTGTGATGCAATCTGCAATAGTTGCAATGTGGCTGAGCCAATCCCTCTGCAGATGTGTTCAGGTTACTGCACTTTTATCCCAATGTCCCTCCACTTTCTCCTTCCTTAGTCTCCATTCTTCCTCCGTTTCCAGTTTCATTGATCCCATGGCAGGGTTTGTTTCCACTGGAGATTGTTAGGTCCCTTTATTTCTGTATACTCTTGCATATGGGTGGGTCATTCTTTGTTTGATTTTCGGTTGTTTTTTTTTTTTTAATTTTATTTTCTGACTCACTTCTCTTAGTATGACACTAAGGATCCTTTCCAAAGGATCCTTTTGTTGTTGTTGTTTGCTTTTTAATGTCATTCCTGGCTGCTACCCATTAGGCCTTCCACACTTTCAATCTTTTGCTCACCTCTTCTGTCTCTTCACACGAACCTATTGCATGACTTACTGCTAGAGTCATTCCCCTCCTTAGCTAAAAAGCTGATTTTTTTTCCCCTTTTATTTAGCAAAATAAGGCTGACTTGTTTACTGCTTTGAGTCTTAGCTTTTTGGGGTCAGTACCTAGCTATTATTCTCCAGAGAAGGGCTGAGAAAACTGAAGACACAGTCAGCATTTTGGGTTTAATTTTAAGAAATTCAGTGACTTTCCTGGGTTCCTGTGGTGGTTGCCTTCTGAGGTATCACTGACTGCAGGCTAAGAGCATCTCTCAAATACATCTCAAATACAAATAAATAAGAGCATCTCTGTATTTTCAGGGTGTCATAAAAAGGGCCATCCAGTCTCTCTTTAGCCTTATTGTCTTTTATCTCACATCCTGAAAAAAGTACAAACTTTTCATTTTTTTGGTGTTTTTTATTTTGGTGTCATACTTGGTCCTCAGTGAGGTTACCCCTGAGGGTGCTTGAAGAACATTGGAATTCTGGGTCTCGAACCTGCAAATCCTGCATACAAAGCATGTGTGCCAGACCATTGAACTCTTTCCCTGGCCCCCAACTCTTTCCCCTACTTTTAAACTTTCATTGTTCCTTCTTTCTTTCTGGATTTTTTTTCTTACATTTTTGATGTCTAGATTTTTGAACTCCAGATACCTTTTTTTTTTAATTTTGCTTTTTGGGTCACACCCAGCGATGCACAGGACTTACTCCTGGTTCATGCACTCGGGAATTACTCCTGGCCATGCTCGGGTGGGGACCATATGGGATGCTGGGAATTGAACCTTGGTCAGGCTGCGTGTGAGGCAAATGCCCTACCCGCTGTGCTATCACTCCAGCCCCATCCCCAGATACCTTTGAATATGCATGTTGGTGCTTTTACATCTGATTGTTAAAAAATAATTTATGTATACTTACTGTATTTCTCTAGAACAAATATGTTTCTTACCAGATTGCTTCATATACAGTGTCATGCACAAAATAGATGTTTGATAAATTAGCACTGTCTGTAGCACTGTCCTCCCATTGTTAATCGATTTGCTCGAGCGGGTCCAGTGACGTCTCCATTGTGAGACTTGTTACTGTGTTTGACATATCGAATACGTCACGGGTCACTTGCCAGGCTTTGCCGTGCAGGTGAGATACTCTCGGTAGCGCCAAGCTTATTAACGCTTGATAAATTATCATTCGTTAATCATAAAAATGAACAAAGGTTTTGATCTTCTAGGATAACTTTTCCAGTAAGAAGTGGAAAGGGAAAGAAAAGGAAAGATGCAGATGGGGAAGATGAAGATGCAGAAGAGGCAAGAACCTTAATTGTGGAACCTCATGTTATTCCTAATAGGGGTCCTTATCCTTACAATCAACCCAAACGGTAATTCCTACTTTCTATGCTATTTGTAATGATGAGTAAAAAATGGTTTGTTGTTTTAAATGGATTGGTAATTTTAAATATTCTTTGTTTACATTGAAGTATACATTTATTCCTATCTTATTGAAGTAGCCTTATAATACTGGATTTTGGTGTTCATTACTGAAAATCATCATGGTCATCCATTTGTCTCTATTTCTGTGCACATCACCCCCTCCTTCATCCTGCCCCTTTGGCCTTTGTCCTTTCTTTACAGTAATCACTAATTACCTTATACTCTAGAAATTTAATGATATTTTTAATCACTTAATCACTTAATCCCCGTTATTCATCGATTTATTCGAGCGGGTGCCAGTAACGTCTCCATTCATCCCGGTTGCGTGCTAGCGTAGCCCAATGGTATCTGTTCGTTTTAGGAACATGTAGAGCCTCAAACCGATCATTTAGGGTCTTGACGAAGAAGTCTGACCATCTTATAGGTGGGCGTCCACGTGATCTTTTGATGTCTCGTGGAATCCAATCAGTAATGGCTCTAGTCCAGCGGTTGTCTGTAAACCTCATTACATGTCCAGCCCATCTGATTTTTGATGTCTTGGCAAATGAGACAGCGTCTCTGATTCTTGAGCGTTGACGAAGATCAGAACTCCGGATTCTATCTCTCATTTGAGTGAATCGTGATATTCCAAGCATAGTTCTTTCGATTCCTCTTTGAGAGACCCGAATAGTGTTCTCATCCTGTTTTCGTAGGGTCCAGGTCTCTGAGGCATATGTTAATGCAGGAAGAATAGTGGAATCAAAGAGATGTGCTCGTAGTTGGAGGTTCTTTGTCCTTTTAGTTATTTCTTCAATGCTCTTGAAGGCATTCCAAGCCGCTCTCTTCCTCCTGCGTAACTCAGGTGCCAGGTCATTCATCATGTTGATTTCTCGACCTAAGTATATATAACTGTTGCATTCGGAGATGGTGGTTCCGTTGAGAGCGAATGGAGCGTCAGGAACAAGGCTGTTTCTCATAAACATTGTCTTCGTAAGATTCAGCTGTAGTCCAACCTTTCCACACTCACGGTCAAAGTCCGCAAGCATTTGTGCCGCTTGGCTGATGTTTGGTGTTATTAGAACAATGTCATCAGCAAAGCGGAGGTGGTGTAGTTGCCGACCATCTATCTTCACTCCCATGTTTTCCCATTCTAGTCGTCGCATGATGTTCTCGAGGGTGGCACTGAAGAGTTTTGGTGAAATGGTATCACCCTGCCGAACCCCTCTCTTGATATGGATGATTACTTCTTTGTAGAATGGTGAGATCTTGGTAGTGAATCCGCAATAGAGCTCACGAAGGATCCTGATGTATTGAGTTTGTACGCCCTGATTGGCTAGGGCTTCCATGACCGCTTCCGTCTCAACAGAATCAAAGGCCTTCTTTAAATCAATGAACGTTAGACAGAGCGGCATCTTGAACTCCCGAGATACCTCAATGAGCTTGGTTATTGTGTGGATATGGTCGATGGTACTGAATCCTTTTCGGAATCCAGCTTGTTCACATGGTTGTCCTTCATCTAGTGTTCTGCTAATCCTATTCAGGATGACTCGAGTGAATAGTTTGTAGATGACAGACAATAGGCAGATTGGGCGATAGTTGCCAATGTCGTGGATGTCTCCTTTCTTGTATAGTAGTACAGTCTTGCTGGTTTTCCATTGGGATGGAACCTTGCATTCAGACAGGTAGCGTGTGAAGAGTCGAGCTAATGTATTGATGAGTACTGATGGTAAGTTCTTCAGGTGTTCAGGTCTGATCTTGTCTGGGCCAGGTGCTTTTTGTTTCTTTACCGACGAGATGGCATGTTGGATTTCGGAAGGGAGAACATTGGGAACGACATATCCATCATGTGGTATGTGGTATGTGGGCAAGTGGATGTGGCTATTAAAGAGATCTGAGTAGAATTCATGAATAATCTTCTCCATTGCCCTTCTGGAAGATGTGATAGATCCATCATGATGTCGGAGGGCAGTCATCTTGGTTTTGTAGTTGGTGAAGGACAGGCGGGCATTACGAATGTTTTTCCCAGCTTCTGCTGCATCTACCAGTACTGCTGCTCTCCTGTTTTTGAGGTCATCCTGATATTTTTAATTTCCATTAATTTTTTACATCTGGGGGTAGGATGAGGGTTGGGCCAGACCCAGTGGTGTTCAGGACTGATTCCTGACTCCACCCAGATTTCACTCCTGGCTCTGCTCAGGAGGCCATATATGGGTGGTGCCAGGGATCAAACCCGGATCTGCTGGGTACAAGGCAAATATACCTTACCTGTTGTACTGTTTCTCCAGTCCCTGTTTAATACTGTTTTGTTTAAGACTGTTTTTTGGTTTTCTCTATATGCCACATATAAGTGAAATCATATGGTGCTTGTTTTTCTTCTTCTTACTTACTCAGAATGATACCCTCTAGCTCAATCCAGGTTGTCACTAATGACAGGATTTCATCTTTCTTTCAGCTGAATAGTAATCCATTGTGTATAGATATCACATTTTTGTTCTTCTTCAGTTGGTATCCCCCTTAGATTGCTTCCAGTTTTTGGCTATTGTAAATAGTGCTACAGTGACCATGCCTATGCAATTCTTCATATTAGCATTTTTGTACACTGGTGGTTGTTAATCCCCCAAAGTGAGATTTCTAGATCATATAGAATTTGTTTTTATATTTTTATTTATTTTGGTTTGAGGGCCACACCTGCCTCTGCTCAGGACTTACTTCTAGCTCTGTGCTCAGGGATCCCTCTTTGAGGCACTCAGGGGACTATTTAGAATGCCAGGAGGTGACCCCAGGTCTGCCACATGTTTTTAACTTTCTGAGGAATCTCCATATTGTTTTCCCTAATAACTGTACCTAATAACAATTTACATCTCTACCAGCAATATATAAAGACTTGCTTTTCTTTAGATCCTCTCCAAGGAAAGAGCTTCCCTCCCCTCACCCCTCTTTTCTCTTTGGTGCTGATATTCAAACCTAGAACCTCGTGCATGCAAGGCGTAAATGCTGTATGAGCTACATCTCTAGCCAGCATTTAAATTTTCTGATGCTTTAAATTTATGTTAAATTTATGTGTCTGGGCCTTCCTTCTGTTTGGTTGATTGAACAGTTCAGATAGTTTTGGCTATTCTAATCATTTTTTATAAGTTATGTTCAGAGACCATGAAGAGTAAATATTAGAGAGCAACTTTAATTTGAGCATAGGGTTTTTCACTTCTCATGGCTGAGTATTACATGTGGCAGTTGTAACTACCCTCATACATGTCTGACTGACTTACATTTGGTAGTTGGTCAGGAACTAGAACTTCGATACTCCAGATGAAGTATGGGATGCCTTAAGTGTATGGGGAATTAATTGTAGTCTTTACTTTGGGCTGGAGCGATAGCAAGGGCTGGAGCGATAGCACAGCGGTAGGGCGTTTGCCTTGCACGCAGCCAACATGGCCGACCCGAGTTCGATTCCTCTGCCCCTCTCGGAGAGCCCGGCAAGCTACCGAGAGTATCTCACCCGCACGGCAGGGCCTAGCAAGCTCCCCGTGATGTATTCGATATGCCAAATACAGTAACAGTAACAACTTTGTACAAGGATTGGAGCCATAGCACAGTGGATAGGACATTTGCCTTGCACGTGGCTGACAGGGATTTGATTCCTCCATCCCTCTCAGAGAGCCTGGTAAGCTACAGAGAGCATCCTGCCTGCACAGCAGAGCCTGGCAAGCTCCCCTTGGCATATTCGATATGCCAAAAAGAGTAACAACAAGTCTCACAAATGGAGAGTTACTGGTGCCCGCTCAAGCCTATTGATGAACAAGGACAGTGCTAGAGCGCTACTTTGTACAAACCTCATTCAGTTTAGCTATCCTTGAAGGGGTAAAGAAACTCATCAGAAGAGATTACTTCAGTTTTCTCAGATATGAAGTTCTGTGATTAGGAGAATAGAGGCAAATACAAAGCAAATGTTTAGACATCTAGTCATTGTTGTCTTTGTTTTCATTTGTATTTGTAACCCTAATTTTTTTCTACTCTTATTTGCAGTAATACAATTCAGTTCACTCATACACAGATAGAGGCCATTCGTGCTGGAATGCAGCCTGGACTAACTATGGTAAGAAAATTATTGTTAGACATGTTCTTAATGGGTTTAGACTAGAAGCATAAACTTTTAGCGTACATTCTGTTTGAAGTACAAAAAAATTCAACCAACTTTAAGTGTTTATAAATAGTTATGACATTGTATGCATATAGATGTCTTGCCACTCATTTTAGTGTTCATAAAGGTTTGTGATGGGGGGAGGGGGAATTGTGGGGTAGGAGGCCTCCAAACAGTGCTCAGAATACCCATGAGCCACTCCTGATAATGCTTGGCCAGCCTGGCAGGATGTTCAATTCTCAGGCCTAGACTGCAGTGCAGCTTCAGCCCTGCAATGCTGAAGACCAGCAGGTCATCCCCAGTAGTAGGGGCCTCCAGGGTTAGCAGTTCTTAGTGGCCTCCAGGGCTACACCCAGAATGCTCAGGAGACCTTGTATTACAAGCGATGAAACCTGGGTCAGGTCCATGCTCTTCAGATTCAACCACTCTAATATCCCATAGCCCCATAAATAAAGTTTTACCATAATATAACTAACTGTTCATTTGTTGGTCTTGTGCCTGTGACTACTTTTATGCAGCACTAGCAGAGTTTTAATACTTGGAACAGAGAATGTGTAGCTTTTAAACCCTAAAATGTTTACTTGCTGATTTATTACAGAAAGTTTGCAGACAACTAATTTATTTAGACATCCGTTTAACTTAATTTGAAGATTTCTTATTTTCCTGTTACTGACCTCTGATCTAAATTCATTATGGTCAGAGAACTTTGTGTGGCAATGATCTTTTATCTTTTTAAAATTTTAAAGAATATGATTTATCCTGAGGAATATTCTCTGTGTGCTTAAAAAGAATGTATATACTATTATTTAGTGGTGTATGTCCTGTGTCAGTTAGATCCATTTGTTTCATTGTACTGTTCAGTATTTCTCTCTTTCCATATATTTCTCCTATTATTTCTGTTGATCAGAGGAGAATATTTAATCTCTAGTTAACAGTTACACATTTGTCTGTTTATGTTCTGTCCATTTTTGTTTCATGTATTTAAAGCCTTTGGATAGCTGTATATTCATGAATTGATGCTTTTATTTGCTCGAGCGGGCCCAGTAACGTCTCCATTGGAGACTTTGTTGTTACTGTGTCTGGCATATTGAATACTCTCGGTAGCTTGCCAGGCTCTCCGAGAGGGGGAATCGATGCTTTTATTATTATATAATAATACCTCTCTTTACCATGAGTAACAAATGGTAATTTTTGCTTTGAAATCTACTCTGATATTACTATAGCCACTCCAACTTTATTTTCATTAACATTTTAATTGGATATATCTTTTCTCATCACTTTTAATTTCATTTATGACTTACGTATTGTTGTTGAAGTATATTGTTTTATCCATTCAATAGCACAGCAGGTAGGGCGTTTGCCTTGCACTCAGCCAACCTGGGTTCAATTCCTCCGCCCTCTTGGAGAGCCCGGCAAGCTACCAAGAGTATCTCGCCCACACGGCAAAGCCTGGCAAGCTACCCATGACATATTGTTTTGACACTTTTTACTGGGCCAAAAACAGTAACAAGTCTCACAATTTGTTGTTAGATGTTACTGGTGCCCGCTCGAGCAAATCCATGAACAACAGGACAACAGTGCTACAGTATATTTAGACCATTTACATTAAATCTACCTGTTGATGTGTTTGGAGTCAGGCCTACCATTTTATTACTCATTTTGTTTGTGTCCTCTTTTTTGTTTTTCCTATTTCCTTTTTTCTTGCTTTCTTTTGTATAGGTTAATGTTATTTGTTTTGCATAGGTTAAGGTTATTTGCATAACTTTAAAGTCCCATTTTAATGTATTGGTTGTCTTGTATTATGGTGTCTCTTTCATAGCTTCTCTTTATTATACAAGACAGCTCTAGACCATTACAATTACAATATACTTTTTCAGTCTGCTTAAAATCGGTATTTTTATAAGTTGAATTGGAGAAATGTTACCTTATACAGTTCGCATTCCTTTTTTGCATTGTAGTAACTCTAAGCATTACACCTAAATTCTTGGGAAATACCATCAGTGTTGGAATTTTGCTTGAAAATATCAAACATATTTTTAAGAATTCTGAAGAGGATAGTCCTACTGTATTTTGTATACTTCATTCCTCTCATTTTATGTTTCCTCTGATAGTGCTTCCTTTTTATCTAAAGAACAGTTTTACCACTTTTAATAATAGCTCTGTTAGCAATAAATTATTTTTATTTTTATTGACATAGGAGTATCTTTAACTCACCTTCATTAAGTAAATATGTTGTCACTGGACATAGAATTTTTTCCATGGTGTCTGAGACAAATCCACAGTCATTTGAAATACCTTTTTAGCCCTGGGGTGATATAAAAATTTTTCTGATTATTTTGTTTTGTTTTATAACCTCTAGTTTTTAGCCATTTATATCTGGACTTGGGTTTCTTTGCTATTATTTTTTGAGGGGCTCATCAATTCTCTTTAGTTTGTAGATTATGTCATCAGATTTGTGAAGTTTCCAACCATTATTTTCTCCAAATATTTTTCTACAGTCTTTGCTTTTTCCCCTAGGAATACAGTAACATGAAATGTAGAACTTTATTATTGCCTCATAGATTCATGAGGCTGTGTATTTTTGTTTATTTGTTACAATCTATTTTTCTTGTTAAGATCAGGTTATTTCTGTTCAGGCTTACTGATTCTGTTCTGCTTTTGAACTCATCCAAAATTTTAAAATTTCTTTTAGGGCTAGAGAATGATAGCACAGTAGGTAAGGCACTTGCCTTGCATGTGACTGACCCAGATCCATCACTAGTGGGTGGAACCACCATATATGGTCCCCTGAGCACCGCCAGAAGTAAGCCCTGAGTACTACCAAGGGTGTCCCCAAAACCAAATTAAAATAAAATAAAAATTTATTTTATCTTCCACTTCTCAAATTATCATTATAACAGTGTAATAACTTAATAGTTTGCTCTGTCTTCATTATCTTTTTCAGGTTGTGGGTCCACCGGGTACTGGAAAAACAGATGTGGCAGTCCAAATCATATCTAACATCTACCACAATTTCCCAGAGCAGAGAACTCTGATTGTAACTCATTCCAATCAGGTAAGGGTGTCTATAAGAGAATGAGGTGGGGGGAGGGAGGAAGAGAGAGAGAGAGAGAGAGAGATTGAGAGAGAGAGAGAGAGAGAGAGAGAGAGAGAGAGAGAGACTTAAGTGGGTGAATGCCTACCTACTCACAGATATAGAATGAACATGGAGGAAGGTAAATAAGGCATGGGAGTGGGGGAGGGGTGCGGCAGGGGGTAAGTGAAAGTACAATGGAGATTTCTATTTATTTGGTAACTGGAGCCTTGGTACCACAGAATTTCAGGAAATGTGGATGAGTAGTGACTGTTGGAGAGTTACTCTTAAATTGCCTTTTGACCAAACTGTAATAAAGAAAATATAAAATTGACATTTCTATTAGATGGAGTCAAAATTAAAAAAAAACTGGGAATATTTGCACATATGGTCATATATTTGGATTCAATTGTGTTTCCTCTCAAATTCCATACTAAGCTAGAGCTTTAACTTTGAGATTGTGGGGCCGGAGGGACAGGACAGCAGGGAGAACATTTGTCTTGCACATGGCTGACCCAGGTTCAATCCCTGGCATCCCATATGGCCCCCCAAACACTGTCAGGGTTAATTCCTGAGTGCAGAGCCAGGAGTAATCCCTAAACCCTGAGCATCACCAGGTGTGACCCAAAAAGCAGGGGGGGAAAAAAGCTTTGAGATTGAAAGCATTGAGTTTTAGTATTTAGTATTTTTCTTCATTTTCATTCATTTTGTAGGATTAATATTTCTAAAAGTCTTCCTTGATGTCTGTTAAATTGTTGGTTTGTTGATTTTTATTTATTCCCCCCTCATTTTATTGACCCCCATTTTTTATTGATTCACCATGAGATACAGTTACAAAGCTTTCATGTTTGTGCTACGGTTGTACAATCACTGGTGCCCTTTCACATTTTCCACCACAAAATCCCCAGTAAACCGCCGCACCCCCCCCCCCCCCATTCTAGTTCTTCTCCTACCTGTATGGCAGACAATTTCCCCCATGATCTCTCTACTTTGGTTACATTCGATATTTCAACACCAGTCCCAACACCACTCAAACCTGCCAAAAAGGCAATGCTAGACAGTTTGTTTTCTGTTGCTTATTATGGACAGAATATAATGTCGTGCTCTTGGAATTATAAAATTTTAATAATTAGGGTCTTGGAGAGATCTCTGCAGCAAGCTGCTGGGTTCCAAGATTTGTGTGCGTGCGTGTGTGTGTGTGTGTGTGTGTGTGTGTGTGTCTGGATCATGGCCATGTAGGGGCTTAAGTAGCCAGTGGCAGTTTGTGGACGTCATCTTAGAGTCCCATGGGGTGGGGGGAAGGAGAGAGACCGGCTCCTCCCCTGTCCCGTGAGGCCTGATGTTTGCCACCACGCTACCACTGCTACTACGTACCTGGGCCTTTCATTGAGTTCTAGAAGATGGTGGCCACCAGGATTCCCAGGGGCCAGGTGAAGGGATGGCACTTCCTCCTGTCTGGAGTGGCCCAGTGAAAGTGGGCTATTACAAAATACAGAGACATTTCTGCAGTGAGCTGCTCATTTCTGAGATTCATGTGTGTCTCTCTCGGTTTGTTATTTTTTTTTTATAACTGCTTTATCAGCTGATCATTTTCAAAATAATTGAAGCAGTTCTCTAGTATCACTCTTAATTTGCAATCAAATGTTAACAATATTTTTTTCTGGTTTTCAATGTGAATATATCTTCTGGCTCTGAATCTGTTTACTTTCTGAGTTGTGGTAGCAAGGTGTGCATCATGTGTAATATCAATTGGAATGACTTATTAGGTCTTAAGTTACACCTGGAAGGTAGCAAGAATTTGGATAGTGGGCACTTTTTTTTTTTTTGGCTGAGAATTTGTCATCTCCAGTTCCTGTTGTCTAATTGCTAGAATATCTATAAAGATTGTAATAGCATTTTATAACCTGGATGCTAATGAGAACAGATGGAATGGAAGTTGATTTGATGGGCAGGATTAGACTTATGGTCAGTTAGGAAAGGTACTGGGTGGGGTTTAATTTTTAAATGATGCCCTTATTAGTGTGTTTCTATACTAGGAAACCTTTTTGCCTTTTTATAACTTTGAACTGTATTTTTTCAGATAATAATAAAATTTGATAAATGAAAGCGCTTTATAGGTAGGAATAGGGGTGACTTCTAAATAATTTTCATTAGAATAGTCTAATAAATCAGTGTTCAGCTCACTGTTGCATAGCAGTTGCTTTGGACTTTAAGACCCAATGTTGCACTTTACCTTTTCACTTGCTGTGTTTTTAATGCTGAGAGATCTCCTCCAAACAAAAAAGTTTTTTAGTTCTCTGAAACCCATGAAAATACCTGTTTTCTTTGTATTTTGATTTCTTCCTGGGGGCGGGGGAGGGTAGTTTATCCCATACCCAGCGGTGCTCAGGTATTTGCCCTGGTTCTGTGCTTAGTGGTGACCCCTGGCGGTGCTTTGGAAAACATACAAAGTACAGGGGATCAAACCAGGATCTGTGGCATGCTAGGTAAGAGTCTTACCACCTGGGCTATCTCTCTGCCCTTGATTTTGATTTTCTGATTGTTTGTATTTTGGGGGCCGCATCTGGCAGTGCCCAGGTCTTATTCCTGACTTTGTACTATGGTGGGCTCAGGGGACCATATGTGGCCCCAGAAATTGAACCTGGGTGGGCTGCATGCAAGGCAAGTATTATCTGTGCATTGTGCTAGCCCTGATTTTTTTTTTTTAGTGTAGGAGTACTGCTATTTATTCAGCCATTGATTAAGCTGATTGAATTGGGCGTGAACTCTACATTACTTTTTTTTTATTGAATCACCATGATACAGTTACAAAGCTTTCATATTCGAGATTCAGCCATATAATGATAGAACACCCATCCCTCCATCAGTTCCCACTTTCCACCACCAGTGTCCCCAGTATAACGCCCCCCTCCCCCAATCCCAGTCTTCACCCTGCCTCCATGGTAGGCAATTTCCCCAGTACTCTTTCTATACTTTTGGGCACTATGTTTTGCTCGAATTTTCCCACCACCATTCAAGCCTGCCTGCCAGGAGCAGATGCTAGATCATTTATTGCCATTGCTCATTTTGAATATCATGGGTGCCGTGGCTGTGCACTTCTGGAATCCTAGAATGTAAATGGTTGGGTTCCAGAGACATTTCTGTAGGGCACTAATCCATTTGGGATTCAGTTGGGCATCTCTGGACTAGGGATGTTGGTATGCTAAGATGGTGCCCAGAGGCACATTGTAGGTGTGACAGCCAGGCCAAGGAGTAGGCAGGGAGCCAGGAAGGGACAGCCGGCATCTCTGCCACCATGTGGCATGGAAATTTAGTCCTGGAGCTAGCCCTGATTTGATTCATACCTAACTGAGCAATACCCATTGCTTTCAGTCCTTCTATATGTTAGTGTTCATTACTTTAAGTTGAGTGTACTGATTCTTTAAATATCATCATCCTTTTTGTTTCATTCTCCAGGCCCTGAACCAGTTGTTTGAGAAAATCATGGCTTTAGACATTGATGAGCGCCACCTCCTGCGTCTTGGTCATGGGGAAGAAGAGCTGGAGACAGAGAAAGATTTCAGCAGGTGAGCAAATGGATGTACAAAAGAATGTTTCATCTTCTCTTCCTTTATTAAAGAAATATCAAGGTAGAGAGTAATGAAATACTACAACCTAATTCTGAAAGCTTCTGGTATAACCTACTTAGACTACATAGGCTGGCCCTGTAATTGTAGTCATTATTTCCTTCAGCTTCATGATACCTATTTAATACTGGCATTTCACGCATCAGTTGTACAAAAATTTCATTGATGAGAGTTATCTTTTTATCTTTTTAAAAATGCAGATTGACGTTTGCATTAGATTCTTTAGTAATTTTAATGTCGCCATTTCAGATTTGTACAACTTTGCATGATTCCTTTTTGAATTTCATTCGTAAATTTAACTCACATGTGTCTTAGATGCCATTAAAGTAGTTGTGGGGTGATAGTACAGTGAGTAGGGTATTTGCCTTGCACACAGCCAACCCAGGTTTGATCCCTTGCATCCCATTATGGTCACAAGGAATACTCCTAAGTGAGAGCCAGGAGTAACCCCTGAGTATCACCTGGGTGTTACCCAAAAGCCAAAAGAAAAAAAAAATTAAGTAGTTGATTCATTCAATGAAATCAGTTAAAGATTAATGATAATGCAAGTTTTTAGGTTTTATTATTATTAATGATAATACCAGTTTAGGTTCTTCCAGTTTAACTGGACTTTATATTTAATATTACATATTCTAAAGTGAATAAAATTTCGTAGATTGAAGTTCCTCTGTCATTACTATTTTGTTTTCTTTTTCTTTTTGAGTTCCTTTATAATAGCTCGTTTCATTTATATTTAAATCTGTTTTAAGGCATGATTTCACATAATAGGTGTAATTAACAGCTGCACATATTTAATATAGTCTTTAGCTATTGAATATGACCTTTAACTAAATTGATCGTAGACATCAAATGAGCTAAAGAGTATTAAATTATTATGTTGCATCTATTTTGAGATCTTATATTATTAGAGCTCACCAAATATTTGTAGCTTCTAAAAAGTCAGATTGAAGAGCAACACACATTAAGTTAATTGGGGCTCTGAGTCTTAATTTTGTATTAGCCAGTGATACTTGTCTCTAAATTTTTTAGTAAAGAGAAGAATCTTTTTCACCCATTTACTTTATATTAAAGTCTGTTTACAAAAGTGAGCTAGACTCTAAAATCTACCAATTTAGAATTTGGTAAGTATAAAGATAATAATAGAATGGTGAATGCAATATTTTAGTGCAACAGAACTTATAGTTTGTTAGGAATATTGTAATAAAAAATGAACAAAATTTTCAAAGTATTTATCAGGTTTTTTTGAGTGGAGATACCTTGTGCTTTCTGATACAGAAGTAAAGTCCCAGTTTTATTAGTATATATGAGTGTGTCAGTTCAGTTGGCATTTTCTTTTCTCTCCCTATGCCAGTTTTTTTTTTATTAATTTTTATTAGTGAAACACCATGAGGTGCAGTTGTAGACTTACAAATTTTTATGCTTGGGTTTCAGTTATACAATGATTGAGTACCCATTCCTGCAGCAGTGCCCATTCCCCACTTCAATGCTCCCAGCATCCCTCCCACTCCCCCAACCCCTCCATCCCACCTCAGCCCTGTGGCAGGGCATTCCCTTTTGTTCTCTCTCTCCTTTTGGGTGCTGTGGTTTGCAAAAGAGGCATTGAGTGGCTATCATGTTCGGTCTATAGTCTATTTTCAGCATGCGTCTCTCATCCTGGGAGAATCCTCCCAACACCCTTTACTTGGTGCTCCCTTCTCTATCTGAGCTGCCTTTTCCCCCAGCATGTGCCCCTATGCCACAGTTTAAAAAAAAAAACAAATATTTAATATTGAAGCAAATACTGCTTTCCCTAACAGAAAATTTTAAAACATAGTGATTTAATGATCATACGTAATTTGCTAGTTCCAAAATAAGATTTTGTCTGTTTTAAAAATAATCAGCTATAATCATGCTATTATTTATATATATTTATATTGCTTTTTTAAAATCAATAGATTATTTTTAGAATAATTGGGAGACTATTTGAAGGATAAATGAGTAAACAGTGCATTGAATTTCAATATATAGCATTAAATTTAGCATATCATAAGAATTTTGTCTTTTTCTGTTAGTCTTTTTAAGCTTTACTACTTTTATTTCTTATTGGCAAGCATGCCTTGTAGGGAAAATTACAAATTATAGAAGAGGTAATAGAAAAAATGTATCTGCTATAGTGTTTATATTCTACTAAGCTGAAAAACTAAAATAGACCAGTTCTAAGATCTTTTTTGCTCTAGATCATTCTTTTGATCCTTCAAAGGTGAGCTATGGAGCAGTAGGAATATAACTTGCTTTCATTATTGACTCTTTAAATATAACAGCAGTGTTTATACTTTTTAAATTTAGTGTTATAAATTATAGGACTTTGTTATTGTGGGGAAAATATATAGACTTTGCTATCCAGCTCTTCTTCTTTGTGTGTATGTGTGTATATGTGTTTTGTTTTGGGTCCACACCCAACAGTACTCTGGGCTCAGGGATTACTCCTGGTTTTGTTCCAAGAACCATATGAGGTGCTGGGATTTCAAATAGTGTTAGCCACCTAGAAGACACAAACCGTACCTCCTGTAGTATCCATTTGGCCTTTTCTCTTATATTTTTACTTCACTACTTACCTTTGAGCTAGGTACTCTACAAATTTGAGGGTTCCCCCCCACCTTTAATTCAGCAAGTATCTATGAAGCCGCTAGGTTTAGGTCTCATGTTTCATGCTAGGATATATAGGTAATAAAGTGATAAACAACATGAAAACACTTGTTTTCAAAATCTTTAGACCAAATCTACTTTTATGATAGTATAAAAATCACTCTCCAAAATATCTAATCTGCAGGAGGCCTGGGTTCAATCCATGTCACTGCATGTTCCCCTGAATGACCCCAAGCAACCCACTGAGAATATATCCGGAGCAACACCTGGTGTGACCCAAAAACAAACAGAAAAAGTCAATCCAGAAACTGTCTTTGTGTGATGAGACAGACTCCTAGTAGCAGAATGCCCTGCATTGCCTCCTTTGTAAAGGTCTAGTGGTGGTGCAGAGCAGGGATTGACTAAATGGTATTTTTAGTGATGATTGATTTTCCTTCCTCACAGGCCACTAACACATATTTTGTACATCAGAACTGAGCCATCAGGTACATTTTAAGTAGCTGTGATATAAAATAGCTATCATTTACTACCATTTACAGGTGAAAATTATTTCTTTTATTTTTACTGATATTTTTTGTGACCTCTTATAATTTCCATTTTGATTGTTTTTCATTCTAGTTTTATTTTTGTAATTGAAACAGCATTGGTTATGCCACTTTATTATTATTTTCTTGAATATTTTACTAAATTTCTTAAAGTGTTTTTATGATATAATTTCCTATTCTTAATTGACATTTTTAGGTATGGGAGAGTTAATTATGTTCTGGCTCGAAGAATAGAACTTTTAGAAGAAGTTAAACGATTGCAGAAGAGTCTTGGCGTTCCAGGTGATGCTTCGTATACTTGTGAAACCGCAGGATATTTCTTTTTATACCAGGTAAGACATAAGTGGAAGTTGTGTTTTATTGTAGTATAGTTGTCTTCCATTAGAAACTGGGATATTTTCTTGACATCCTTCTTTAGGCTTGCTTTTCGTTATTATTAAATAGATAAAACTATATTTGTGAACATAAAATTTGATTGGATTAGAAAAGACTTCCCCTGTATTTATAATTTATTGTTGAAAATTTAATTATTTTCTGGCAAATTTAACCTCACATCCCTTTTTCTGGATAGGTAATGTCTCGTTGGGAAGAGTATATCAGCAAAGTGAAAAATAAAGGTAATACATTGCCAGACGTTACGGAAGTCTCCACTTTTTTCCCTTTTCATGAATACTTTGCAAATGCCCCTCAGCCCATTTTTAAAAGCCGATCTTATGAAGAAGATATGGAAATTGCCGAAGGCTGTTTTAGGCATATTAAGAAAATCTTTACTCAACTTGAGGTAAGGATTCCCAAGTTCTTTTAGCTGCTATTTTGTTTTGGTTTTTCAAGGTCTTATTTTCAGTTGTCTTGATTTTAATGAAATCGATGTGGAATGTTCAAATCTCGTAAGCAGGCCAAGAGTTAGTACAGTGGTGAGAGTCATGCCTAGCATGCACCTGGCTTGGCTTTGCTTATAAGCACCACATGATCCCCTAAGCATCGCCAGTGTATATGCAGGCCTCTGAGCACCACTTGGGAGGCACAAAAAGCAAATAAAAGTCTTATAAGCTAGATTATTGCTTATAAGTATGATTGATATGAGCATTTAGATATAGTTTTTTTAAGCAACAAGTAAAAATCAAGATATCATTTGGGTATCCATTATTCTCGCCTTTCTGGTATAATGTCTTTAGCATTTAAGAAAGGAATATTTCCATTAGGAGATTCATCAATACTTTGGATTAGAATTTAAAACTGCCACATGATCTGCCTTAGTTTTTTCAATGCCTTTTAACTAGTTGGCAAAACGTTGGCTTGTCATGTTAGCCAGGATTATCAATCTCGATGATTAATGAAGAAATAAGAATCACTGTCACTGTCACTGTCCTCCCGTTGTTCATCAATTTGCTCGAGCGGGCCCAGTAACGTCTCCATTGGAGACTTTGTTGTTACTGTGTCTGGCATATCGAATACGTCACGGGGAGCTTGCCAGGCTCTGCCGTGCGGGCGAGATACTCTCGGTAGCTTGCCGGGCTCTCTGAGAGGGGCGGAGGAATCGAACTCGGGTTGGCCATGTCGGCTGCATGCAAGGCATAAGCTTTAAAAAAGAAGACAGAGAAGCATACAGGAATTCTCCCAATTTAAGGGTAAAAGTAATTTATAATATTGTAGCTGTTTTATGTTGGAGTGAGGACAAAGATGCAAGAATGTGACATAATCAGAAACTTGACATTTCTTGGCTTGGATTTGTTTGCTCCTCATCTCCGTTATTCATTCCTATGATTGGCAATGTAGATGATCCTTTACCATGTTTTAGGATGGGATTGATCCCTGGAAGTTGGGTTTCTCAGACTTCTTTAATAAATTGACCAGTGAGTGGGGTTAACCAGTGAAATACACGGCAGGAGTTGAAGAGAGAAAACAGGATATTTGTCCACCAGCCTTCTTTGCCTATGGCTTCATACTTCTCGTGGTCCCAGTTTCTGCTTGTTTAACCACCGTTAATTATTTCCACTTAATTTTGGCATCTCAGTCTCTGGGCTGTGATAACACTTGGCTCAAGGCTGGTAGTAGTAACTTCTTCTATTGCTATCCTTTGGGTCACTTCACATTCTCATGTTGGGTTTTCTTTTCCTCGTCTCCCCTGTGTAGCCACTGTTATGCATTAAGTTTCCTTTGTTTCAAATACTTGGAATGTTTCTGTTTTTCTAACTGGACCTCTAATGAGGTACATACAGTGATAATTAATGCTCTGTTCATTATTCTTATTTTTATTGTAAAATTTCTAATGATAAATTGTAGTTCAAATATCAACTATTATTTGAACTCAGTTCATACCCAATAATGAACAGAATTGTAACAGAGTAGGTGTAGCTTAGACTTATAGTAATCTTTTAGAAATTAGATCTGATTAAATTGTATGAATGTACATGTAAACTTTATTTTCCAAATAATCTTTCATTGTTTCCTTCCTCTCTCCCTCGACTCGTAGGAATTCAGGGCCTCCGAATTGCTTCGAAGTGGACTGGACAGATCCAAATACCTTTTGGTGAAAGAAGCCAAAATCATTGCTATGACTTGTACTCATGCTGCCTTAAAACGACATGACTTAGTCAAGTTAGGCTTCAAGGTAAAAACTTATTTTAGTTCCTTCATTCAATTTATTTTTCTCCTTTTCCCGTTTCCTTTTCCTTTCCCTTTCCATTCCTTCATTCTTCCCTCTCTTTTCCCCTCCCTCCTCTATTCTTCCTTCTCCTTCCCACTTCTCCCTGCGCCTGCCACCTCTCCCCTTCCCTTCATTGCCCTTTGAGATTGGCTCACTTAATTTCTAAGTTCATATATTAATTACTTAAAAATATCTCTTTTAAATAAACAAGGAAATAAACAAGGAAACTCCCCTTGTTTATATTAGTGAACTCTAAATCTAATATATCTAATCTAGTTACTATCAGTATGTCCTATACATAATGTTATAACAATATGATTGTCCAAACTCTTTAGTCACTAAGGTGTTTTAGTCTGTTTTCACTATCTTAAAAAAAAAATAAAATAAATCTCTGAACAGGAGCCCGAGAAATAGATAGTACAAGGTGGTAAGCCTCATGCCTTGCATGTGACCAACCCCTATTCAATGTCCAGCACCACGTAGTCCACCAAGTTTTACCGGGTACATCTCTGGATGCAATAAACTGCAGGGTTCCATCTTTTCTTATAGCTTAGGAGTGTACCACAGTTAGGCCCATCTCTTCCATTTCTTTTTTTCCTGATTTTCTGTCTGGTCAATCTATCCAATAGTGAGAGAGACTGTTAAAATCTGCTGCTACTGTTGTGTTTCTGGCAATATCTCTAGAGCTTGTTTGGAGGTTCTTGCTGGGGAACCCTCAACTTGTATACCTTCAACTGAAGAATGGCAGTTGCTGTTTGGGGAAGGTTGTCCTCTCTGACTCATGATGCAGCTTTGGAAAGGACACACATGGACCAATGAGGGTGGCAGGGGATGCAGGCCTACCCAGTCTGATCCGCTTAATCAATCCCAGTCATCAGTGGGATAACGTATTGGAGCCCCATCACTCTCACTTGCTGTCACTGCATCTTTCCTCAGATCTGTTAGCAATTGCTCTGTAAATCTTGATACTCCTTCATTTGATGGCACATATAAGTAAATGAGTGTAATGTTCTCTTGATGCATATAGATCTTTTGATAAATAAGTCACAGGTCAGCCTTCTCCATCATCTTGGCTACACCTTCATTTTACCTATTTTTTGTTTTGTTTTGCAACACTGCGTATATTTTAGGAGCACATTTTCATACCTTCAGATGTCTGTCATCCCATTACCAAAGCTCCAGAAACTCTTCACTCAGTCAGATGTACCTCCTTCTCCCTTGGGTCCTCATCCCCTCTCCCATCCTGGGAACCTCAGTTCCACAGTCTAACTACAAGGGGGTTTTTTTTGTATTTAAAGTAACTGACAATGCTCTGTGCTCCCTGGAAGGCAGGTAGGTGCTAAATTAATTCAAAGTGAAAAAATTGTTGCTATCTCTGTTGAAAAGCTTCTCGGCAAGGTGGGCAAATATGGTAATTTAATTAACAGGTAATATGAACTTGCCTTGTTGATGTCAGGTTAAGTTTTCATAAACACGAATGAGCATTTTCCACTTAAATATTTCATGCTGAGGAATGATATAGAATATTTTTAGAATTTGATATTAAATTGGATCAGTTAAGCAATAGGAAATGGTGGAATTATAATTTTTATTGATACTTTTGAGTAGCATCTCAAAGCAGATTCTACAAAACATTACTCGCAGTTTATCAGATTTTCATTAATCCTTATCTTTACATAAATCTAAAGATAGCTTGAATACTGAATGAGGTATCCCTTAGACTTTTTTATATTTTCAGTTTCAATATATTTTTATCAAGCTTACACATATCTGGTTAAAAAATTTTAAGAATATTATTATTTTTTAAATGCCAGCCTGATCTGTCCCCTATTTCCTTTGTCCTTTTCATTTATATCAAAGAATGTTAAGTTTCCATTTTAGGATTTGTCTTGATTGTGTTGTACCCGAGGAGGCATACATGCACTTTGGTCTTTCTTTTCTTTCCTATGACAAAACTCCTAGTATAGTTTTTTTGGTCATAGTTTTGCTTTGCAATTAAAATCTCCTTTTTAAAGAGCAGGATCTATAGATAGATTTGTGGCACCTAAATTGCATTAGATGTTCAGAATTGTTTTTCAGAGAGCAGACTCTTTAACCTGCCTTCTCCGAGCTACTCCCACTCTGTTGTGAGTATTGTATCTATTATCCTCAGAGTCCTTGCAGGGACTTCTGGCAACTGTGATTCTTTGAACTCCTCCTTCTTCTAAGCTCCCACCAGAATGACCTGATAAATCATAGCAGAAGGAAAATTTGGCATCTGTTAGTGCTAGAGAAGCAGGACTTGCCTAAACCTTCAGATAGTTTTCATTAGAAATAAGGCAGAATTAAACCTTTCATCATGTCCAGTGGAATCTAAATCAGGTACCAAACTTGGGCAGTTATAGATAGAAGCATATTTTAAATTAAATGAATAGCACAGAAATTGCAGAACGTATAAACAGTTAGCTTCAGAGCTTTTATGTGAATCAATAAGAGTATTTAGTTGTGTGAAAGGACTTCCATGTCCCCCCAGAAAACTAAAGAAAACTAGAGGGGCCAGAGTGATAGCACAGTGGGTAGGGCATTTGTCTTGCATGTGGCCGACCTGAGCTCGATCACCGGCATCTCATATGGTCCCCCAAGCACCGCCAGGAGGAATTCCTGAGTGCAGAGCAAGGAGTAACCCCTGAGCATCACCAGGTGTGACCAAAAAGCAAATAAATAAATAAAGGAAAGAAAACTAGAGAAGAAAAACCTTAAAAACAGAGAGTGGAAAGCCCATTAATTTGTAGTTAATGAGAGTTAAAAGAAGGTAGCACTGCACTGCACTGTCCTCCAGTTGTTCATCAATTTGCTCAAGCGGGCACCAGTAACGGCTCCATTGTGAGACTTGTTACTGCTTTTGGCATCTCGAGTACGTCATGAGTAGCGTGCCAGGCTTGTCATGTGGGTGGGATACTCTTGGTAGCTTGCTGGGCTCTCCGAGAGGGGTGGAGGAATTGAACCCGAGTCAGCTGCATGCAAAGCAAATGCCCTATGTGCTGTGCTATCACTCCAGCCCCAAAGAAGGTACTTTACCAATAAAAGTAGGAACAGGATATCATAAATAGCCGTCAGAATTAGAAGGGAGGAAAATAATAGAACACATTGATAGTAGATCTGGAAGAAAACTGGACAGATGAAAGAGGTCATCATCAAAGAAAAAAGAATAAAATTTATTTATGTTAAAGAAAGACTTTACTATTTTGAATGACTATGCAGCACCCAGCATCACAGGACACTTGGGCTAGTCGGAGGGTTCAGATAGTAAATTGTTGTGAAACAAAGGAACAGAGCACTGTGAACCACATTTTGTTTTGAGAAGAAAAGGTCTGGTAAAGTAGGCTTTAAGCTGGTATGTGTAGGGAGCTGTTGAGGAGTGAGAGTGGCATCGTGAAAGATCTAGCCCTAGGCCTCACGTATGCAAGATATGCACCTAATCGCTGAGCCTCACCTCTTACCCCATGAACTGATATTTTAAGAAAATTAGGGGAAAAAAAAAACAGAAGAAAAGTAAAGTGGGAAATACCTTCTAAGAAAATGAAACAGGTTACTGAAGGTGAAAACGAGTGAATAAGGAGTAAGTATGCTATCATATTAAATAGATGAAGAAGGCAGGGACTAGATTAAATCCAGACTTTGGTTAACCCATCTTGTACAGACCATCTTTCTTTACCCCAAAGACAATGAAGGGTTTGAAATCAGAAAGTAGTGTCTCCTAGTAACTGTTTTATCAATGGTTTATGGAAAGATAAAAAGAGATTGGAATTAGTAAAGAGATAGCTGGTAGTAATCAGAATGGTGGCTTGGACTAAGATGTAATGGTAGTAGAAGTGGAGAAAAATAATCAAAAGATTTGGAAGTAGGGGCCATAGTGATGATAGCATACTGGTAGAGCATTTGTCTTGCATGTGGCTGGGTTTTGGATGGCTAAAAAACAAACAGAAAAAATAAAAGAGATCTGGAAATAAAATTAGCGTGCTTTAAGTACAGATTGAATGCTTGGGGTGGAGAAGTGCGTTGTTGAGTGAGTACTAGGTAGAATTTACATGCAGCCTAAACATTTGCCCCCACCTCCCAAATTATCTAGAGGAAAAGTGTCAATAGAAAGAATATTATTATTAATCATAGAGTGTTTTTTAAATCATGTTGAACTTAAATAACTGAGTTGAAAATAACTAAGTTGATATTATAACCTAAGAAATGAGATCTCATTGTAGAGTTATATATTGAGGGGACTTTCTTAAAGTTGCAGGCTTGAATTGTAGATGCAGGAGTATAACGCTAAAAAAGATATTGAACTTTCTCTTTGGATCATTTATATATTGTTATTCTTATCTGAAATTTGGGGTTTTTTTTTTCTGGATGACACTACAGCTATGGTAATAATTGGTTTTAAGCTTTTGACTAACTTTCCTTTTTCTCTTTCTCAGTATGACAATATCTTAATGGAAGAGGCTGCTCAGATTTTGGAGATAGAAACATTTATACCTCTTCTTTTACAGGTAAGAAATTAAAAATCAAGAAAAATAAAGGATATCTTTAACATTTCTGAGGTTAGCATCAGAAAGCTTAGTGCTGGAGTACTAATTGCCATAATTATATATTCTCTTAGCCTTATTATATTTGATACATCTTTTAAGTCAACAAACTTTCTTTAATGTATTCACTAGTTTTTAGTATGTTTATAGTTCCTGGGAATACTACATTGTTAATCACTCACCAGAAGATAGATGAGCTATTATTTCATTTCTTTTGTTAAAGTTGCTTTTAGATTTATTTTTGAGTTCTCACTGAGTACATTGCTTTCCTGTATGCCTATATTCTCTTTAGCTAAATTGTAATAAAATATTTCTTCTTATACAGTAGTTTTTACTTATGGGAACATTAACAATAAAATATTGAATTACCAACCAAATTATTAAGAGAATGGCTTAATACTGGGTTCCAAAAGTTGCATTTCTATGCACCAAGTGAGTGAAGGCTTGGAATATGTTTCATCAGTCTATGTTTCAAGCAGCATGAAGACTTGTAGAGTAGGAAATGTATGAAAGTAATATAGGAAATTTAAAGGGAAATATATTTTACTGTTGGCATAGCATTCAGAACTCACTCCCAGCATACTTCTAATTCAATCTGCTCTCCCATTTTTCTTCTTGGGCACTGTATCTGTGCAACCTTTGGCTAATTCTGATCTAATCTACCAGACCGCTCTAAGTACCCTACCGTGCTTGCTTTTTCAATTCTTCTGCTCTCCCCTTTACACCATTAGCCAAGAGTGATGGTACCTACTATGCTTGGTTCAGATGTCATTCTATAAACTTGCCAGATGGCTCTCTGGAGCCAGGAAATAGTAAACTAATAAAATCACTTTGTGAATAGCAAGACTCTTATGTAATATATTGTTGAGTAGTGTGCTAATATTTTAGTATGAGTATTTTTCCTCCCTTTTCATTTCTAGAATCCGCAGGATGGTTTCAGCCGTCTTAAACGATGGATTATGATTGGTGATCATCACCAATTACCTCCAGTCATTAAGAACATGGCCTTTCAGAAATATTCTAACATGGAACAGTCTCTCTTTACTCGTTTTGTCCGGGTAGGAGTTCCTACTGTAGACCTTGATGCCCAAGGGAGAGCCAGAGCAAGGTAAAAGCAGGAGTGGCAGTCACGGGGGAGGAAGGGTTGGGAATTCTTCTATTTAAGGATATCCAAATAGCATCCATGATCCAAATAGCATCTTCTAGACTCAGCATTCCCCACTTTCCAAATTCTTACTGCCAACAAGTCAGAAGGCACCTGTTTTGTCTTGGTATGACGTATGGAATGAACAAATGATTTCCTTCACTTAATTTTTTTTTTTTTGAGTGGGTGTAAACCACATCCTGCAGTTCTCAGGGGTTACTCCTGGTGGACTGAGGGAACCATATAGGATGCCAGGGATCAAATCAGGTCAACCATGTACAAGGCATGCGCCCTATCTACTATATACTCTCAGTCTAGTCCGAGCTTCACTTTATTTTGATTTAAGTATCTGTACACATAGTTTATTTCCACTGTCCCTTCCTCTTTCTTTATATCCCCCAAAGGTATATGGTATAGCATCATTTTGAAATCTAAAGAGAAGTAAACACTGAGAAGGTGCAAAGACCCCATGTGTAGCTGAACATTTTCCTCAACTTTCAGACTCTTGATTGTTTAATTTAAGAGTTAAAGATGGCGTTTATCTCTGAGAACACTGGAACAGTCATTTAAATACTATACTGTTCTCTTTGGTTACTTGAAATAGAGAAGCAAAGGTTTGAAAAGCATTGCTAAAATGATTAGTATAACATGCGTGAAAAATTGAAACAATCCTTAGGAACTTATATATATTAAAATAGATTTTATTTGCTAACATTTTCTGCGTGGTGGGGGATTTGTCTTTGAAAGCCTTTGCAACCTCTACAACTGGCGGTACAAGAATCTAGGAAACTTGCCTCACGTGCAGCTTTTGCCGGAGTTCAGTACAGCAAATGCTGGTTTGCTGTATGATTTCCAGCTCATCAACGTTGAAGACTTTCAGGGAGTAGGAGAATCAGAACCCAATCCTTACTTTTATCAGGTAAGAAAAATATGTGGAGACAGAAAGGGAAAAAATTAAAGGTACAGGGGGGTTGGGCCACATCCTACAGTGCTCAGGACTTGCTCTTGACTCTGTGTTCAGGCAACACTTAATGGTGCTGCTCAAGAGGTCATATAGGGTTCCAGGGACCAGGGCTCAAACCCTGTCTGCTGTATGCAAGTGTAGCAGTTTACCTTACCTACTATATTTCTGAGGGGAGAAGGAAAAACTAAAACCCCATCTCATATACAGCACAAAAAAAATATTTTCAAATTTTCTAGAGAAGAATTAAAGATGTATTCACCAAAGAAAATAAATTGTAAACATAGTAGGAAGGGTTCAGTAGAGGTAGCCAGTAGACATCTGCGGCCGCACGATATCTTATTATGACATCTTATTATCTCATTCCTACTTTGGACAAATTGGCAGGCTACCGAATGTAGCCTGCCCACACGGCAGAGTCTGGCAAACTCCCCATGGCGTACCCAATATGCCAAATACCAGTAATAATGATGGATCTCATTCTCCTAAAGAGCCTTGAGTATAATCTCAGGGCTAGGATGAAGGAGACGTTACTGGGGCCTGCTCGAGGCAATTGACGAATAACAGGATGGTTGTGATTCGTGATAGTAGGAAGAGGAAAAGATTGATGATTATGGGGCCAGAACGATAGATAATACAGTGGGTTGGGTGTTGGCCTTGCACGTGGCCAACCTGGGTTCATTCAATCCTTGGAACCTCACATGTTCCTCCAAACCTGAGTGATCCTTGAACATGGAGCCAGAGTCAGCTCTCATCACTGCCAGGTGTGGCCCCAAAACAAACGATTGACATAATATTGGGGTTAAGAAAGGTTACTAGAAGTAAAAATTACTTCACAATATAATAAATGAATGAATTGGGGGAAGGACATGGGCATCCAAGGATCACTCTCAGCAACGCTTCACCATCAGTGCCAGGGCCCAAAGATGTGTTGGTCCTTGGACCTGTTATGCTGGGGGCTTTTGGGCTCACCTCGGCAGTGCTGAGTGCAGGGGATGGGGAGGGTGAGGGCCCAAAATTTATTTTTGACATTTAATAGCAAGTTAAAGTGTGAACATATATACAACTCTAATAAGTCTCTTAAAAAAAAAAAAACTCCAAAGGAAATGCTATCTGAACAAGAATATTGGGCTGCAGAGATATAGCACAGGGGTTACTGTGCTTGCCAGGAGCGAGTCCCATACTAGTTCAATTCCTGAACCACCTGTGTATGGTCCTCAGGGTGCTACAGGAGTGGTCCATGAGCACAAGCTGGGAGTATGCCCTAAGCACAGCCAACTTGGCCCAAAAATAAAAACAAGAATAAGAATATAATGCCAGATTTATGGCATATAGAAATCACTGGAATGTATGTTCACCTCTTACCATACTTGTAGTTGGGGATGTTTTAGGGAAATTCTGGTGGTCCTCTGCCCAGCAATTGTTACTTATGCCTAGCAATGTTGGACACTCTCCCAGGTCCACACCTGATGCTGATGGGAGAATTCCCAGGTCTATACCTGGCAATTGAGGGGCTATGTGATGCTGGGAACTGAACTCAGGACCTCACATATGTTGGCCATATACTCCACCACTTTGAGCTTTATCTTGAGCCCTAACACAAATTAGACCTACCTAAATGGCTTTCAATAGGGACTGGAGAGATAGCACAGCGGGTAGGGCGTTTGCCTTGCACGCGGCCAACCCAGGTTCGATTCCCAGCATCCCATATGGTCCCCTGAGCTCCGCCAGGAGTAACTCCTGAGTGCAGAGCCAGGAGTAACCCCTGTGCAACGCCGGGTGTGACCCAAAAAAATAAAATGTTCATAAATGGCTTTCAATTGAGATTAATTATAATATTACATAATCCATGTAAAGAAATGTTGCATAACCATTAAGCATGTAATGAGAATTACATGTAATGAGAACCATTAAGAATTCTGCTGTATGACATACTGAAAGTAGACTATAGACCAAACATGATTGCCACTCAATGCCTCTTTTGCAAACCACAACACCCAAAAGGAGAAAGAGAACAAAAGGAAATACCCTGCCACAGAGGCAGGGTGGAATGGGGGGAAGGAGGGTGGGAGGGATACTGGGACCCGTGGTGGTGGAAAATGGGCACTGGTGGAGGGATGGGTGTTTGATCATTGTATAATTGAAAGCCAAGCACAAAAATTTGTAAATCTACAACTGTACCTCACGGTGTTTCACTAATAAAATTTTTTTTTAATTTTTTTAAAAATTCTGCTGTATAAATAGAGAAAAAAATGATAGGTAGAAAAATACAGTGTCCTGCGTAATTTATTTTTAAGAGACTGCAATGCATACAGAAGTTTTTTTTATTTTGAGGGGCAAGGTAGTGCCATACCTGGTGGTGTTCAGGACTTCTGTCTGGGTCTGCACTCAGGCATCACTCCTGGTGGGTCTTGGGGACCATATGAAGTACCAAGGATTGATCACCTCCCCATGTTGGCTGCTTACAAGCCAACCACCTTGCCTGCTGTTCTACTTCTCTGGTCCCATATATAGAAGTTCATACAAAAATATCTCACAGCATATGTTTATGTGTGTGTGTGTATGTGTGTGTGTGTGTGTTTGTGTGTGTAACTCATATCTCAGGATATTTGTTTTTTAATATAAGGACTGATGTTTAGATGAATGTAATTTTCTACAAAAATAGAAAATGAAAAACTTTGCAGTTATGTCACTTCTCTTTTTCTTTTCTTCCAAATAAATTTAAATGAAGAAATAATTTAGTTTTTTGTCACCAACAGCCAGAATATAAATGGCATCACTATGGTTGATCCTGTAATTTCTCTGTTGCCTATACATGGAATCTAGCTCCTTTTTTAAAATTCCTATTGTGTTTTTCTTCTCTCATCTGTTACTTTCTGTTTAGTATTTACTAAGTTGAATTAAACATTAGCCTTTTTATGTATCCTTGATTTCAAGTTCAGTTAAGCTTTTGGTTTTAAGCTCCTTTCCCTACTCTTTAACTGGAGCTTTGTCACAATAAGCCAGGCTGACCATTTGGAAGCTACATTCTTTTTCAATCCCAAATGGTCTGGGAGAGGTGGCAACCTTAAGCAGAAAATCAAAACCAAAACACACATGCAAAACACTGAAAAGTATGAGAAAAATGAAGACACTCTGTCAATTCAAGAATTAAAGTACTGCTAGATTATGCCAGTGAACTAGATTCTATTGTGACCTTGATCCTTTATGTGAATTATTGCTTTCCCTCCCAGTAGCTACAGTACAGTTTAACTAAATATTAATACTGTTATTATTGTTTCCAGAAATTAGCCCTTAAGTTGGTAGTTCGTGATTATCCGAGTTTTGCAAATATATTGCAAATGTCAAAGCGAAATCGCTGCCACAAGCCCTATTTTTATTTAACAGTAGTAGTCTAGGGTAAGGTTATCTCTCACTTTTTATGAAAGGTGTTCAGTCATCCAAGTTATTAAGCCTTCACTGCTGAGATGTGATAAGTAAACAGTTATGCTCATTAGCCATTTTCTCTTTAAAAATTTAAAGGAAATAAATAAATGCACAATCTGGTTTTATTTGCATTACAGAATCTTGGGGAGGCAGAATACGTGGTAGCACTTTTTATGTACATGTGCTTGCTTGGTTATCCTGCTGACAAGATCAGTATTCTAACAACATACAATGGGCAAAAGCATCTGATTCGTGACATCATCAACAGACGATGTGGGAGCAATCCTTTGATTGGAAGACCAAATAAGGTATTTTTATGAGTATTATGTGTTCTCTCTTCATCATGTTGACAAGATGAAAAGATTTATTTATTATGACTTATTTATATTGTTCTACTTTGTCTCTCTGCTATCTCCTTTTGAGACATGTGAGGAAATGAAATAATAGAAACTATAAATTTGAGGTCATCCTACCTGACAATATTCCTGGTTTACTATGAATCTTTGTCTATCATGTTGAAGATTTTCATAGTAATGAGAGAAAAATGTTTCTGACACCTATTAGTGAAATGATAAATAATGAATTTATGTCCTGTTACAGTAAAAGAAGTAGGAAATCATCTTTCACTTTATTTTTATAAAAGTCTAAATTTTGCTGCTTTTTATTATATTTGTTATAAGGGCTTGTTTCTTTGTCCTGGTGATAGATTGTATTAAGCATTTAAACTTTAAAATCTTTTTTTTCTTTTTTTTTGGGGGGGTGTCATACCTGGTGATGCAAGGGGTTATTCCTGGCTCTGCACTGAGGAGTTACTCCTGGCGGAGCTCAGGGGACCATATGGGATGCTGGGAATCGAACCCGGGCCGGCCACGTGCAAGGCAAACGCCCTACCCACTGTGCTATCTCTCCAGCCCCCTAAACTTTAGAATCTTTTTTAACTTAATTTTTTATGTGATATGATGGAAAAATATCAGATAAAAATAAAGATCCTTGAGGGTCAACTAAATAGAAAAGAACAAAATCATATATAAAAATATAATATTGCCAGTAATGAAATTTGGACTTCAGTTGTGAACCCAGCTATATAAAAACTCACCTTTACTTGAAAATCATTGGTTTACTGAGATTAAGTTTCAGTGTTTATTGACTCGTTCTTTCAGTTCAATAATTGCTGTGTTTATGTAGCAATTATTTTAAGGGCAGGATTTTTATTTCTACTATATTATTTAACTTTCTCTAGATTTTTGTTCTTATGCTTTTGAAATGCACCATATTTCCTTTATTTTTTCTTTCTAGGTGACAACTGTTGACAGATTTCAAGGGCAACAGAATGATTACATTCTTCTGTCTCTAGTACGAACCAGGGCAGTAGGCCATCTGAGGTATGTCAGGAAAATTTTCTATTGGTCGCTCCTCTCTTCCATTTTGAATCTTAGTGACTAAATAGTTTAAAATTGTTTTAAGTTGAATAATAGTTAATGGCAACTTTTGGTGTTTTGTTTTAAAATAGAAAAAATATCTGAATTATTGTATAGTTAGCCACAACCAGTACTTCTGAATTTTTTTTATTCTTAAGTTTTCGGTAATTTTAGCTTTTTTTATTCTTTAATAACATTCAGAGATAAACTTTTATTATAAATCACTCATGTAGTTCATAGTGTATATATACCATATATAATGCACATGCATTATATATAGCTACATAGATCCTGTATCTATAAGAAACAATGTTGTAAAATACTAGGTAAAGATCAAAATCTCTTCAGAATAAATTCTTCATTGCAGAGGATTTGTGACTTTTGCCCACATAGGCTTCCAGCTTTTATGTTAGAAAAGAAATGAACAATGTTCTACCAGGATTAAGAATTTTCAGAATGAACTACCTTTTTTTTATCATTTATTGTGATGTATTTATGTGCTACAGATTTATAGCCCTAATATCTCCTTATTACAAAGCAGTATTTCGGTTTTATATAAACTTTTATATGATGTGCTTTCAAGACATAAGGGGAATTCATTTTTATTATTTTATTTTGTAGATATAAAAAGAAATTTTCCAAGCTTTCATAATGTTTTCAAGTCCAGGTCTCTTTGAAGCTTAATCTGGTGATCAGGTTACATTACTGATAACTTTCATGTGAAAGTAAGCAAACAAGTAATGTTTCCAAAAAAATATTTCAAGACAATAGCATTCTAAATTTTTACTTGAGTGTTAAGTTTAAGCTTGTAATTGGAAGCTAACTTTTCTAAAAAGCAATTTACTTTTTATATTGTGCAACATCAAGAGTTGCATGACTATAAGTTCTCAAAAAATGAATGCATGAATTTTGTTTGTTCTCCTTCCTGTCTCCCCATTTCCCCACCCTTTTTCTTATGCTGTAGTGCCCTCCCCAGATTCCTGTGACTTTATAGCTATGCTGTTCTTTGTCTGACTTTTCTGGAAATCTGAAGAAAAGAAAGATAATGATGATAAAATACTTTTTATAAATACTTCTATACTTATGGAGTACTTTCTTTGAAGAAAGAATTTCTAAAAATGAACTTGATGTAGTACTGGTTCTTTTGCACGTTAAATTTTCTTATCCAAAATACCTTTCTCTGAATTAGTCTATCATCTCTGTATTGGCCAAAATTTGCTTTTGAAAGTTCAGCTTCTTCCCTGCAGGAAGAAAGGAGAGATAGTGCTACTGGTGATGTTAATGCATATCAGTTTAACTTTTACTTAGGTAACTTAGATGCCTTAATTAGATTTTATCAGACTTCATAAAATCTTTTGGTTTGCAGATAAATATCTTAGGTTGTAAATTTTCTATTATGTTCAAACATATTTTGTTTTCCAAATTTTAAGACTAAGGAAATCTCCCTAATTTCTCTTTATGCTTTCATAGCAGTAATTCATATAATATATGCCTTCCTTATCCTGTTTTAAGGATACAATTTAATGATTCAATATTTCCCTGTATAATTCTATGATTTTTACTGTATTCATAGAATTAATGCAACTTTATTTAGAATTTTATAATGTTTTCATCACCGCATCCCCACCCCAACAAGAAATCTCATACATAGTTCTTGATCTATAGTAGTAAATCTGTAACACTACTGCCCAAAGGGGTATGCGTTCTCCTTTGACCTAAATGAACCTCTCAGTTTGTGTAGCAGAAGGGTGGTGGAGGTGGTGGTGGTGGTGGTGATGCTGTTGAAAGAGAAAGAAGAATTTCATCTTCTCCCTCAAAGGAACATTACTATTACTATGTACTTTACATCAAACCTACTTTCTGTTAAAAGAAATTAGGTCCATATCAAAGCCGTAAAGAGCCATAGAAAATGAGGTTGAATTAAATGAATTCCTCAATCTTGCATTCTCCAAAGACACAGAAAAGCCATTTGATAAATATTCCAATTTCTACTCCTTATTATACAGTCTTTATAACACTTGATTTCTATAAAACTCTAACACAGGATTAGGAATGATAGTTTTAGACTTTGATGAAAGTTTTCTCTTTTATAACATACTCAAAGAATCAAATAACCATCCAAAAGCATGTCAAGAAAATGGTCTTCGGTATTTAAAACTAATTTTTTTTCACTAAAGCACATTTCAATTAATAGTGAAGTGACATTTGATTTGATTAGTATGGCCACTTTTATAAATTTATTCAGTTCAAATAAATAAGCTCAAATAAAGTATTAAACAATTCTTGTTAAATGACAAAGAAAATTGACTATCTGATTCAGCTACGTATATAGCTGGATCATTTGGTTTAGCCATTTTGTTAGTTTATGTGAACATTGAGTAGTTCTGGACCAGACATTAAGTCTAAGTACTAGGATAAATATATAAATTAAATGTGGCATTGTTCTATATTATACTATATTTGTAATTACTATTATAAGTAAGTATAAAACAGAGTGGTTAGAGTTACCTTGGAAGTAAAGTGATTTATCTAGGAATATAAAACAGGGTGGTAAGAGTTAACCTAGGAAGCAAAATTTGACCTTGATCAAGCCTGGGGATTTGAGAAGTGAAAAAGTGGAAAGGGCTGGCTCAAACTGACACAGTTGTGATGATTCAGTAAATTGGTGACTGACAGCTAATTTGTATCCTAATACTAATATAGCTACTTAGATCACTTCGTGGTTTCCTTTTCCCTTTCTTCCCCCAAACAAGAGTCTGGTAATAATAAAGCACTAACTTTCTACTCTATTCAATCACATAACATTGGCCTATGTACAGTTTATTAAGTTTTTAAGAAACTTGGGTTTTTTAATTACCATATCCTAATAGATATGTATATATATGATAATAAAAATATAAGGGGGAAGCTCTGAAAATATATAATGGATCACGAAATATGCTAACTTGTTTTGTTTTCCAAAGGGATGTTCGACGCTTGGTGGTGGCCATGTCTAGAGCCAGACTTGGACTGTATATCTTTGCCAGAGTATCCCTCTTCCAGAACTGTTTTGAACTAACTCCAGCTTTCAGCCAACTTACAGCCCGTCCCCTTCATTTGCATATAATTCCAACTGAACCCTTTCCAACCAGTAGAAAGGTAGGTCCTTTTTTTAATTATTACATAGAGAAACACTTGGACCTTAGCAAGTAGAAACATCATCCCAGAGTTCTGATCATAACTTTGAGTGATTCTTACACAAAGAAGATGAATTAGATCTTCTGTGTGCAAGTATTTTAATACCTAGCTAACATTCATGAGTATTGAGCATCACAATTTGTTTCTTTATAGACATTATCTTGTTTTGTTTTGTCTTTTTTTTTTTTTTTTTTTTTTCAGAAATAGCCCTTTGATCTGTTTTCTTACTTAACTGCCAGAGTAGTGATACAACATAAGACACTTGCCAACTTGGGTTCAATTGCCGATACCCCATATAGTCCCCTGAGCCTGTCATGAGTGATCCTATAGTGCAGAACTAGGAGTAAGCCCTGAGCATAGCTGAGTGTGCCCCAAACCCTCCCCACCACCCACCAATGCCCACTTAAAAAAATAATCTTCTAAATAATCATTCTATATCTGTAAGTAAACTGATATTTTACTACCCTGAAATTGTCTTCAAAGTTTCTGTTTACTCTCTCCTAATGTCCACCTAGGGAATTGAATTCTCTTCATGAAGTTCTTATTGAACTCAAAACTACGCCTTTTTTTGTTTGTTTGTTTGTTTGTTTGTTTCATGGTGGGGATCAATTCAAGGGCCTCATACATACAACGCATGCAGTCTACCACTGCGCTACATCTATGGTCATCTAATACATAAGTCTTATGTCCGCCACACCTCTAATAGTACATACAATGAAAAACATGGATTTCTTTTGGACTATTAGCTTTTAGCTATATGTAACTTTTTTCTTTCTTTTTGTTCCCTCCCAGAAAAATGCTTTATTCAACTTAATGAACAATATGTCTTTTCTTTGAACAGGTTAGTTTAAAACCAAACAAAACTTATATGTAACTTTCTTTTTTTTGCCTTCTAGAATGGAGAAAGACCATCTCATGAAGTACAGATAATAAAGAATATGCCCCAGATGGCAAACTTTGTATACAACATGTATATGCATTTGATACAGACCACACATCATTATCATCAAGTAAGTTCTCTCAAAACTGACCTTATTTTTTTTGTAAGAAGAAATTCCTTTCAATAAATTACGTTACTTTTTTTAAAGTATCTGGTTCCTTGTGGAAACCATTTAAACCAAAGTAAATTGTTAATATCTATGTAACATCGACATTTATAAGACCTATTTGTATAGCTATAATTTGATTTGCAATTAAGTTCTGTATGTTTAAACCTTGTTATGGCATGTATATACCTATTAAACCTTAAAACACAGTCAAGGTAATGAGCATTTGGGCATTTGGGGTGGAGCGATAGCACAGTAGGTAGGGCTTTTGCCTTGCACGTGGCCCACCCGGGTTCGACTCCCAGCATCCTATATGGTCCTCTGAGCCCCTCCAGGAGTAATTCCTGAGTGCATGAGCCAGGAGTAACCCCTGTGCATTGTTGGGTAAGGTAAGGTAAAGGTAAAGGCCCTCCCGTTGATCATCGATTTGCTCGAGCGGGCCCAGTAACGTCTCCATTGGAGACTTTGTTGTTACTGTGTCTGGCATATCGAGTACGTCATGGGGAGCTTGCCAGGCTCTGCCATGCGGGCGAGATACTCTCGGTAGCTTGCCAGGCTCTCCGAGAGGGGCGGAGGAATCAAACTCAGGTCGGCCATGTTGGCTGCGTGCAAGGCAAACGCCCTACCGCTGTGCTAAAAAGAAAAACAACAACTACAACAAAAAGACAATGAGCATATTCATATCCTAGAAAATTTGTCACAAGCCCCTTGGGCATCTCTCTCATCCTTCACCAACATGTTTGTACTCAAGGCAACCAAGGATCTGCTGTCAATTAATAGAGATTAAACTCTATTTCTATGCACATTTTTTAAATAGACATATACAACCTGTTTTCTTTTTTTTCTTTTACCCACATTTATTCAAACTAATTATGTCTTGGGGGAATATTCAAAGATACAACTAGCTTGTGAAACAGATTGGCACTTTATTAAAAAACTGAATGTACATTCATCTTATCCATCCACTCTATACCTAGGATTTTACCCACGATAAGGTGCAGAGATTTTATTAGTAATAGCTAGTCAATTGAGCCTGAGCCTAAATATCTACCACCAGGTGAACAGGTAAACTCAGTGGGTTACCGTTCAGTAATGAAAGAAAAGAACTACTGATATATGCAAAAACAAGAGAGAACAAACCTCACATACCTACCCCCCAACCTCCCTTCAAATGAATTTGCATTTCTCTAATAAATGATGTCACCATCTTTTCCTGTGGTCATTTGCCAATTGTATATCATCTCACTCAAATGGGATTATTCTAATAAATTTTAAGATTATAATGATTATAGTACCCTTATCAAATACTTTTTTTAAATTGAATCACCATGAGATTCAGTTACAAAGCTTTCATTTTTGAGTTTCAGTCATACATTGATTGAACATCCATCCCTCTACCAGTGCACATTTTCCACCACCAGTGTCCCCAGTGTCCCCCCTCCCATCCTCACCTTCTCTCTGCCTCTATGGCAGTTTTGCCTATGTTGTCTCTACTTTCAAATACTTTTTTAATAAATATGTCTCATGATCTGTGATTTTTTAAATTTTATTTTAAATATTCTCAAAGAACAGAAATTATAAAATTTTTGTGAACTTCAATGTACAAGTTGTTATTTTGTGATTTACGGTTTGGGTTGGAGTTGGGAACCTCCAGGTGGTACTCAGAGGCCTGAGGGCCACTCCTAGCTATACTTGGCCATTGGGCTGGTGGTTCAGTGTGAGGGCTGCTACCTTAGCCTGGCAGTGCTCTACGCAGTGGCCTCCAGGCCCAAACCCAGCAAAGCTCAGGAGTACATGTGGTGCTGGGGATCAACCACTATACTATATCCCACCCCCAACTCATACTCTGTGTTTAGCCCAAGCCAAAATTGCAGTTGTTTTCGTCTAGAAGTGTTATAGTTTTATTGACATTTTTACGTATGATACATTTTTAGTTAAGTTCTATAAAAAGTCCAGGATAGAATCAGGGAAATATCTCTAAGAGCTTGAGAAAATGCTTAGCATTCAGAGACCCACTGTATGGTCAACCAAGCACCTGGAGGTTGGCCCAGTGATCCCCAGTACTTTTGAGCCCAAGAAGCATTGAGTTGAATATCACTGGGAATGATCCCCAAACCCCATAAGCATTGCTTGAGAGACTTCCATTCCATCCCCCACCCCCCCAAAAAAATAATAATATAAAAGAGGTTGTGTTTTAATCAGTTGCATATAGTTATCCAAATAGTTTAGCTACATTTCCTGAATAAACTACATTTTTCTCTATTGAGTTGCTTTGACATCTTTTTTTAATTAAAGAAAAAATATTTAATTGAGTTACAATAAATGACATAGCTTTGAGCATGCAGCATAACAATTCGATATTTGTACAATGGCAAAATGACCACAGTAAGTCTAATAGCCACCACGTTGTACTAAATCAGGACATGTAGTTACCGATTTTTTTTCTCTTTATGATGAAAACTTTAAAGATTTTGCCCTGTCATGTTAGTAAATAAATGAGTTGGTGGCACATATGTGCTTAAATTCAGGGATTTCTCTTCTTTTCTGTTGATCTGTTCTCCTGTCCTTTTGCTACCACATGACCTATCTTGGATTGGGTATATAGTAAACCTTGAAGTTATATGTAAGTCCTTCAGTTTTGTTCTTCGTCAGAATTGCTTTGGCTATTCCATTCCCTTACTTTTCTATTTTCTAGAAGTCTAAAAGCAGCTGGCCAGGTTGGTTGCTCCCCCAGCAAAATATGATGAGTTTTTAAGTAAGAATGTTTTAAAGAGTGGTAGTGCTTAGGATCAATTGGTGAGATTAACATATTCACAGTACTGAGTTTTTGTTTCTATAAATATGACACTCTGATTGTTTAGGTGTTCTTTGAATTCTCTTATCAGTATTTTACACTTTTAAGCACTCAGTCCTTACACATATATGTTTAGTCTTATGTTTTTGTCTGGGAGCCACTCAGAGTGGTGCTCAGGGATGACTCCTGGCTCTGCTCAGAGATGACTGTGAACAATGCTCAGGGGAAAAAAATGTGGTTCCAGAGATCAGACCAGAACTGTCCATATGCAAGGCAAACCCCTTACCCTCTGTATTGTCTCTCAGATCCCCTTGTGATTAGTTCTGTTGTAATATATTTCATATTTTTTGTTGCTACTGTTAGTGGTATTTTTAAAAAGTTTCCATTTCCAACAAGAAAACAGAATGGAGGAGAGAAGCCAAACCTTAGCTCCATAGTAAAGAGGAAAAGGGAAAGCCAGGATTCTAGAGCTGCCCGGTGTTGTGGTTGAATGGGATGGAAGGCTGTGCCCTGCCTTTCCCTTCCGGCATGGCCTTGTCTCAAGACTGGGTTCCTCCCCGCTCTCACAGGCCTCCTTGATTGGCCCTTTCTTAGGTTGGTATGGCAATTAGTCCTAATCAGCCACTATTTTCCAGAAGTGTTCCAGCAAATTACTCTGCTAAAAAAAATCTAAAAGCTTCTTCTTATGTTGTTTTCTTCTCTGAAGATATAATATGTACTTCGATCATCATTGTGTAATATCTATGTAAGCATATTCCAAGGCATCAGCAAAGCTGACGCCATTGTTATCAGAGTTGTTCCATCTCTAATTGTTGTTGCATCTATTAGAAATGAAACAACTCTGACAAGAAAATATTTGGTGAACAGTATTGGAGAGCTCTAAAGAATTACCTCTTCAGAAGATGTTCACCTGAGATCCTAACTTTTTTTTTTTTTTTGAACTCCTATTGATTTTTTTCTGTTTCTTTTTCTACTAGACTTTATTACAGCTCCCACCTGCTATGGTCGAAGAAAGTGAAGAAGTTCAAAGTCAGGAAATAGAATTGGAAACGGAAGAAGACTCCATGGCTTCTCAAGCTGATGTTCTACCCAGTGTAACAGAGGCCAGTTCCAGTCAGGAAACCGCAGCCCCTGATACTGAGGCCGCTTCCAGTCAGACAGGAGCCACTTCCGATCCAGAAGCCACCCCTGCTCTCTCTGGGGTCCCTGCCACTGTGGCAAAACCTGGAGCTGAACCAGAAGAGGCTGACACCCCTCAGGAGTCCACATCCACCCCAACTGAGACCAAGTAGCCCTTACCAGGGAGGACAATTTATTTATAAAATCTAAGGAAAATCACTTTGTTGTATTTTACATTCAAGTGGTACTAGTTTGTATCCATTCCTCATTTTTGTAACTAATTTCAATGTTTTTCTTCTTGGATATATTAAAATGTGGTTTTTGTATATGAAGAGCTCCAGTTTTATTTGTTTGGACAGAAGAATAAATGACCCTTCCTTTGACATTTTGATCAACTGTTATAGCTATAATGATTCCTAAATCAAGAGTTTTCTATTGAATAAAACTTCACACATTTTTAGTGAAATTCTCTTTTTTTGAAAAGGGATAAAATATGTTAAGATTAAGTGATTCTAAGCACGTATTCAAAGCAGTTTCTTCTGTTGTAGTGTAGGATATTCAAATCATACTGTTTTTATCTCCCCCACCTTCCTTCACTGTCTTGCTTGATAAAAAGGCATTGATGCACCTATTGGATTGACTGTATCTGAAGAACCTTTGAAGAATTAAGCAGGTACTACACAGTCACTGAAATGATTCTGTTTCTGTTTTTAAAGTGGTGAGTTTGTATGGAGATTCAACCCAGAAAGTCAAGCCAATAATATTTTTGAATAACCAGTATGTGCTCAACATGTAGTGGCCATGAATCAGACTATCATTTTAACAGTTGCTATATCAGAACACTTGTATTATAGAGTGAAGAATGGTAAATGAAGGTGATGGGATAATCAGGTGAAATGCCAAGAAAATGTACTAGGAAACCACATCTCCTTGTTACAAGAGTAAGAATTGACCCAGATAGTCTATTACATAGTTAACCTGATTATAAGAACTTAATAGCAAATACTGTGGGCATCTATATGCAAAAAAATAATTCTTTTTTGTAAACATATAGTATCAGACTAAGCAAAAAAGAAGCCTTTACTATTTTCCTGGAAAAGATTGACTTTTTTTTTTAGAGGCTCTAAATCAATACCTACAACCAAATTTAGCAAACATGGTCTGCTTCTTCATTAAATAAATCATTTCCCAAACACTATATCATCCTGTGTTGCTAAGTAATGGTGCTATTTTCTTTCATATTTGATTCTCTATCTCATTTAATCTTCAATTAAATTTTAAAAAGATAATTTAATTGGAAGATGGATAAGTAAGTCTTCTGCCTTTATCAAATAAAAAATTGGGGGGAGGGACATTGTTCCACATACGGTATTGCTCAAGGCCTACTCATAGCTCGGTGCTCAGGGATCACTCCTGGCAATGTGCTCTTAGGAGGGACTGTATGTGATACTCAGGATTAAACCTGGGTTGGCCACTTGCACAGCAACTTACAACTGCTGTGGTCAAGGATCACTCCTGATAGTGCTGAGGGATCGTAGGTGGTGCAGGGATTCAGCCACATATAAGACAAGCACCTTACCCCTGTACGGTCTTCAGACCCTGTCAAAAAAAATTTTTTAAAGGAATGATGGTGGTGAATTATTTAAAGCTTAATTCACTGGAATGACTAGTGAGTCACAGTGGATTATTGAAACATTTTGTTTTGTTTTTTTCTCAAATAACCTCTATTGAGGGCTGCAGCAATAGCACAGCGGGTGGGGCGTTTGCCTTGCACATGGCCGATCCGGGTTCAATTCCTCCACCCATCTCGGAATGCCCAACAAGCTACCTAGAGTATCTCACCCACATGGCAGAGCCTGGCAAGCTCCCCATGGCATATTCAATATGCCAAAAACAGTAACAACAAGTGTCACAATTTGTTGTGAGATGTTACTGGTGCCTGCTCGAGCAAATCGATGAACAATGGGAGGGCAGTGCTACAGTGCTAACCTCTATTGAAATAATGGTTTATAACATCATCTTTGAGTGTATATCACTGAGAATTAATGTGTTGATTTCCAAAACTAGATTAAAATCACCACTAAAAGCCCCATTTTAAAGAAAACTACAAACAGAAGTGTCACTAATAAAGAATTCGGTAGGTGAAATTAAAAACTCAATGGGTGCCCTCAACAGTAGAATGACAACAGCAAAAGACAGTGAGCTTGAACATGAGCTGCAGAAAGCATACAGGCAATAACATACAATGGAAAAAAACCTCAAAATAACTCAAGGTCAAATAAAAGTCCCATTTTATCCTTCACCATACATATCCCCTTGTCCCAATTTATGCACCTTTCCCTTATGATAGTTGTTTTTAAAAGCTCATTTTTGTTTCACTTAATTCATCTTAGTTTTCTGTATATGCCTTTTATGAGTAAAATCATATGGTTTTTGTCCTCGCCCATCTGGCTTAATTCCCTAAGTATGATACCTCCAGCATCTTCTGTGTTACTTATTTAAAATTACAAGTGTAAGGTGTTTACTTTGCATGTGACCAACTAGGTTTGATCTTGGTCATCATATGTGGTCCCCTATGACTACCAGAAGTGATCCCTGAGCATAGACCAAGAGTAAGTAAGCCCTGAGCACCACTGCATGGCACCCAAAAACTGAAAAGAAAAATAAAATTCAGGATTTTACCTTTTCTTAATAGATGAATAACATTCCATTGTATGTTATGTATACCACATCTTCTTTATTCATGTCTTAGTCTGTGAGCACTTAAATTGTTTCCAGTTCTAGATTACTATAAATCATACACCAAATTACTATAAATCATACATATACAGGGGATCAAAGTCAGGGCCTGCCTTACACATGCAAGGCTTTGTATTTTTTTATTTTATTGATTCATTTTCCAAAATGGTTTTAATTGTGGTATTCTAGTTTTCTTAGCACTGATACAATTTTAGAATCTCAGTGCTGATACTCCGAGCCCACCCATGGCAAGATCCTGCCACCATTATCGTAAAGCCTCTCCCCACCCCTTCAGCATCCCTAATTTACAGATGGAATTTTAAAAAAACTTAAGAACTACTCTTAAATAACGGAAACTGAGTTAGTCTTTTTTTTTTGTAATCTGTAACATTAGTAATCTTTTTTTTCAACAGTTGCAAAGCTTTTATGTTTAACTTTCCATCATACAATGGTCAAACACCCATCCCTCCACCAGTGCACATTCTCCACCACCAATGACTTCAGTGTACCCCCCTTTCCAACCCTCTCCTTGCCTCCATAGCAGACAATTTTCCCCATACTCTCTCTACTTCTGGGCATTATGATTTGCAGTACAGATACTGAGAGGTTATCACGTTTGGTCCTTTATCTACTTTCAGCTCACATCTCCCAGAGGGTTTTTTGGGGGTTTTTTTGTTTTGTTTTTTCTTTTGGGGTCACACCAAGTAATGGTCAGGGGTTACTCCTGGCTCTGCACTCAGGAATCACTCCTGGCGGTACTTGGGGGACCATATGGGATGCCAAGTATCAAACCCAGGCCGGCCGCGTGCAAGGCAAACTCCTCACCCGCTGTGCTATCGCTCTGGCCCCTCTCCCAGAGTTTTTAACCAGTGTGGCAACTGTAAAAGGATAGAATCAAAGGGTGCAGTCCTGGGGTGGTGTTTTGTGTATTTTTGCCAATTACGAATTGCTTCATAAATTCACTTCGATTTGGAATTACCAGAGCCCCAGGTACTCTAGTCATGTGACTATTTCAGATGAGTGTCCCCATTGCTCTCCATCCTGTTTTTCATCTTTGAATACGTCATGATTTTAAAATCTATTTTTAAAAGCAAACCAAATGATGCATGCCAAGAAAATGAGCACGAAATGAAGCAATTCAAGCATTTAGACTGTTTTTCACAAAATGCTGAGTTAAGGAAGTTCATTACCAGCAGTTGAGAATAAATAGCTCCATAGATTTGGCAAATGAATAAGAAGATCTAAACATTATCAGGTCTTGAAGTTATTGTGAAGTTAAAAGTTGATATGTTTTGCTAGAGAAATGTCATGAGGGGCTACTCATGTTTCTATATAAAATAAAGTTATGACTAAGATACAGCCTGATCTTGAAAAATAGACTTTGAACTCACTCAGACCTGTTTTCAGTAGTATTACCTTATTTGTGCAACAGTATTTGCAGTGATTTGGGACAGAATTTATAACTTCACTAAGCCCCTGTTTTATTTACAAAATGAAAATTTGTTGATTGGATACCGTTTATGAAATTTTCTGGCACTTAGGTGCTTAGTTAATATGTATTCCTTTCTATATTCTCCAGATATTTGAGATAATCTGAGTTATTTAACTACCAACTTTCTAACTTAACACTTTGCTTAACACTATCCTGGAAAAAGGGAGAATGATAAAGAAGGAATATACAGTTGTACATGATCTTTCAGTGCTTTGGGATACACAAAATCAGAGATTGTAAGAGTAAGAATGGTTGCTACTGAAGTTAAAACTGATAAAATAACATTATCAAAGGAAAGGCCCTAAGTGCAAGCATCCTGATATGTTGATAACATCAATTCTGAATCATACACTCTCCTACCCCTATGTCAATTTTATCGTTGCATTTATTTAGTTTGTCTTAGATGCCCTTTTTTCCCTTACAGTCACTCCAGGGATATTTTTAGATATGTCTTCATTTAAAATAAGATTTAATTTTTTTTTTTTAATTCTGACCCCTTTGTAGGACCCAGGGGAGTAATTAAAGACAAGCAGTACTGTGCTGCTGTGAAAAATGCTTGGCACTTGGCTTTTGTAATTATGAAGCAATCATGATAATAGATATTTAAGAAAATGCAGCTAGAGCTGTACTGAGTCAGAGATGAAAAATAAATATCTGTGACTATTTGTTTCTTTACCCAGTGGAATACTCTAGTGTTTTTCAAAGGGATACAGTAGTTTTGGATGCTTTAAACATCCCTCCTAGGTACAAACCCAATCTCAGTTTCTGCTGCATGATTCAAATTGGAGCTTGGTTTGTTAATTGATACCACCAACCTTATTCTTTATTTTATTTATTTATTTATTGGCTTTGGGGTCATACTCAGCAGTGCTCAGAGGTTAACTCCTGCACTCAAGAATTCTGACAGTGCTCAGGGAACCATATGGGAGCCAGATCAAACTCAGGTTGGCTACATGCAAGGCAATTGCCCTATCCACTGTACTATCGCTCCAGCCCCTGTCAACCTTATTCTTACACTCTTTCAGTTACAATTATTTTAGCTTAAGCTTTATTTCTATATTAAAGTCGTTAATCTCATTATCTCTTAACATATTACAGAAGATACTGGTTTTTAAATATATGTTCCACGGTCAAAGAAGTTTGGTAAACCCAATGAATTACTACTTCCCTTTTACAGATTTACAATGTGTTGTAATCTAGTTTAAAATTCTAAAAATTTCTGCCAGAAAATTCATGTTAAATTTTTTTTCAATTAGGGAAGGCGTAGACACTGGGGACACAACATGATCGGGGGCTACTCAGTTTTCTGCTTGGAACCATGTGTTTGCTACCAGGGATTAGATTTGGTTTGGCAAGGCAAGTGCTTTAACCCTGGTACTATCTCTCTGGTTCCTTAATTTTGTTTAATCTAGTATTTCCAAACTTATTTGGCCAACTAATGAGGCAGAAATAA